AATGGGGTTTAACATCTGTTTTTCTTCACCAAGTTGCTAATGAAACAGGGGATACACTATTCAGTGTGCTATGAGGGGAATTTTGTCAGGACAAGGGATTCTTAACATATATGTGGGACTGCGGTTGTTTGTCCCATCCAACTGACTAGACACTTTTCCTTGCCTGCCAATTGATTATATAAGATTCTAAATAAACATTTCAAAATGATTATCATTTAGTCTAATGGTTGGGAGGTCTTGTTCCATACCACCTTTACATTGACAATCATTCATGATCAAGAGTGGCTTCATCTTAACCACTTTAAGAATCTTAATAAATTTGGTAGGAATATACTTTGAATACTATTTATCCAGATTTTGTCTTTTTGCCACAAACCCATTGACACATTTCTTAGGGGTCGGTGCAGACACAATGCAACAGAGCATAATTAAAATATGAATCCATTATAGTAGTTGTATTAGGAAATTTATGGTTGAATAAATATTTTACTTCATTAAAAACAAATCTTATTTAGTTTTTTAGAATTCAAATACTTTTCAGTGTAATTTCTATGAAACTGTTAAAGTTGCTGATCATCGCGCAGACATTTTTTTTTCTCTACATTCATCGAAATAATGTCTAACAAACAAATGTGCGAAGCATTGTTGCTGTTTTGACCTCAATCCCCTCTAATCCTATACATGTATGCATGTAAATGAGCAGATATCTTGTCTCAGAGCCTTTTTATTTTATAAAATTCTTGGGTTATCCTCCAGACTTCACACCAAACTTGATGTTGTCTCCATCTTGGACTCCCCCGCCATTGAAATTCTTGAACACACCTCTGCCACCCTTGCATAGATTGGTCATAATGGCCATAAAAAAATTAAAACAACCAATGAAGAACCAAGTGATATATATTTAGATAAATTTTATCACATTTTTGGCTGTTTTGGTTTACGTCCGTTTTGACGTGTAAGACGAATAACATTTTTAGTAAGGATTCGCGAAAACAATTTTATTCCTAATGGATTTTGTAACACTTCTCCAATTCATTCAACAACATCTAACAAGATATTAAGAAAAGCAGGTACTAAATAAGTCCTAGTAAAATAAAATATATTAAAAAGCATAAACAACAACTGATTGATAAAGAGCGGGATACTAGAAAACAACTAGAACAGATCCTACAGCATGACCACTTGGATACACTTTTTTCTATGCAGCAGAAAGTCGATACCAAACAGAATAATCAAATTAAAAGCCGCCACCTAAATAAATTCAATAGATTAAGGTTCCTCAATAGAAGCAATAACAAGCCAGATATTAAAAATATCGAATGTCATATTAAAAGAAAAGTAGTAAATTTATGTTCTACCAACTTAACAGAACCACAAAATTAGCTACTAGCAAAAGAGCTAATGTCTATACCAACTCCTTTAACAGTACCCAAAGAATCATTTGTAACTCAGATAGAACAAGGACTACAAAAGCTGGTCCCAGGTGGAAATATTGATTTTACAAGACGCCAAATTCGAAGATTACTTGAGAAACCTATCAGTCTGAAACCTAACCTAACTAAAAACGAAATGAAGACTATTAAAGAGTTGATACAGAATAAAGAAATATGTTTTGTACCACCAGATAAAGGGAAAGCCACTGTTATTATGGATACAGATCAGTTAGAAAGAATGGTGAACCAAACCCTGTCAGATTCAACACCCTATAACCCGTTACCAATTATCCAACCCCGAAACTAGACCTAAAACTTAAATGCACCTTAAAAATACTTATAGAATCAGGTGAGATCGACATATGACAAACTAAATATCCCTCATCAAACAACACCCACCATATGCCAAAGCTCAAGTAAAGATACACAAGAACCCAATTAAAGTCAGATTACTGATCTGTTCCAACATACTACCAGACTTAGGGAAGTCAGAAGTCCTCTATTAAACATATTAAGGAACTATTATACAAAATAAATATACAACCCTAACTAGGAAAACAAAATTATTGGTTATCATGTACCGGTAGTTGACCTATTTACCAGTATACCAATTGATAAAGCCATGAATTGTGTGAAAGCTAGAACTGAAAATCAAACACCCACCCTCAACACCGCCATGAGTATAGATAGCATTATGAAGTTATTAGAATTGTGTGTTAAATCGACATATTTCAAATGGAAAGAGGCAGTTTTTCAACAAATTCATGGGTTACCAATGGGTTCACCAATAAGTCTGGTAATCGCAGAAATTTACATCACAGCCTTTGATGAAAATACAATAGCAACATCCCCAATCCAATCTATCATTTGGCTTAGAAATGTAGATGATAACATTTGTGGTGATGAAGGAAGAAGATCACCAACTGCTTCTAAACCACCTCATTTCAAGACACCCAAGAATACAATTTACTGTTCAAGAAGAAAACAATAAACAGCTACCTGGAAGCCAACAAATCAGCAGTAGTTGAACACATCATTTGAAATCCTACCCACAATATAGAATGGGATAAAACTAATGTTCTGACTAGAAATATTCAAGTATGGAAAACAAGGTTTTGTGGAAAGGATATAAACCTAAAATGAACGATATGTAATGTATGGAATGATCTATTATCATAATGCAGTATGATGGTGTGTCTCCTAATAATTTAATCTTGAGAACTATATAATTAGGCCGTAAGTTAATAAATTATGAAGATATTATTAATGAGTTATGCATGTGGATATGTTTGAGTTAAGTTTGTTTGGAGTTATTGATAATAAGAAAGCAGTGGCGGTAGTTTCACCCAAATCAATTGTGATAACTTTTATATAGATTAGTTAAGGTTACCCGCTTATTAAGAAGACATGTTCAAAAAGATAGACTAGTTAATTATGTAGTTTTGTATTGATATGATTCTATGATGGTGGCGGCAGCTTTGGGCCCTATTCAATTAGTATTAAGTAGCGAAATCCAATTCAAAGGAAAGTGATTGTTGTTATGGCTTAATTAAATTAATGTTTTTAATGTTATAAATTGTTTTACTTATGGATGTACTATAAATGTATGGTTGTATTCATTATATCATACCTGGTGTATTGGATGTTAAATTTGTAATAAACAACAACAACATTATTGATCATTGCTTGATAAAGATACCTGTAAGAGTATTGAAACGTTGTATGTAATAAACCAAGAAGTAGTAAATCCATGAAGTTGTGTTATTATGAATATCAGTGTTTATCGCTTGCTATGAAGTAAGTTTTTGTTTCATATCATTGTAAATACTGAGCAGAATTAAACCATGTTTAGAATTATATTCCTTTATAGTTTCAACTTTCAAATTTTTTAAGTTTGCAATGGAGGAACCCACAAACGACTTTCAGGGACTTCAAAGACACCTTTACAGAATTCTATCCACACTTTAATATTTGCTGGTTGTTATGCTTTTTGCTTATTATACAATTCTCAGTTGAATGATTTGTTTGTTTTCTTGTAAACAAATTTTTACTTATTTTTTTGATAGACATTGATCATTCTGGGTCATATCTGTGAAATAATTGAAAATAGCCTTATGAATTGTTGAACATGCATGTATATCAACCTGTTACAGGATAAATAACTGACTTTTACTAATTACAGTAACAATGAACAATTATTATATGTTAATTTATTAACATATTTGCCATGGTTTTGCATATTATATTAAAGGATTTTTTTACTTATCAATAATATGAAAATACTGTTTCTAAAAAAGATTGTTTTCAAACTTGCAGCATTCGTACATCTGGAAATGGGATTTTAGCTCATTTAACAATTGTTTAATTATTTTTTCTTATCAATCTTAATATATTCTACCATCAAATTCATAATGTAGGTCTTCTGGGTGTCTGTTCTAGGAAAACGATTATTGATCAAAATTTGTGTACACTAGAAAAAATATAAATATGTAGACTTCAAATTTAAAAAATTGTCTATAAAAAAAAACATTCCTTAGTCCACATTTATGTCTATATGAATAATAACATCCGAGCTGCACAAACAGTAAAAATTTCAGCCATGCATTGTGCGAAATTTTTTTAAAAATGTATTGAAATTTATTTTAAAAAGAGATCTTTGGGAAAATTATTTAAATCTGAATAATAAATGTTAAAGACAATGTGAACCTTGATAATGCAAGTAAAAATGTGGTAACCAAATACACAAAGGCCAGACAGACGGACAGACAAACAATAATGTTGACAAATCCCTTGGTTACAATTTACATCTTGAGGAAAGGTGCGAGAAAACGCTAGAATGACAGTACCCATAAAATATTTATTGATAAAAACAACCTCAACTTTTTTCGAGATGAATAATAAATGACCAATGGTTTGGTAAACAATTGAAAGATACAAGCAGTCTAGATAGCGATTGGTTATAATGCAACCAAATCTCTGTAAGCACTAACAGCAAAACGAGAGAATTATCCGTCAAACGGTTCACTATGTACATTGGCTAACTTTTCTGTTTTGTGGGTTTAAGTTAGATCGATTCATCACAGTCAACTGTCACATATTTTAATCAATTTAGCGCAATATAAGCCCTTTTAAATTTTCACTGAACTTGAAAACAAGGGGATAAATGATATCTAATTTATCCTTCACTCATTAGTTAATATAACAGTAAATAAGGAAATAAAACATGAGGATCGGTGAACCTGGTGCAGACGACCTTTTTTGCACCCACATACCAATGGCTATACAGGAAGTTGAGAGTTTAAAGACCTCAACGATTAGTTTAGGCCACGAGATGTAATTAAAATCAATGATGTCATAAATAAACACTACTTACGTAACATTATATTATACTGTATTTATATCCACAACAAATTTTGATGCAACGATATTGACTTACCATCTGCTGCCTGCCTCCTTTCTGTGATATTTTGCCATTGTCAACTTTGTAACACTGAACACCTTTCAACTCTACTATTTACTTTTCCCATGAAGTTTCCCTACGTTTTTTTTCAACACGGTTCACTTGAATAAGCGCGGGTCACAGCTTTGTTCTGTATTATTATCAGTTATGTAACAACACACACAGTCTTATCCTTTTAAAAAATAATCATTCTTTTATCAACTCAGGTTTTCTTGAAATTGTCATTAAGGTTTTGATCAAAGATAAATAGATTTTATATCACTGTCCATACATAGATCATGAAATCACTGTCTATTGTGCTGCAGAAAATCGTCTGAATTGCACTGGGAGCTAAACCCCAAAAACATGCGAACATGCAAGAAGTAAACACAAATCAGTGGAATTAGAAAAGAGAGGAGAACAATTCATCTTTTGATAGGGATGTGTGCGTATGTTTGTTGCCATCGCTTCACTAACAACAGATACCAAATAATGAGGAATTCTTTTTGGAATGGAAAAAAATAACAAGTGTCTACACTGTTGTTGAAAACTACAGCGAAGAAGGTGAGAATGAGCTGTGTATCAGGGTATATAGTTGTGGACATGGAGTGAAGGCAAGCTTGGGAAAACAGTTGAACTTCTATTCAAAGTATGTAAAAACATTTTCTTATTTTTGGAGATTGACGCAGTGCAAATTGGCCGTGTTATGTGCAGCCATTTTTCTCAGGATTTTTTGAATAATTCACGTTTAAATTGATTTTTTTTTCATGGAAAATGTTATTGCATTTTTGTTGTCACGATATTTGTAAGATATTTCTCTTTTTTATTGTTTAGTAACATACCTTGAGATATTTAAGTAAGTTGAAATGATTATAATTATAGGATATGACAGATAGAGAATATACTTACAATCATTTATATTATGGCTTATGTCAATATTAACATTTCATTTTGAATTATTTGCGTGGGACAGTCATTGACATTGATATAATTTGACAAATGGTGGATGAAGGATTTCTGTAAGGAGAAAGGGGCCAAACTTAGCATTGTCATGTGCATGGAAGGATACTGAAAATTTGATTTGTTTTTGTTTCTCAAGTTTCATAGGTCTCAATATTGTGTGTTGTTTTGGTTTCAAAATTGTGAAAGTTAGGCCCAAAATGGGTGGGGTTTTTTGTTGTTTCAGCATTGTGATACTAATATTAAATGTAGGTATGTTCTTTTGGTCTCCATGTTATGATACTGAGAGAAATAGGGTTTAACGTCCAATCAACACAAACTAGGCCATTTCAAGACAAAGTACATATAATACAATTTTATTTCAATTAAGTCAACTGGCGTGGTTTCGATTCCCCAGTAAACCGAAGGTCCTGGAGAAAACTCTAAAGATTGAACAGATGAATCACCTGTCACACGTACAAATGTGGGATTGAACCCATGCCACTTGACCCAATGACATTATGATTCAAAGCATATGCTTAGACAATTTGGCCACCTAACCCCACTGTTGTGTGATACTAGTAGGGTAGGGATGTTTTTTGTGGTTTTTTTTTGGGGGGGGGGGTCAATATTATGATAGGCCTATAGGGCCCAAAACTAATGTGGGTATGCACTTATAATGATTGGTACAGTCCTTTCAATGTTCAACATGACCATTTCTGAAAGCTGTAGGCTACTCTTATGTGTTAATATCCTCTTGCTAGTTAGCCTAGTATGGGTATGTTTTATGTATTGTTTAATGGTCGAGAGGGAGACATTAAGTAATATATTGTAATAACAAGAGAACCATAGGCCCGAGTGTTTTTAGAATATATTACCCAATGTCTTAAGCTCGAGACCATTAAACGACTTAAAATACAGATACTCTGCACGTGCTTTTACTGTGAAATATGTCACGCGAGTCCAATATTTCACTAGTATAAATAATGTACCATTGGCAAGTTGCTCGTACGATTGTGTTTTGTTGGTAATTATACTTTAATGCTAGAGCCCAATGTGCTGGTGTTTTGTTGGTGTCAATGTGTATGATATTGGTGCCAAATATTCATGTTAATATTGTGTTTCTAGGGCCAAATATGAATGTGTTTAGTTGGGGTCAATATGAGTGGGTTTATATAGTTAAACTCAATATAGAAATGATAACACCAATTCCAGCATAAAGCCCAAGTAGTACCGGTAACTGATGCCATATGTCTAAAGATGGGCAAATTTTCGACATCATTTGATCAAGCAAACTCAATGAATTTTAGTTCATTTAATTCTCATCAAATTGCTTTAGAATTATATCAAAAAGATATGTTGTATATGTTTATATTGTATGGTATCCTCAAGGGGTGTTTGAATACAATAAATCTTATCTTAATTATCTGCTAAGAATTATTGCCATTCTTACCTTGCATTTATATAACTGACCAAATACAATTGTATGAAACGTCTCATGATTGAATCATAATTGACTGGCATGGTGGAAAGTACATAGTTTGAGCTGATATTACTCTGTTATTAACAGGGGTGGATCCAGAGGGGGGGTTTGGGATGTCGCCCCCCCCCCCCCCCCCCCCCCCCCCCGCTCAGTTACATATTTTTTTTTTTTGTAAATCAACAATTTTTATTTTTTTATGAGAAAAGTTTCTCGGCTTTATCGTCAGATGTGGGACAGGATGGGCACTCAAAGCATGAGATAATGATATAGACATTATGTGATATCACAATTAATGCTTTGCATCCATGAAATTGAATCACAATGTCATTGTATTAATTCATAATAAAAATTGACGTCAAACGAGGTGTTGAATTTCTCTGTTTAAAAAGCTCAATGTGTATTACTGTAACCCAGGTATCTTTTAATCTTGTGTATCTAGCACTAATTTCTTTCACATTCGTTTAATATCAAATCTTTGTTTAAAAATTTGTAAAAACTGTTTAAAATCACCATAAATCGTTTAATTTGTACTTCTGTCCAGTTTAAAGCTGACCATTCAATTTTGATAATGAGTGTCCAATTTACAAGTGTTTAATTTCTCAATCATTGTTAAAAAATAAACAACCCAATTGATTAATGATGTATAATGATTAATTTTTGAACAGTGATCAGGAAATTAAATACTTGTAAATTGGACACTCATTATCAAAATTAATCAGTCAGCTTTAAACTGGACACATGTACAAATTAGATGATTTTGGGTGATTTTAAACGATTTTTATGAATTTTTAAACAAAGATTTGATATTAAACGAATGTGAAAGAAATTAGTGCTAGATACACAAGATTAAACAATACCTGGGTTACAGTGTATGTATATACGCCAAAATGACGATAGAGACCATGCGGGAGGGGGGGGGGAAGATACATTGTCTCAGGAACCTGGCAAACCCCCTCCTGCAAAAACTCCTGGATCCGGACAAAGTTAATTAGTGACATATATCTTACATACTAGTCATCATTAACAAATTTGTTGTTATAGTTGTTTACATGTATATAATGTCCCATTATTTTTTATATACCCACACATAATAATTCATTTTTATGTGCCCACACATAAATATTCATTTTTGTATGCCTAAAAAAATAATTCATTTTTATATTCCCACATATCATTTTTACATGCCCACATATAAATTATTTTTATATGCCCACATTTAATTGTGAGCATATTATGTTGTCACCCACTCACCCATCTCAATCTGTCCGTAATTGGTTTGTTAACACAATAGAGGTTACAGTTTTTAACAGATTTTTTTCAAATTAGGGTTGAAGCAATAGGGTCACAAAAGGATGATCCCTATCAATTGTCAGAGGTCTGCAACCTTCTGTTCTGCAATGTGTGACTCTGAATATATGAATAGTGTTCATCTTTATTACTATGCAACAATGTCAATCCCAGAATGTTTTAGATAAAAGATTATTTCAAAAACCCTGAACTCTAAAGATATTAAAAACCCTGCCTGCTAGAGCAATTACAAGTTTTCATGATCTTCTGTGCTAGCAAATTAATTTTTGAAAAAAATCTTAAAATATCTTAAGAAATTGGGAAAGTTTTTAGTATTATCTCAATTTGTAAATCATTTTTTAAGTGTTTTTACACATAAATAAAAATTGTATATTTATTGTATTTTCTGGTTAAATTCTTTTAAAAAAATTGATTTGATTGTAGATATGACCACTTCAAAAGCTTTGCTGATCAGAACTAAGATTTATTTTCAACATTTATTTAGGCAGTTCAGATCTAAATTAAACATTTTTTCTTTTTCTTTTGCATTAAATGTTATTTTGAATTTGTCAGTGCAACCAAACTTAACTTTAAAAGTTAAAAATGCATTATGTGGTCTTTCTTGCTATAATAATTCAAAAATAGATGGTGAAAAAGCAATATATTGAAAATGTCATTCAAATTACTTTATACGGAGTAAAAAAAAAGTTATGACTGTTTGAAGATGCAGAGCAAATCATTTATTATCGTAGCATCAGCCATCTGATGCTCTTCTAGAGAGTTGATTATAGGCTTGTCATGTGAATAAATGTCTAAATAATAATTTATATAAGATTTGAAGTCAGAACAAAGACCTGCAATGGGCAGATTTAGTTCATGTTCATAATGCCTCTTTAAAACACTTGCCCTTGTTAGTTTAAAAAGAAACTTACCTTTATTTGTTAAATGAACTCATAAATTCTCTTCAAATATAATATTTGTAAATGACAAAATGCCTAGTTTAGCATTTTTGAACAGAAATTGACTGTTCGTTCACAGTGATCAGATCTTACTGGAACAAACTTATGGTTTATATTTTAATCTTCTAAAGATTCTGAAATTTAAGAACTATATGTAAATAGTGAAGTTGAGCAGTTGATCGACAAAGTTACATATGCTGCCTGCTATTCTCTATGTAAGAACATGGTATATGCGAAATTGATTATTGGCAAATTTATTAACGGGTCTTTATTACATCATTAATGCATTTCTGATGTTTGTTCCAGTAAAAAAAAAACCTAAAACAGGTGGGAAAACAAACTTGACAGTAGGGAAATTGTTGGAAATGTGAGGCTCTTTGAAGGCGTATACAGGGCAAATAGACGAGCATAGTTTATTATCGATTAACGGCAAGGATTTCAAGATTATTGATATAACAGCACAGGGCTTTACCAAGTGTTGGCCTAAGTTATTTAAATTCTTCTGATTGTATAGATTGAAACACTGGGCAAGCAAATATTTAATGCTTATTATGTAATATTAAACCTAAGTAGCACTTCTGATAATGTACTGACAATAAATACTCTACTACAGGATAAGAAATTCCATGATCACTATAATCAAGCCAATAATCACAAGAGCTACCATCATCTTGATATTAATGGCTAAAAGAGGAATAATATTGTTCTAATGTTGAAAGTAGTAATTATTTGATCATTTATAGTTTTAACTATAAGAAAAATTATGGTATTTTTTTTTCTAGAAAATGTTAAGAGGTATATATGAAGGAGAGAAAGACAAAGGTTGTGCTCATTACCACTGCCAGCACAGGGGTTGATTATAGTCCTGCAGATACTAATATGTTTATCTTATCAAGGTAGTTAATGCATTTTATCTTTGGATTTATAGGTAAACGATAAATATATTTTAGTGATTCACTTTTTATACGCCCACATTTTCATGTGGACGTATTATGCCGTCGCCCCTGTCTGTCCGTCCATCAATCCACAATTTGTTTGTGGACACTCCACAGGTAACAATTTTTATTCGATTTTAACAAACTTGAAATATTTGCGCATATCGGACCATAATTTCCTGGCTTATGCCCCCTGATTGTACGGAAAATCATGTTTTTAGCTTGTGGACCGTCTAGAGGTCACAATTTTTATCCGATATTAGAAAACGTTTAAATTTAGCACCGTTACAACCTAAAGACGGTTGAGTTCGAATTTTGTGAAAATCAGACCGAAACTACCTGACAAAATGGATGCTCCTTGTATGCAAATTGTGTACAAGTATGTAATATGAAGGTTGTGGAGCCTCTAGAGATACAATTTTTGTTCGATTTTGATGAAATTTAAAATATATCTTTATCTTCCTTCCAAAGATTTCAGTCCCTTTCGATATTCGCACATTTCAGACCATAACTTCGAGTGTGCGAAAAATCTCTTCTTTTTTTCTTTTTTTTTAGCTTGTTCTCTATTCATCTCTTGTTCGAAAAATCACATTTTTAGCTTGTGGAAACTCTAGAGGTCACAATTTTCATCTCCTAAAGATCTTCGTTCCTTTCGATATTAGCATGTATCGGACCATAACTTCATGGATTATGGCCCCTGATTGTATGAAAAATAACGTTTTTAGCTAGAGGTCAGAAATGCATGTTTATAACCCCAAGATCTTGGTTCCTTTTGATATTCGCACATATCGGACCATAACTTCCTGAATTATGGCCCCTAATTGTACATAAATTTACGTTTTTAGCTCGTGGTCTCTCTAGAGGTCACAATTATTACCCGATTTAAACAACCGTTCAAGCTGTTAAAGCGTAATGTAGGTTTAGTTCAAATTTCATGAAAATCAAACCAAAACTGCCAGATATAATGGTCGTCCCTCAAATGGTTGCCCCTCGTACGCAAATAGTGTAAACATTTTTTGGACTATGAACCCTCTAGAGGTCACAATTTTGATCCGATTTTGTTTATAACCCTAAAATACTGGTTCCTTTCGATATTCAAGCATAAATTCCTGAATTATAACCTCATGGATTATGGCCCCTGATTGTTCAAAAAATCACGTTTTTAGCTTGTGGCCCCTCTAGAGGTCACAATTTTTATCTAGATTTTAAAAAATGTATGAATACATCACCGCTACACCCTGATGACAGTTAGGTTCGAATTGCGTGAAAATCAGATGAAAACTGCTGGACAAAATGGCCGTCCCTCGTACGCAAAATATGGTATAGCAGGGTTGAGGACCCTCCAGAGGCCACAATTTATCCAATTTTGTTGAAACTTTAAATCTATAGAATGCATAGGTCATCGGTCTTTCATACCAAGTGAACTACTAGGTAGGTGCTGTTTCTTTACAGAGACCTTCTGTCATGCACTACTGACAAGGGGCACCAATATAATAATTCATCTTCATGCGATAAGCTCTTGTATTTCAAATATTTGATACTCTGATAATCAATGCTATAACATGGTGGAATGAGGGAATCACAATTTTGATCATTCATATGATACCCTAGACATGTTCTAGTATGTGAAAATGTGTTGCCATCACTGTGGGTTGTGTGCAAACCCTGATCTATGTTTAAAGGTGCCATCCCAGATTTTACAGGATAATCGTTGATAAATGTGTAGTTGATTAGGTAAATCAAGCAACAAAATGTGGATTTCACTTTTCAATTGTACAAGTGTCTTAAAAATTACGACTATCAGCAAATATATAGACATGGTTATCCAGACACACCTTTTTAATATAGTATTAGGACACTTATTGACAACCATAAACAATATTAACTTGTTTTATTCACTAGAAAATTACTGAGAACTTTTTATATTTCAACGTGGGTGTATTATGTTATCAATTCATCTTATGGTACAGCAAAAAAAAATCATTAATAAAAATTTATCGTACTTGCTAAAACAAATACTGCACAGTTTAATTTGGGTTTTTTTTTTCTCATGTGTGTAAAAATAGTTTCAGATTTCCCAATTCACAAGAAGGTCTTCGTCCTAAGTGAAAGGTGATCTAGTGTAGAATGGTTAAATTCCAAGAGGTGCAATATGTTCATTGGTGTATTGATTGAGAGAGTCGAGATCAAAGGTAGCAGTGCTGTGGTATTGAGAGGCGTAGAGGCCATCTGGTACAACAAAACAGAAAATACATGACAATCTTACACAACTCTTTTAACTTCTTAAATCTCCCACATAGTTTTACAATGTTACACAAGGTCCAACAAGCATGTACTAACTTTTTCAACTCGTCTGCAGAATTTGAAAGACTGGTTCTCGAATAGTGACACAAATTGGCTAAGTTGACACAGTTCATAAAGAGATAAAAGTAAATTTAAGTTGCAGAGATTATTGTCAAAATTGTAGGGATATTTTTAGTTGGCTTATTTTAGAAATGAGACCCATGGTTAATCTGCAGGAACATTTAGTGTGTTTACATCGGGAAGCATGAGTTTTAAGACAAGAAGGAGTTATAGACAGGCTATACTTGAACTTACCATTACATAGGACACAATTTCTTCTTGGTGCAATAGAAATTATGGTTAACAATACCAGGTTATCTATGTGGTTTTTTTTTCATAAATATCTTTCAGAAGGACTCATTTGTCATTCATATACTTATGTAAAAACACCTATACAAATTAGGTTTGTGAAACCCACTTTCTAGAATTGTATTAATTTGTACAAGTTGACTGGAAATTTAAGAAAGGGAAACTTTTTCTGTTATGTATGTATTTATGAAATGTTCACAAGTAAATAAAATAATGAGAAATCTGTTGCAGAGTTTCTTTTAAAACTAAAAGGAGGATGGGTCTGTGACTAACTTCAATCTTCATTGACAGCATATACGAGTGTGTGGGATTTTTGGGGGGCCACAGCTAAATTTCTCCATACCTGTCTTATAAAGTTTATTCAAATATAAAAGAATACAATTTGTTTGGGTTTAATTGAGAAATTTGTGTAAAGTTCATTAATTATTGAGCCTCAATAACCTATGAATTTGAATATAGAATCAAAGTAGAAATAAGACACAATTCCAGTCTACTGCTGTATATATATTTAATGAACCCTTTGAATCCTGACTGAATCTCCTTACCTGAATCTCACAAATTCCAACTCGATCCAACATGGTATTTGTCATCATGAGCAAACTTTATCAAGAATGTTTTTATTCTGGACAATTCTCACAAGGGATAGAATTATCAGGGATAGTGAACTGGATCACGAATTAGACCAGATCAGAGGAAGAAAAGTGTGCTTACTATCGACTTGTGTATTGAAGCACGCTTAAATTAGTTCTCAAGATCATGAAACATTTCATGACAAAATCCAGATTTTACCCTTCCAATAATATACTGCAATCAACCATGGATATAACAAAACATACTAAAGAGGGGGCTTCAGGCAAAATGCTGATGTTACACTATCTGAAAAATCACTTTTAGGGACGTGGCACAATAATTTTTCCCCAAATAAGATGCTCAAAGGCCTAGTACTTAGCTCTACCTACCACAATGGTATAAGATAAATTGAATAGGACATAAAATTATAGATTTTAATTGAGGCATATTGTATTAAAGATACATTATGGGAGATTTGATAGAGTTGTCAGTTCTTGCTATAATAGTTAACAAATAGGTAATGTAAATAGAATATGCTGAAAATTTCAGATACTAGCTTTTGAATTTCAGGCTAGCCTCGATCATCATTACGAGTCGGTATGATAAAAAACAAAGTCTCAATTATCCATTTTTACATTTACTTATATTTCAGAGGATGTATTTCAATCCACTAAATAATGCAGGCTAGCGATGGCATCGCCATCGAGGGTTGATCATGGTCTGGATAAGTTAATTAATATCTAATTAATAATTTAGATAACCTTTCAGGCCTAAAGAAAGACCTACAATAGACAGATTTTATCTCTCTCTTATGCCATGGAAGCAAAGCATCTACCAAATTTCGATATATCCTAGGGGACTGAAGCTTTTTCATAAAATATTTCAAGGGTCTTGAGTTAAGGATTCACCATTAATTCTTTAAACAAGTACATAATGTAGTCACACATTATTTATTCTTAAATTAACAAGTATTATTCATTCATACATATATCACTACAGGCCTTATTCTACATATATAATATTACAAAAATCCATCAAATTCTCACAAACAATATTGTCTATATCTTTAATTTAATTAACAGTATGAAAGGATTTATGGACACCTTGACTTGACGATAACTACAGTATAAAATATGTTAAAATTTTTTGATTCTACAAAACATTATGGTTAAATATGCAAGGTTGATGATAATTTCTTTGCACCCAAATCAAATATATATGTCTCTCTATTGATTGATTAGTGTGATCGAGAAGATGAGCTAATGGCAAAACTTTCCTTTGGAGAGTCCTTATTAAAAATTAATACTGTCCGTCCCTACTAAAAATGTGGACGTTCAACTTTAGCTCTACCTCTTCTAGAAGAGAGACGGATGAGAGGGGGTCTTCTTCACAGATCTATAAATTCTGCTAGGATTTTACTTTACTGCATGTATAAAATTTATTATAAAGATTGTAAATGATCATGGTTTATATTTCACTTGATACAAGTAATATGATGGATTTAAAACCTGAGCTTTTAAACTGTGATATTTTAATGACAGTAGGGTACAATTCAATATACCAGTAATTTAATGACAGTTGGTACACTTTACAGGTAATTTCATGACAGTTGGTGACAGCTAATGTGTTATCTCATACTGCAATAATTTCATGTTCCCAAAACAGAACAATTTTGTTTAGGGTTCATTCATACATATTTTTTTTCTCACAACTTCCAAGATCTTTTTTACAAACTTAACAATATTTAATGTAATATCAGTTATAATGACACCATTAGTAAAACTATTATTCAGCACTAATCAATAGTATATCATACTTTTAAAAAATTAACAATTTATCTTAAAATTGTCTCTACAACATAATTATCCAATTTTCCTATATTACCGTCTCCAAGCTGGTAGGAAATTAAATTTACTAGATTTTCTTTGTTCTGTTATCTGTACCTGCTTACTCATTTTTTCTTGTTCCTCCTAAAGTGAGAAAAAACAAGTCAAATATCAGAAAAACATTCAATCTTAAAGCAAAAATGGGGGAAAAAAGTAATAATAAAAATCGAGCACCAAGTAATAACCAATTTTACCCCAGATAATTTAAAACTATTTTTCATGTAATATTACAAAAAATATCCTAGGTTAAATTGGATCTATCTTCTTTTATGAAATCTCATGGAATTTACAACTTTTTAACTTTTTTGGGAAGTGACCACTAGCTTCAAGCTAGACATAAGGCACCTGTCACAGACATTGTCAGGCACAAATTACCACACAACAAAATTGAAAAGGTCTTGTTTTGAAGCACATTGCTCAAGGTTAATTCCATAAATCTTAAAATGGAATTTAAAATTTAAAAAAACCCCACATAAATCAGTAGGCATGAATAAAAAAAAAGTTTGTTAGGGTGCAGTATATCTTAAAAATAAAAAACCTACTTGTAACTTTTTTTGATTTTCTTTAAATGCTTCAATAGGATCATCAAATTGTTGGTAATAATCCATAACTGTTCTTAAATCTTCAACACCACTAGTTCCTAAAGCTGCAAAATTATAAGTTACAACTAAGAAAATCCTTAAAGGTCACGGAAAAGCTTCATAAATTTTTTAAATAATGCAAGTACTTATGTCAACAAAAACCCAGGAAGTTAAAGTCAGAAAGCATTAGAATTTGATTGGATGTTTTAGTAGCAGTAATAAACTAAAGACTATTCCATTGGAATTTCAATTTCCTAAAAGCAATTAGTCAAAAAAAACCAACAAAATGATGACTCTTCTCTCAAAACAGCATTCTAAATTTTCCATTTCATATGTCAACCCGATCTCAGAGTTGTGTTGACACTACTGTATCCTAGGCAATTGTGCCATTTATAGAAAGAATTAAAGTAATTCTTGCAAATTAAAATAAAGTTTAATGGCATCTCATCATACACAACATGATTCAGTAATAGTTGTTGATACAGTTCAAACCTCGGGCCCTAATACTAGAAGCTTCATGTTCTTTCTGCATGTGAGCAGCATATCTAAACATGATCAGATTTTAAAGAACTGTAATTATCCAAAAGCATAAATGGATTGAGGTAATTGGAAAAGGAAATACATGTACATGTATACCTAAAGATATTGAAAGTAACGATACACTTGTGTTGCAGTGTGCAAATATTATAACAATTGGAATGAATTTTAAATAGAAATTGTTGACATATCAAGTTCCATGTCCAATTCCTATCTTCTCAACTTTTCAATGTAAGTTGACATTCATTTTTTCCATTTAAAGAAATACCATCACTTAAATATTGAATCAAATTGGGATATTATTAATATTACAAAAGACGGCAACATCCAATATAATTATCTACATATATTACTCTTCAAATTAATGTTCATTAACTTAAAAAAATAATTCCACATTAAACAAGGCAGCCTAAAAGAACATAATTTCCTAAATTTCACATGTTCTTGGATTTTTTTTATGGACTATATCAGTTCCTTTTACAAGCACAGCTAAATTATAATGACTAGCATCAAAAGAGAACAATTACCTCAGGCAGCATAACATGCATTTAAGAACATCATTTGTCAATTTGAAGGAAATTAAAAGCTGAATTGGCCAATGAGATCTAATGGAGTAATTTCCTGCTGCATTGTTTTTTAGGTCACGTTGCTCTTCTCGACAATTTGCACTTTCACTTTAATTTGTTTAGCTAGGGAGACAATACCTATTGATTTTAAAACGCCTAACAGCAGAAAGGTAAATTGTCTGTTTATGGACATTAAATAGAGGAAATATTATATGAGGAGGCGAGCAAGGTGGTGTCAACTTGCCCTGATTGAATTATGGAAGCTGGTTATTAACTCCATACTATTTTAAACTGAAGTGCATGCAAATCGTTTTAACAAAATAAATACTTCTACCTGGGAAAGAAATGACATTTTTAAAAAATCCTTAGAACCCTTTCTTATTTAAGATTATGCGTATTAAATATCACCAATTACCAATTAAACATCGACAAATTATTTCACCAAAAATAAATGAGTCATTGTATTCATAACTATGTTCTTGTAATCAATTCCTCCCATTAGCTATTTTGAAATAAACTGCACAAAATTTAATACGAGTCATGACCATACACGTATATCTACTCAATGTTTCAATAAATAATCTAGAACTGCCAGGAAACGTGTAGTGTGTGTAGGCACCACCAACATTTTGAAGGAAGGCAATTAAGCACATTATTGATTGTCGAGATAAGAATATCCTTAAAATATCTCAAGAATCAAAATGCACAATTCTAGATTTTAATAGGTTTCCTCATACGACTAGCCAATGTATCCCCCCTTACTCACAGATACAACAATTGTCCGTAAATACATTGTGTGACCTTAAATTTTGATAGGGTTCAACCCTGTGACCTCTAAGTGTAAGGTGTTTTCAATGTTATGGCGAAGAGGGGCACTAACTCCAGGCAGAATCAATGAGTGACTAAATTTCGATAATACTTCTTCTTTAGACTAGCCAAACCATCCCAGCCAGTTTGGAAAACAATCTTACAGATAGCCAAGTTAACGTAGAAATACCCCTACACATGGATGTTGAGGATGCCTTCAAGAAATCCGATATTTATCATATTCCCAAGCTTGAAAAAATCTGTTAAAAACTGTAGCCTTGATCACAAGTCAATTGTTGATGGACAGGTGACGGAATAATATGCCTAAACTGAAATGTTGAGTATGAAAATTGAGACTAAACTAAACCAGACAATACAATATATAATATACTTGTATTGTTATTGTTTTTTTTATATTTTAGTCCTTTGTCATAATACCAAAAACAACATAATATCATGTGCTGATTACCTCTGCAAAAAATTACCTATTAAACATGCATTATGCAAAAGCAAAATCTGCTTATTACAAGTCTTTCTTTAGGCCTGAAATGTTATCTTAATTATCAATTAGACATTAATTAACTTATCCAGACCATAATAAACTCTCAATGTCAAGGCTAGCCTTCGATGTTGGCTGGATTACATTCTTATATGCCGCTAACGGCCGTTGATATTTAAATTAGAAAAAGTGGATAATCGAGACTATGCTGTTTATATTAATGATTTTAGTAATGATGACCGAGACTATGCAAAAATTTCACCCGCTTCTTTCTCGGCTCATAGTGGATCAATTTGACTGAAATTTTCAGCAAATTACCTTTACACTATCTAGTTTTTAACTATTATAGCGAGATCTGCCATCTCTTTTTCTTATCTCCCATAATGTATCTTTAAGTAATTACACATTTATCTTTTTATAGCACACTGAGCAGTCAAGGTTTTGATATAGTTTCATCACTCTCTTTCAATTAGAATCCAAGACATCACTCTCCCTCAATTAGAATCAAAGATGTTGTGTCCTAAAGCATCAACCAAATGAAATTGCTTAGCCTTAGATGAAAATGTTAATCACTGAACTCTGTCAAGACATTCACCTGATTAACATCTACACTACAATTGAACATACTACCTCAATTAAAGGGGCTTGATGGGAGATTAGATAAAGAGCTGGCAGTTCTCACTATAATAGGTAAAATTAGATAATGTAAAGGGAATCTGCTAAAAAAATTCAGTCAAATTGATCCACTCTGAACCCAAGATATCAACTTTTGAATTTTAGGCCTAGTCTCAATCATCATTACTAAAGTAGGTACGATAAAAAACATAGTCTTGATTATCCATTTTTGTATTTAATCATCAATGAGCATTGAGCAGCAGATTAGTTTCAAATCCAGTAAATATCACAGGCTAGCGTTGACATTGAGAGTTTATTATGGTCTGGATAAGTCAATTAATGGCTTATTAATAATTTAGATAATATTTCAGGCCTACAGAAATGATCTGCAATAGGCAGATTTAGCTCTTGAATAATATATGTTTAAAAGCAGAGTTGTGATGTTCGAGATTCTTAACCAATCAGATTGCTTATCGCAAGATAGCCAAAGCACTTAGTCAAGGTATTGATGTAATAAAACTTTAATCTCTCTAACCATTCATATTGTTTTTCACTGCTTAGCCTAAGTGGAAAATGCTTATTATCGAACTTCATTAGAAAGATATTGATGTAATGAAACTATACACCAAGTTCAACACTCTCATTTAATTAGGATTAAAGTTATCGTGCCCCAAAGCATCGATCAATCAAGGTGCTTATCTCTGATCAAGGCATTCACCTAAGAAACACCTACACCAAGTTTGAATACTGAAACTCAATTAGAACGAGAATTACTGTGTCCCAAAAAGTGTGTCAGACGGAAGAATCCATTTTAAAGAGGAGTCCCCTGCTTTTTTCGAATTACTTTAAAGCAAAATATTTATCAATGTGTATCTGTAAGTTATAATAACAATACACATGCATAAATGAATTGAAGAGGTACTGTTGAACACTCATTTAAATATAGGAAATATCATTCATTATTTCTCATTCATTTTAGTTGCAAAAGCTAATAGTGTAATGCCTTAAAGTGCTTTTTGTAAGTTGCTTGTCAAGAGATCAAAGATCTTCTGTCTTTTGTAGAGATGATCTACCAAAAGCTAAAATCCTTGATAAGATATTTTTCCCTCATTTTATAAAGATGAACTTTTATTAGTTTTAGATATCTTTAACAAGAAAACTTACTGTGTAAAAAGTTTGCTAAATCAAATAATTGGGCATCATCTTCTCCTTTCCATCTCTTCAAAATTAAAGCATTACTTTTCTGTAATTGGCAGGATTTCGGATCCCATTCTAACATGATAACTTTTGATAAATCACGATTTAAACATGATAAATCCTACAAAATAAAAACAATGACTTTCATATATTCAATTTTCTTCAGATGTCAGGCCCCGAATATTCCCAACTGTCAAAACCAACAAAGACGTCTGTGTTCGCTCTAAAATCAATGTCAGCTAATTCCAACGAAGTTTTTTAAAAAATTCCCATATGAACTCTTATTATATTGATTCAAAAGTTAATTATGAAGATAAATCCAGAGTTTACATTCTGAATTTCAATACAGTTCCCCTTCTGCCTCAATGAACAAGAAGCTAAGAAGTCCAAGCGGTCCACAAGGGTTCTCAGTAGTTCTCACATATTTTATCAGACATGATTAGAATTTTGCTGTTCAAGTGACATAACTCTGGCAGTAATTATCAGAAATTGCTGAAAATCAAGACTTCTTTGTCTCATGACCATAGACACTGGGAATATAATATATACATTTCAAGTCAATCAGATAGTAACTAGCCTCTAGAGCATCCACAAGCAATTGTGGACGACTGACAGGGGCAACGACCATATATGACTAGCCAGGAAGAGAACTAATGCAGTAAAAATACATTTTATAATTACCTTAACATGATGACCATCTTGATATTTGGTACCATCTCTATATAACCTATGCATAATATACCCATGTTGATCTAAATTATTCAGAATAGGATCAGCTGTCTGTAACATGAATATTAAACATCAACACTGAACAAAAGTCTTTAATTGATCCTTTTAGAATTGCAGTAGAGTTGTCTCCCTTGCTCATCATTTAGTCTATTTTCACACTACAAACCACTCACTAGGCTTTGAAGGTGCAACATAGTCCTAATAACATTCCTTTTCAAACAGCATTGCTCTCAGAGATTTTTAAACAAGAGTATTGCTAACGCTGCAGTATATGTCTGCATTTCTACTTTGATTGATATGGTACTTTTTAAAATGAAGAGAATGAAATTAATGAAATATGAAATAGCTGCAATGGCTGTAATATGACAAGAGGCAAAGAAGGCTAGACGTTGGATTTGTTTTGCCAAATTTACAGACTAAATATTAACAAAATGTGGGAGTTACACAATCTCAGAGTATATGATAAACACAAAAACTGGGCCTGGCTCTGCCCCTGGAGGTCAGAACATTCACCAAAATCAGAAGTTGCCATCCTTAGGCTATAAGGAATGCATATGCCAAGTTTCAAGACGATCCATTAAGAATTGTTGCCTGTAGGCAACACACAGACACACAAAGAAAAAATGGGTGTGACTCTGCCCTTGGGGGTTGGGCATTCACCATAAAACAATAGGGATCATCCTTAGGATATAATTAATGGGTATGAAAAGTTTCAAGATAGGTTGCCAGACAACGAAACATACGACCACAGCAGCTAAATCGTCCAAGCAATCGACAGGTGTTGTCGCATATATATTCTTTAGTTGGTAATAGGGGCTTTTACAAGACAATTTCATACAGATCAGATTATAATTTTCATCATTTGATGGTTTACAAAGTTCTACAAAATGAAACAAGGGCCTTAATTCTGTAAGTAATTAACAGAAATTATTGAAATTCGTTTCACTAATCTAAATGATGGATATAAATTTCACGCAGATCTCATGATAACTTTTGTCATTAGAGCGTTCACAAGGTGCAACAAAGTGAAACCTGGGCCATAACTCTAGAATTAATCAACGTAAATTGTTGAAATTCAATTGGGTTATTCGTTTCACTAATTTAAATGATGCATAAAATTTCATAAAGCATTCACAAGGTTCAACAAATTGAAACAAGGTCAATATTTAAATGATGCATTTAAATGATGCATAAAATTTCATAAAGCATTCACAAGGTTCAACAAATTGAAACAAGGTCAATATCTCTAGCCATTATTAATGGAAATTGCTGAAATTCAATAGGTGTTATCGTTGTACTAATGTAAATGATGCATATAAATTTCATACAGATCGAATGATAACTTTTGTCGTTGAAGTATTCACAAGGTGCAAGAAAGTGAAACAAGGGCCATAACTCCAGAAGAAATAAACGGAAATTCTTGAAATTAAATAGGTTTCTTCACGTCACTAATCTAAACAACATAATAATATATCAATTTCAAAACAATCAGATGACAAATGTTGCCTGCAGAGTGTTCACAAGAAATTGTAGATAAGATAACGGACGGACGAACGGGGGCGATGGCAATATACGACCACATTTCCGTGTGGGAGTATAAATAAGATCTGTTAAGAATTGCAGCCTGTAGGAAAAACACAAACACACACAAAAATTGGGTGTGGCTCTGTCCCAGGGTTTGGGCATGCATCAAAAATAGTAGAGGTCATCCTTAGGGTATAAGGAATCTGGGGGGTACGGCATGCACCACAAACAATAGGGATGTTATTTAGGGTATAAGGAATAAGTATGCAAAGTTTCAAGATGATGCTCTAAGAAATGCAGTCTATAGACGACAAACAAGCAAATACAAGAAATCGGCATGCACCAAAAACAATAGGGAATAAGTATGTAAAGTTTCAAGACGATCAGTTAAGAATTGCGGCCTGTAGGTGACACACACCCATACATACATACATACATACACACGGACATGGGCGATGGCAGTATAAAAAGATAAGAACAGAACAATAAATTATGTGTACAACAATTATTGTACCATCTCAGACCAGATGATTTACAATTATCTCAAAAGTCAAAAAATTGTACTATTTTCTGAAGGCTGATAGTATTGTGTGATTAAGGACAGCCAATGTAAAAAAAAGCCTTCATGAACTTGTACAAAACAGAAAGCGGAAATATTATTACTTTATCTGTCTAAGACAGATAAAAATGGCAGAAGAAACATAGACAATGGATCAATTCAAATAAATTTTGGATCAGAATGTTTTTAATACTTTTGATTGTGCATGTCTTGAACTCAATATTTAACCTTTATTCTGGCATGTTGCGGCCTTTAAAATATGACCTGTCTTCTTAAATAAACAACAAACATAGAAAACTTGAATTAGATGAATAGATTTTTATATAAATATTGTATTAGAAAACTTACATATCCCAATTCGGAGGTAAAAACTACTACTTCAAATAATGGAGGACCAACTTTCTGTAAAAAATACTCAATCCCTGGTCTCTTCTTGAACCGCCAACCAGTAGCATACTGAAATAATTTTGTTTATTTATAAAAATAACACGCTAACAATGAGCTCGAGGCTGATTTCCCTCTCCGGTATCCGAATTATGGTTGTTTTGTTTTAAGGCCTTAATGTCTATATCCCATATAAACAAACCAGCTCTACCTACAATTTTGCCCGTAATCTTTGATGGGTTTCTTTTTATCCAGTTGAATCCAAGCTGGAAGATTATCTATTTTTGATAAGTGACGATCAGCGACTTGAATATTAATTGGCCTAGATATCAAGTTCTTAAGTATGGAATTTTGACGTTCTAACCCATGTGAAATTGACAATGGGTATTTAACATCGTATAATTGTGTGATATTTAACACATTAATATAATTTGTTACTTTTGTCCGATATGTAGTAGTACTTGTATGTAATTACATCATTACAACATTACTCTAGCTTTAATGCATGGGTTTTTTAATGTTTCTCTATTACGATGTAGTTAAAACACAGTGTATATGTATATATACAGTACAGACATGGCTATACAGCAAGGGATTCAAACATCCCTGGGGAAAGCTCTAGTGTATTGTGAATACCCACCGTCCAGTCTGGATGAACTAAAATGCCCTTCATCTCTATAACTAGTGTATATGGTGGCTGATAATAAGGATATGACACAGGATCCGGCAATAATTTCTCTCTGGAGGGATCTTGAATTGCCTGAAAATTTTGAAATCATGTATAGTACAATATATTCAGATCCAGATATACATAGTCTCTACTCTTACGTGTAAAGAACCGTCCAAGATTCAGCAATGTATTCGGTGATAAAAGAGAGTTCAAGTACTGTATACAAATCAAGTGCCAATATGTGAAGAAATGGACAAATTACCTTATCTGAAAGTTTCAAATCAAAATATTGATGGAAATGATCTCCGGATATGCTTATTTTATGGAATTTCATTGTTCAGTTGTATACGACCTTTTTGATAATCAAAACTATCAGTTACAACTACAGCTTTTGAAAATTTATAGACATGGATATCAAAAACATTCAGTATAGTGTGGAATTGTTTTTCTCAGTTACAAAAAATATATCCGGAATATGTCCTGTAATATTTGGTATTGTTCACAATAAAAATCCAATTATGATAAAAGATTAAAAAACTTACCCGTTTAAATATTGAAAGCTCTTTTAATGCTCTTTTTAGATATGCCTGTGCAGTGGGCACTGAAACAAAGAAATGATGTAAATACAATAAATTGTACTTCCAATGCAGAGCTAGTAAGATATGTCAGTATAAATCAATTATTTCATAAACAGTCAAAATGTGAACAGAAAGATAAGTCTTCACAAATTCAAAATTTGTTTTAGCTTCCTTATGCCCCAATGAATAATCACATCCACAAATCTGAACACAATCGAGATGATTTCTCTACGGCTTCCTCCTTAGGCCTAAAAAATAAATTCCATCGATATTTTAAATATTCAATTGAGAACTTTTCCTGAGTTGCGATCTGAATACTTTGTGAATCATAATGTTTCTTACTTATCCTGGATTCACAGGACTGCATAAATTTGATCCTAAACTCCACTATTAGTAATCAAAAGAATTTCAGCTTGGTTCATCCTTAGTCCCATATGAACAATACATGGGGGATAACTCTGGAACGGTAAGCCATAGAACACTGAATATCATATGGGGTGTCCTCTCATAACCACAATGCTTCACACCAATTTTAAAAAGAATCTGTGAAAAATTGTAGCCTATATTGTGATTACAAGGTTTTCGGCCAATGCGAACAACACATGTACAGAAAGTTGCAGAATACTGAAAATCAATAGGGTTCTTTTTCTCATGACCTAATTGCTTCACACCAAATTTGAAAATATTCTGTTAGAAACTTGAGCCTCTATCTCATTCAGAGGGTTTTTGGAAAAGGGGGCATCTCTCTGGTACGAAATGTCGTAGAATGTTGAATATTAACAATACATTATGGGAGATTAGATAAAGAGCTGACAGTTCTCACTAGAATAGTTAAAAACAATGTAAAGGGAATTTGCTGAAAACTTCAGTTTCGGAAAAGTGGCTTAACTCCGGAACGGAAAGTCATGGAAATCAATTATAAAAATATAAATATAAAAAAAAGCAAAATCTTCATACTGTATAAGATAATTGGCACATGGACAAGATTCTATGACATAAGCAAAGGCAATAAAATTTTAATTAAAGACCTTAATGCGTCTTTTAGCACTATAGAATCCCTTTGAAGCTACAATATTTTGACAGATGAATCTCTAATATGAATATCAGTCCAAAATGTGACCTGTAAAGTGTTCACAAGAAACTGTATTATATTATTTATATATGTACTTACAATCACTAAATTCGTCTTCTATCTGCAAAAGGAAAAAACAACATTTTACAGTAGTAATTTTATACAAGAGATTCTTCAACAATTGGGTTAAACAATATTTTAGTTCGCGTACGATAACTGACATCTCTGTTTCAAAAATAAAATGTGGAAAACTTCCTTTAAAATGTATGAACCAGGGACATAATAAATTATTGCATCTTCCATCATATACACGATACAATTTTCTACACATGCCAATGCATACATGTATACAAATGAAATGAAATGGGGTTTAACGTCCTACTGTTCTGCTCCAGACTAGTCTAATGAAGACGGGCATACGCCATACAGTGTGCTATTAGGGAAATTTAGCCCGGACAACGGCACTACGGCCTACTCTTATATCGAATTCCAACTGTCAAGGGATCTTTTACGTGCACGCCAATGTGTACACGGTACCTCAGTTTTTCGTCCCGTCCGAACGACTAGACAGCTGTCCTTGTCCGGCCATCCGTCCTGCATCACTGACAAGGGAGAACAGAAGACTTAAAAACTGAATCATACAGCTTATAACTTACCACATTTCCCTCTGGGTCTCTAGCTGGTGCACCTGAAATTCAAATTAAATAAAAAAATATTAAAATATTTTCAATTTATCAATGCTTATGAAAATATGTTGAGCTGGGTGTCCAGCTGGAGCACCTGAAATCCAAATTAAGATAAAAAATATTAAAATATTTTCAAATGATCAATGCTCATAAAAATATGTTGAACTGCACACTAATGTATGAAATTGGGAGTGGCATTAGTCAACACTTATTCTCCATAATAACCAAAATAGATATGCATTGCACAAAACATTTATTAACTACACTCACAACTACACAATACAATAAAATCTCTTATAATTCATATAGATTCTACTTTATGCAACTTGTTAAACATATTAGACTTTGGTGTTTTTAGCATGCTCTTCTGTATACAGATTGGTAAGGGGTACTTGTCTACAGTATCAAAGCCAACAACGACCCTTTACTAAAGCTACTTTTTAATGCTACATCTTTGGTTGCAGTAGGGGTTAGAGTTAATGGTCATTTCTTCACCATTATAATTATTTTGCACAGAAAGAAAAAAGATAGGGCATTTAACGTCCACACCAACTACATCATTTCCAAACCAAAACATAATGTTAATTCAATCATTTGCTTTGATAGGAGGAAACACATCAGGTAAGGCAGATGGCCCTACTCCTAGCCGACACAAGTTTGGTAAGGTATTGAACCCATACATGTACACATAGATAACAGTAAACAGACCTATGATCTACATCCCATGCATTAAGCCACTCAGGCTTCAAAACCATGGGCAGGATAAAATGATAAAATCCCCTGCATCTATATTCTACTGTCTGAATAATGGAAAATTTTAAACGGATTTCTTCGATTATGAACAAACTACCGTACTTAACTTTGGTTATTATAAACTTACCTGTGTGTTTAAAACCAACTCGGGTAAATAAAATCCATAGCACAATAATATATTAAACGAATAAGAAAGTTCTTTCTTGAAAAATTGAATTCCCACAAACTTTTGACATAGAGCAATATTAAAATGGAAGCTAATTATGTCATTCTTCGGGAGAGATCATTTGGTACATGTATAAAGAGGTGACAGCGTGCCACATCCAAATTGTTTGCGGTACTGCTATGACAATTCAAGTTTTGTATAAGAATAAGCTGCAAGTCTCGGCTTGGTACAGAGTTTGGGCATTCACACACATAACTGCCTGTATTCCTTTATTTTGTTATCATCTTTTACATTCTAGTAAATTAACGATAAAGAATATATTTACAATATGAACAATGAAATATTCCCCCTTCCTCTGGTCTCTTACCAATACATACATCATGCAACCATTCATCACACAAATCACAAGACATACACTCGGAAACTTTGAATGTGAACTTCATGTTGTTTATTAAAAAGTTATTATATAAAGAAGATAGGAAAGGTTTAGTTTATATATGACTTTGTTTTTATGAATATATTGCAATAAGTCATATTTTCATTGTGAATAAAATTCGGTAGACTGGCGATTCATGGTTTCAATATTAATCTTTATGTAGTTGCTTTCAGTTGATATTTTTCGCTGCCCGAACTCAAACGGTCACGCTTTGTTTTGATTCCAACACATGGTTGTCAAACTCTCTGTTAAAGTAAAACCATCCCACAACAGTTTCATTGGTTTCGCCCAACACGTGACGAAAGCCATGTTGTCTTACACTCAGTCAAAAATACAAGTTAAATATGTCAAATTTTTCAAGAGAGAACTTTTTTATTTGTTGGAATACAGTAAACCTTGAATAAGTTGGATTCGTATAAGTCGGATCTTTGCTCAACTGGGATAAAATCGTTTGGACCCTTTGATCCTGCACGATTTTCTTATTAACTTTCTGAGTGTAAGTCGAATTTCCTAAGTCGGATCTTAATTTGCTCAACTCGGATCAAAATGTTCGGTCCATTCGATTTTATTCCGGCTTTTTTCCTTCGCCTAGGTTAGATCGGCAGTATGTTCACAACATGTCGTTAAAAATAAACACACACACACACACAACCAAAATGCCTGGCTGACGCCACTGAAATCCAAATTTGTGCAACTCGGTCGTATAAGACGAAACATAATTGGAATTTTTGAAAAAATTAGATTGTAATTGGGCTAGGCAAAGCAATAATTGACTGAAGTTTCTCAGCTTTTCAACGATTCTAATTTTTCCCCACCCCAGCTTACCTAAATTTCGTTTCGTCTTATATGGCCGAGCCACGTAAATCCATACGCAAAACAACACATCTAGCATGTTGTGTCATGCACATACTGACTCTAGTGAGGTAAGCCAAGTCTTATTTTCTCACTAAAATGTTCCATTACATTGTTCAGGTGTTCATAGAGACTGGCACATGACCGTGTAGCAGTAAAAAGATGCCCAATGAAATTTGCTGGGAACGGATTTTATTTTGACAAGGATTCAGTAGGACGGTTCCTGAACATACATGTACAGCCAGGGCGATAATGAGACCTACGTTCAGAGCTAAACTAGGTCTTAGGCTAACTCGGATCTTCCTGAAACTCGGATAAAATTTGTCAGTCCATTTAAGGCATTTACTGTCTGAGTCTTGGTAAATTTTAAACGGATTTCTTCGATTATGAACAAACTACTTAACTTTGGTTATTATAAACTTACCTGTGTGTTTGTAATGAACTCCCGTTCGATAAAATCCATTGCACAACTAATTATCACAACGATGAAAACAAGTTCTCTCTTGAAAAATTGAAATATCACAAACTTTTCCCAGAGAAAAATACCAATATGGAAGATGGTTACGTCACTCTGCGGAAGATATCACTTCGTATTAGGGGTGACAGCATAGGATAGGGTGACCCATGTACTCACAGAAATACAGTCCACCGCTGATAGTTCGAGACTACCACTGAAGTGTGCACATTCGCCGTGCCGAGACCAACTTTCTGACAGTATGATACTATAAATAGCCATGGCACGTGCAATTCTCTACAAATCTATCAACTATTACAGCCATAAAAAATTTATTGTTGACGATTTTGAATAGCAGTAAAATTAAGCTTCTTGGTTATTACAACAGATTTAGAAATTACGTTCGTTTCATTTTTTAAATCGCTTTATCATTAACTGTACCGTTAAGAGCGGCATCTTTTGGTTTAGTACAAATAATATCTCTGAATCACTCGGGTTAGACAGGAACATGATACTAGCAGTAGTTTCATTTTACTTTTACAAGCTTCGTAAAACGATTGTTGAGCTACCTAACGTGCTTATTTCTAAATTCAATTTCTTGTTCTAGCTTTCTGTTATGTTTCGTAAAAAAGTAGTCTTGATTATCCCGACCTGTCAATCAGACGTAGAATGGTCGATAGACTGGTTAAGCGAGACTAATTTCAAAACAAGGGCACGTAATCTATCTTTTACTCAAAAGTGTCTGGATGTTATGGACGACTCTTGGAACCAGTTTTCAGTCTATTATCTATACATGATTAATGGTCATTAAGCTTATTAAGTACAACATGATCGTTTATTTAGTGACTATAATTGTGTGAAACTGATTTGAGGCTTGGCATATATATAAATATTGTGACGTAATTGTCGAGATATATGGAGATATTTATTTATGGTGGGTCACCCTATAGGAAATTCAAGTACAATTACGACAAGAATCCATGACCACTCGGACCAAAGACCACTCGGTTCAAGACCAGTCGGACCAACTGATAGACCACTCAGCCCAAACAAATAGACTACTCGGACCATACAAAAAGACTATTCGGACCCAACAGAAAGACAACTCGGACCAATAATAAAGTGTTGTTTTAATAAATTGATAATTGCGTTTGTTTTAATATGATTACTCGAACCAATAATAAAGTGTTATTTTAACAAATTGATAATTGTGTTTATTTTAATATGACTACTCGAACCAATAATAAAGTGTTATTTGAATAAATTGCTAATTGTGTGTGTTTTAATATGACTACTCGAACTAATAATAACGTGTTGTTTGAATAAATTGATAATTGTATTCCAAATCGCAAAATATCAAGAACCACACTTGTAGTCACGTTTAAAAAGGGGCATATAAACGTCCGGTCTTCGTATTATTATGTGCTGTTTATATTAACGCATCAAGGGCGGATAACTTGAAAACGTGTCCCCCCCCCCCCATATATAGTAACCCAGGGGTTAGTGGGGTAGAACGGAATGAAACCACTGGGGATACCGCGAATGTGGAAAAAGTAAAATTAGGCTATCAGACAAGAACAGTATACCCGTATATGTAGAAACTGTCAAAAGTCTGGACATACCGAGTCTCATTGCAAGAGTAAAGAAAAATTAGATTGATATTTTTTTTTGGCACCATTATTAATTAATTTTAAAACTAATCGTTGATTTATTTTCCGTACACAAAATTGAACCAAACAACTCTAAATATAAGAATTCCGTATAAGAATTATTTGCTTCTTTGTATTGTGATTTAATAATAAATAAATAGCATATTGTCTAGCCTTATAATATAATTTAATTGGTCCGACTGGTCTTGTTTTGGTCCGACTGGTCTTATTCCGAGTAGTCTTTGGTCCGAGTGGTCTGGATACCTACGACAATTGGCATTGAGTTTGAGCGTTCGCACACATAACTACCCGCATTCCTGTATTTAGTTACCGTCTTTTACATTCTAGTAAAATCTCTGCAAATTTTATAGCTTTACTTTTTGAAATATTTTGTTCTAATTATTTGATTAGCGACTCGGATGGGATTATTTACTTTTGAACACGCATGCCACACAAACACAACTATACATTCGTTTTACGGGCTTTATCACACTTCGGGCAAAACTGTCGAATCGAGAATTAATGTTCCGCTTCTTACGGGGTCATACGGGCTTAGTAACATTATATACCCACCCGGGCACCCAATAGACACGCTGAGGGCTGCCGCAACACGCTTAAAGATGTTACTGAAGCGGTTATTATTCGATCGAAAGAATGCGTATAAAATTAAAAATACACTCAGAGAATTCGGAGGTAAGCTTCATGATCCTTGTTAAATTATTTATAACATAAAGAAGATAGGATATTTATAGTTTATACATGACTTTATTTTTACGAGTATCCGTGCAATCAGTGATATTTTAATTGTGAAGAAAATTTGATAGACTGGCGATCAATGGTTTCCATATAAATCTCCTATGTAATTGCCTTCAATTGATATTTTTCGTCGCCCAAACCCATATACGATCAAAATGATCGCGCTGTCAAACTATCTTTCAATGTTAACCAACCCCCGCAACAGGTATATTGGATTCGACCAATACGTCACGAAGACATTGTTGACATCGACTCTGTCGAAATTACAAGTAAATTTTCAAATTTTTCAAGAGAGAACTTGTTCTCATCGTTGTGATAATTAGTTGTGCAATGGATTTTATCGAACGGGAGTTCATTACAAACACACAGGTAAGTTTATAATAACCAAAGTTAAGTAGTTTGTTCATAATCGAAGAAATCTGTTTAAAATTGACGATGGTTCACACAGTAGATCCGACTTATGCGAAGTTTACTGTATTTAATTGTACAATGGATTTTATTTAACGGGAGTCAATTTCAAACACACAGGTAAGTTTATAATAACCAAAGTTAAGAAGTTTGTTCATAATCGAACTATTACATGTATATTTTAAATAAAATTACCAACCCCAAGTATAATACACAAAACCAGACATCAAGATTATATAACCCCCTAAAAATGTTATTCCAAGCTTCCAGGCATTTTTTCCTGTATATTTTGACCATTTAGAACTTCTTTTGCCATCTTGTTCAGTGTTTTTGATTTCATTTACTTGATTGTTTTCTTTATTTTTATCAACTTCATCACGAATTTTTGATTTCAGAATTTCATCAGTCAACCCTTTGACATTTGGTTTGTCTTTTACATTTGAATAAAAACAAACAATGCTTGATTGTCCCTGAATGACAACTCTTTTCAATAGACTGGGTCTATTCAATGAAAATGCACTGTCACTAAATAATCTAAAACACGCATTTGTAGCACTGATTTTATGACATTTACGAAGTAAACACATGGAACCTCTGTAAGCTGACATTTTGGAATTTGATGTATTGTGGGAAGATTTTGTGACAAGGGAGATAATTTTGATAGCCGGAAGTTGTCAAGTTGTAAACACGTGAAGTTAATTTTCTTGTTATGAAAAGAAAGATTGAAGATAATACTTTAACGATGGCTTCAGAAGGAAAGAAACCAAAGAAACTTTATTTAGGTGATCCAAAGCTAGTTGCAAGAGTTAGAGAGGTAATTAATGAACGAAATGAAAATAGTATTATAAGATACAGCTGACACGGTATAAGTTACTATCTATCTATACTAATATTTGTGACTGTCGTTTGTCTGTCTGTCTGTCTGTCTGTCCGGGGTTGGCGGCTACACTAGGTCTGCCCTGAGTCTGGAATTTGGGGTATATGGGTAGCTCGGACCGGGGAGTAACCTAGTCCAGGTGGCGTTAGTCTACCACTTCCGGTTTCGGGGTTATGACCCCCGAGCGAAGCCGGGTATCCTGCTAGAACTATATATCATATGTTTAGTTATGTGTGACAGTCACACTTCAATATCAGCCAAGTCATTTTTTTTTTTCATAAATAAAACTTAAAAGCTCAAAATGCCGAGTAGTGTACCTGATGGCTTGTTTGTTACTGGTCATGAAATTAAGTAAATAACATTTGATACCATACATGCTGACTGTTGAGGTTGTGGACATTTTCTCTGGGCTTAGCTAGCAGAATGCATGACATTGACAACTCAGGATCGATCAGACCAAACACCACTCAACAAAACAATTGAAAGACCACTGGGAACAAGACAGAAGACCAGTTGGAGCAGTTGATATATAGACCACAGACTTACTTAAATTACATTAAAGTAGGCTTTCATCCCTTTTCTTTTTAACAAACACAAATTTTCTGTCTTGTTTTCAGACTTTGACATAAAAATGTTTAATTTAATGGAAAAATTATGCCGTTTATCGAGCACCAGACCAGGTATCAATCTTGGTTTGATGAAGCTACCAACTATGCTACACATGTAGGTGCGCTAAAAATGAAATCATCTGTATTTTGATATTGTTTTTTGACAACACTTTTGAGGATTTTATTTTGAATCATTTTATCATTTCAGTATATTGGAGATCATATTAACAAGAAGACATTAGATATCAGTGAAATGGCTGAACACCTACAACAGCAGTATAGGTACGATGTATATTAAAATGGTTTCTGAAGTTTATTACATGTACTAATATACACTTACATTTTGAAAATAATAGAGATTAACACAACAGAGCTCTGATTGTACATGTAGACATGTATAGCTTCCACAAATCTGAACTCTAATAGTAAACTCTAACCGGCATGTACACTAGTGCACCTGTTCACAGGTCACATTTTTCAACAAACGTTTCGAATAATCTAAGGGCCCTCGATCCCAATAGGCGTATATGAGTGAGCCTGAAGAGCAAAATATCACTTTGAAATTTATCACTCCGTATTTAGACTTTAACTTGGTTTATTTGAACTTACAAACAGACCACTTATTATTGTTTTAACCCAAAATATAATATTAATTCTCAAAGTCAGCTAGAAATTTATAAGATATGTGAGTTTCTGATGAAAATTATAATATCTATAATTACAGAGATTATACAAGAAAGAAGAAGAATGCTTTCCGTAAATCAGTTGAGAAGGGTAAGTATGGTCTTATCTAATAGACTGTGCGGTCAAATTTAGATGTTGAAGGGGAATATTGATTATTCCAAATGCACTAATCAATTATTTTTAGGCCATTATTGATACATACAAATGATTTCAGTGTTTTAAGTTTTACTTGTAGATATTCATATTCTTGTTCAGTGAAATCTGAAATATACATCATTCATCTTTTTGTCTTAGAAGTGTACATATTTGTTTTGTTATCTTTCCTTGGCCTTAAACATGTCTTTTTGTTGAATTCTTTTTTTAGCTTATCAAGTTGTACGTACACAAGACGGGGATGACGATTTCAGTTTATTTGAAAAACAACATTTAAAAAAAAGACGGAAGAAGAAAGAAAGGTAAAATGGAGGACGATTTTGATTTTGAGGACATAAAATCTTTCCATAACATTAGAATTATGCTTGTTTTAACATTTAGTCAGTACAATTATTAAAAATATTTAACTTTATTGCTTTTTTTGGTTAAATATGAAATTTAATAAACTAGGCTGAAATTATGACTACATAAGTGTCTTTGTCCCCAGTAGGGGTGACTATTGTTGGTAATTTTCACTATTGCGATAGTATTGTTATTGGGTAAACAGCTATTGCAATACTATTACTATTGGGGATTAAATATTGCGATACTATTGGACTATTGCGATAGTTTGATTTGTTTATTAGTTTAGGTTTAGAACAAACTGTCAGGTATACATTTATTAACATTTAATCAAACTAAAATCAATGAAACACTAGAAAGTTCTAGGCATTGTTAGTTAATATAACTACTAGTTTAATAGTAAGTGCGGGAGGACTGCACCACACAAAATTTACATAAAAAACAAACTAGTAGTGGGCCTAACAGAAAACATAACACAAAACACCAGTGGCTCTGGTATATGGACTTATGACAATATTTTAAGCTATCAGATCACTGAACATGAACTAGCTAGTATTTAGGTTTCCAATTTTTTTTTCAAGAAAATTAATTTGTCCCCAAGATGATGACGGCCTACTGCCAAAATGATCTGACCCGAGTGAGCATTTAGAACCGGATTTGACGGAAAGCGCTTCCATTTCGGCAGGATGTTTTCTATTAATATGGTCCATTAAATTAGTTGCATGTCCACAGTCAGGGTTCTTAATCCATTTTGAAACGAACCGGCCAGAATTGGGTTAAATGAGGTCCGGGTAGGAACTGGGTTTTAAAATTTTAAGCTTCTATTCCCTTTAATATAACCATACTGGAACAAAAATAATTTTTGATATTTTGTTATGAGGAATATCGTATTCTACTGAATGTAATTAGCACAAAAATAACGACAAAAAGGTACATCGTTCGGAAAATTTTCCATATTTAATTCACATACCAGCTTGAAATTCATGTCGGTAACATTCCTGAATAAATTACTGTATTTGGGGTTTTTTTATCGATGGATATAAACTTGATACGGTACCGTGGTATTTCTTCATAACACAATTTGTAGGGGTTTTTTTTCTATCATTCATTCGTCACGTGACAACCATGAATGGCTTTAAAGTTAAATTCCATACGGCTTTCAATGATAATAACGACAATATTTTTTTTAAAAAAAATAAGCCACAGTCAGCATGTGTATAAAATAAAAAATCATAACGGTAAACTCTATTTAAAACTAAAATTAGCATCGCTAATTTATGATCACTTTTGTGTCTATACTATAAGTATAAAAGGATTTATGAATGAATCATGTACTTAATTCTTGCTATTTTTAGCTGATGAGTTGTCTCTCTTTTCAGTGATGTTAGTGAAAGTGAGAAGAGTTTTTCATCAGATAATGAAGAATATGTATTTTATGAGGTACCCATTAATCTGTTCTTTTCTAAAACTTTTAGTGTATGGAATTATATGATATAAATTTTCGAAACACATTCTCTTCTTATTAACAAATAGTTTTGCAAATAAATAATCTAGATTGTCTATCATAAACTTAAGATATTTTATTACCATTACCAAAAGTCTTTTGACAAAATTTGATAACTTATGCGTAGCATTTAATCAGTATACATTTTATGTACCGGTAATTCTTAATTACAGGACAGAAATTCTATGAACAACTTCATGAGTGATTTATATCTTGGTACAAAATCTGATAAAAATACAGAACCCAAATGGTCAAATGATTCTTCAATAAAAGATAAAAGTTTTAATATATGTAATGAAGATAAATCTATTATATTAGAAGATGAAGTAGAAGCAAACAGTACCATTATTAAAACTAAGCGAAAGGCGAAACAGGTACGCTAATTATGAATAAATTCAATAGCTAAAGCAGTGATTGTTGTCATGCACAAAGCAGAAAATGTGTACAACTGACACCAAGTTTATTCAGAGTTTTCTGTCTACCATAGCTTATGTTTTCCAATTTAAGTCCAAACTCTATTTCTGCATTGATAAAAATAGTGTGGTGGATGAGTCTCCATATTTTGAGACTAAAATGTTAGTTTTTATGAAAGATGAATGTGACCGACTTGTCTCTTTTTATCTGTGAACTTTCTGTGTTATGGATTATTGGATAAAATAACACAGAAATACGATGTGAAGTGTTTGTTAGTTGTTTGAAATTGTCAGATGAAACTTGGTATCCAGTGTTCTAGAAAGTGTAAGCCTTCTGCACAGCAGAGTTTACTGATTCAGATTATTTTACAAATCTTACATCTTTTTACCTTATTAACTTACTATAAAATTATTATACAGATTAAAATTCAATTCATTCTTTGCAAACCATTTTAAGATTGAAGATACTCCTGCTAAAAAGAAGAAGAAAGACAAAAGTGATAAAAAAGGTAATATTTTTATTTGTGTCTTTTTGTTATCAAACCTACCTCCATGATCTACTTCACATAAAATCATCACAAAGGGAAACCCGTTCTTCAAACAAAATCCAATTGGAAATTCCGAGATCAAATTACATGAAATGTGGAGACAGAAGATTTTCTGTTGCCGCTCCTAAACTGTGGAACAAACTACCATCACATATTACAAATGCAAAATTATTGTGTACATTCAAATCCTTGCTAAAAACACACCTATTCAGTGCAGATGATGGGAAGCTGTCGTAAATGTGACGGACTAACTCAGCGCCAGTGAGCAAACTTTTGCATACAAGGCGTTATAGAAATCCATTATTATTATTATTACTTTCAATTTGCCACAGTCTCATTAGTAATATAATTCAGGCAATAAAAGATGTATTAAAAACCTTTGTTTTGTAGGTCCAGATATACAAACTTCAACTGTTAAATTTGCAGATATGGGAGGAAATGAGGAGACATTAAAGGTAGGCCTAATAAATCATATTTTGGATGATGGTTTTCATATTGAATTTATGATTCTTTTTTTCTTAAATAATATTTTATTTAAAAAGTTGGAAAATGTTGACTACTTCGACATGCACAAAGACTAATTAAGACCGTATATTTAGTGTTTTCGACTAAGTAATGGTTGATGTAGGAATTAAAATGTCAGTCAACCAACTTTGTTTCTGGTCTCAAGCAAAGCGAATTGTAGACAGACAGCAAAGGTATCGTACAGATAGTCTATGTGACCCCTCACTTGAATTAAGAGATATAAAATTGAATGATAGGATATGAAATATGCAAGGTTAATTCATTGATAATCTCTGTGAAACTTTTCTGATTTCTTGGCAAACCATTACTGGATAATTGACATAATAAAGATAAAAATATGAATACTGACCTATAAAATATAATTGTTTATATCCTGTATTTTATAGGAAGTATGTAAATTATTGGTTCACATGCGTCATCCAGAAGTATATCAGAAATTAGGTGTGACCCCACCACAAGGCTTTTTATTACATGGACCACCAGGGTGTGGTAAAACGTTATTAGCTAATGCCATTGCTGGGGTAAGTTTATATAGATAATCAGTACATAATAGAATATTGTTATCTAGCTATATCTGAGGTGAGTTTATATAACATAGATAATGATAAAACATTGTTAGCTGATGCCATAGCTGGGTTAAGTTTATAACATAGATAATCAGTGCATAATAAAACATTGTTATCTAATGCCATAGCTGGGGTAAGTTTATTGATAGATCATCTGGGTTTAGCTGGGGTATGTTTTATTGATAGATGTTCAAGGTGTTGTAAAACATTAGCTTATGCCATAGCTGGGGTATGTTTTATTGATAGATGTTCAAAAAAAAGGTGTTGTAAAACATTAGCTTATGCCATTGCTGAGCTGAGGTAATTTTATTACTGGTACATAGGTCACCAGAATGTTGTAGATCATTATCTAAAGAAAAAGCTGGGTTAAATATATTGCATAGATAAGTAAAACATGGTAAGGTAATGCTATAGCTTGAGTACATTGAGCAATTAGTATATTATTTTTCTTTTTGTGTATTTAAAGTACTATGTTGTAGTAAAACATTGTTGGCTAATGAAACACTTGTACATAAATCACCACGTTGTAGTAAAATATTATTGGCAAATAGAACGCCGATAAATAAACCACCATGTTGTAGTAAGACATTAGAGAGGTTTCGCAACCCGTACAAACTCCGAACAAGGCTTCATACTTCATTTTTGATAGATTTCCATTTCCGCCAAAATGCGAAGTCCGAAGTACGATGTTGTCCTCGGCATCAGTCACGTACGTAACTAACGTACGAAAATTAATTGGTGGCTAGCTTTTTTTTCGCACGTGTACAGTGAATGGCCATTTTGCTCAGTAATCCCAGCCAGAATTTGGCTATTTTCTATGTTAGTCAATCGTGTCATTCAAAACAATTCTATGAGTTGTAAATGTTATTTTTGTGAAAAATCATATGGAAGAAGAGAGAACATATTGGGACTGTATGAATTATATAGTCTTTATGGGTGTAAAGGACACAATGCTGAAGATAAACCTATTGTATACAATGTAAGGTGTTATTGACCTCATGAACCATTGACATCAATGTCATGACCTGTGATGTGTAGATCACGTGATATGGATAAGATGGCTATTGACCGTGTCTGAGATACTTCTCCGCAGGTAGCGTGTCTCAGATGTTCAGAATGCATCAGTCATGTTTGGTTGTTCACCTGAAACAAGGAATAACATTGTTAGTTTGGTTAAAAAAAGAAATCAAATCAAATCGAATTTTAGTCCTTAAGAAGCTCATTGCAATGTGTTTTTATCAAATTCAATGTGATTTAATCTCATCACCGACTGTTGAAAAAAAAAAAAAAAATCACAGTCCGAAAATTTGCCCAAAATCAGAACAATTGCTGACCACTTTGACACTGATCAACCTTTTACTGAATTGTAAATGTTCAAGCTTTCTATAAAACCGAAAAAATACGAATTTCATCCACAAATCAGTGAGAAAATCACGATTTCGTACCTTGTTTTTTAACCACAAACTTTTCTCATTTTCTCCGTCGAAAATGGATGAACCAAATGCCTCTTATGTCAATGATAGCGCATTGAACCACACTAATATCGTCTAATAGAATGCAGATACATATATCTGGAGTAAGCTACATATTTTAAACTTATATTTGGTTATCTAGGAGCTTGGTTTACCATTTATTAAACTAGCAGCTACTGAAGTTGTATCAGGTGTATCTGGAGAATCAGAAGAAAAAATTCGAGATTTATTTGATAAAGCAGTGGTATGTATTGTTGTTTTCTCTTCTTCACAAACAGCACTGTTCTATAAAATCTGGGAATGTTTTCACAGACATATTGCAAGTAGAATGATAAACACAGAAATTATGAGAGGCTTTCTCCCATTAACCCGTTAAGTGCGTAGGTCATTATATAACGTCCTGGACAAGTGCCACTCACTGTGTGTAGGGCTTAATATAACACCTTGGAGGTATTTTCCCCAACCTATTCTTAGAACATAGTTCGTCACTTGGGGGAATCCCTTGGGAATTCCCCCACGATCGCAGCATGTGTAGGACGTGACAACTGCCACTCACTGTGTGTAGGGCGTATTTGGAGGTATTTTCCCCAACCTATTCTTAGAACATAGTACATAGTTCTTCGTCACTTCGTCAAATTAATTACATAATAGGGGGTAGTTAATGTTTTAAAAACGTCACGCTTAACCGGTTAATATTAAGGACTGAGTGGATTTGTCCACAAGTGATAAGGCTTACGGGCAATTCATTAAGCATACAAGAGCAAAATATAAATTTCTTACATCATAAATTGTTATTTTATTATTAATATTTCCCAGGTTAATGCTCCATGTATAGTGTTTATAGATGAAATAGATGCTATAACACAGAAACGAGAAACAGCTTCTAAAGAAATGGAGAGAAGAATAGTCACTCAACTATTAGCTTGTATGGATGGTTAGTATATAAATACAAATTACCTCAAGGTTCAGAGTATTATAAATCTTACAGCCACAACGTGTGAAATTTAAATTATTGATATTAAATAAAAATTGAAATAACCAATGGTCATTGAATTTCCATTATATTTTGGGACACCATTATGTCATGTTTATTAAAACGAATTTGATTGGTTGTAGAGTTAAACAGTAAGAAGAATGTGAATGTATTAGTTATTGGTGCTACTAATAGACCAGATAGTATAGATCCAGCATTACGTCGAGCTGGTAGATTTGATAGAGAAATATCATTAGGTATACCAGATGAATCAGCTAGACGAAGGTATGTATAAATATAAATTTATTCCTCAGAAAACTTCTTTTAATTATTCTCACTTAGTAAACATGACAATTTACCTCAAAAGCATTGTCTTGAATGAAGACTCTTGACACATGTACATGCTGGTAACCTCTTTTGTGTTCCACTGTCGACACAGAAAGCCAAAAGTGAAACTAAAATTAGTATACAAAAATACTTTATTTTTACCTTAATCAAAAAGATTTAGTTCCTTTCAGTAAAGGCTTTGTTTTAGAGTTTAGAGCTCACCAAAAAATATTTGAATAGTTTTTAACGACAAACTGTATTTTTAGTACCCGGTAGTCGTTTTTTAAATTTTGGTCTGTTGATTGTCTCCCATGAGATAGCTACTTAGAGTAATTTAAGGAAATTGACTAATGTCCCAAACTTTACCAAAATATGATAACTGTATTGAATTAAGGTTTTCTAGTTGCTCTAAACCTGAATATGAACCAAAAAAGACCCCAAAAATTATCAATACTATTGCATCAAATATATTCAAATGGCATTCGAATAAGCATTTGCCGCGAACACTACTTTCTTTGTTTCATTATTATTAAACATGCATTATGCAAGAACTAAATCTGCCTATTGCAGGTCTTTTTTTAGGCCTTTAATGTTATATAAACTAATAATTAAGACCTTTATTAACAAAACAAGACCATAATCAACTCTCGATGCTATCGGATGCTTCTGATTTTAAACATATTTGAATCCGATCTGCTGTTCAACAGTCATTATGATAAACCATAAAAATAGATAATCAAGTCTTTGCTTATTATCGTAACAACGGTAACCATGACAATCGAAGGTACCATGAAACTGAAATGAGAATTTCTCAGCTTAGAGTGACATAATTTGACCAAAATTTTCTGCATATTCCATTTACATTACAGAATTTTAGAAGTTTTATGTAGAGATTTGAGATTAACACCAGATTTTGATTTTCAACAATTAGCTAGAAATTCACCCGGTTTTGTTGGAGCAGATTTAATGGCTTTAGCTAGAGAGGCAGCCATGACAGCAGTTCATAGGTAAATTATTAAATGACAGCTAGATTGGCAAATTTTAATGTTTTAATTGATATGTATGACCAATTGTGATGAAAGATGAAATATTGCTTGATGTAATTTTAAAATCTGTATGCTATTTATAACATAGTGCTGAAAATCACAATGATCCTTTTTGCTCTAAAAAAAAACATCCTAGATATCATCATTTTATTTGGCTTAAACACATAATGATGAACAATACTTTTTAAGCAGTTATAATACTGACTATTATAATAATGACCAGAGAAGCGTAGTCGAAACATCGCTCAGTAATAAGCAGTAATTGTATTCCATAGAATTGTGACCTGTATACTCAAGTTCAATTACTAAATGCCATTGAAACAATTTATAATACTGTATTTGAACTTTTTAGAGTTTTTAAAGAAGTACAGAGTGTATTAGTAGCAGATACCTGTACCACACCAGATACTGAAGATACTAGTCATATAACAGATCAAGAACTTAAAACAGGTTGGTTCTTTAATTTTTAAAGGAAGATCTGAACTCCTATTTTGATATTTGTTTTTTTGTAACCATATAAATTCTATTGGAATAATCAAATGAACTAAAAGTTAATTCTGAACTTAAAGAAGAACTAATTCAGTCAAGATAGACTGGTTGTCTCCTAAGTCTGTTACATATTTGGTCTCAGTACTGTACCAGAATACATGTAGTATTAATTCTAAAACTGGCATACTAGTAATGATGTCATTTCTTTCTCAACAATTAACTTTATTTATACAATATGTCTTGATTTATATTATATCACAGTTTTACAATGGTTAAAAGAGCAGCCACCATTAACAGATGCCCAACTTCAAGATTTATACATAAACATGGAAGACTTTCAGGTAGTTATTTACAAAACATTGTAAACTTAATTTGAAATGTTCTGATAATTTATCAAATGACAGCAGCAGTCAGATTTCTAATTTATTTCTTATATTTAATGATTTCTTTCAAAATGTTGCTGTTATAGACAAAAATTTAGGAACATAGTTTTCAGTAAAAAAAATTAATAATAAATCGATTATTCTTGACTATGTATGCACATGTATGTATATTTTGAAAATGCTATTTCAAAGAATTGTTTATTTTAAAACAGAAAGCCTTAAAGAATGTACAACCTTCTGCTAAGAGAGAAGGTTTTGCTACAATACCAGATGTTACATGGGATGATGTTGGTGCTTTAAAAGATGTTAGAGAAGAACTTCATTTAGCTATCATGGTAATTGCCTATATTTGATATTGAATGTGTAAACTTTCCATTTTGCCATACTCAGGCCATGAAATTTCAAATTTTGGCGTAACCAGAAAAATGGTTGCGGGTTTATGCTCTGCGTAACCATTTTCTTTGATTACTCCAGATGACCATTGCATAACCAATTGGTTCCATAAAATGGTTGCGCTGTTTTCATGTTTTATCCAGATTTAAATGGTGCTATAATTCATTTCCACTTGCTGTGAATGTATTTTTTTAAAGAAATAACTTGACTAATTTATATTCTTTTATATTTAATATTATATTTTGAGGTTAAGTGTTTATGGCTTTAATCCCAGGTGTCCCCATTAAACAATAAAACATTAGAAAAAAAATGTTCCACTTCACTAAATCCCTACATTTTAATGATGAGGGGAATCGGTTCCAAAAATAACTAATGGATTTTCATTTTTATATCATATCTGACCTTCTAAAACCAGGAATGGTAGCTACCACATTGTTTTCGGTCACTGAAGACTACATGCGTACTTCATATTACACTTGTCACTTGCAATCATTCATCCAAGCACGTAGCATGAGATAGCCTCACTCATAGGTAGAGACTGATTAACAGTATTTATTATAAACCTTGGCACTCTATACACAAAGTCTCAAAAGGACACAGAATAGTTTGATGTCATGAAATAATATTAAAATAGACAGGACAGTAAAATCGTTTACATTATCACTCCAGCGATGCCGGGAGGGGGGTCAAAGTTGATGACATACATACGGGTCATTGGTACTACAGCATGGCTATAGTGAAAACTGAAAGGAACACGTGTAGTAAATTCTTTGGAAATATAGCCGACATGTTAAATAGTCAAACTCATTTCACATTTTGTGTTTGAAAATCCAAAGGTACGCTTTCAAATATTTATGGCATAACTAATCATTTAAAAAAATTAGTGCTGAGGGGCATTTTTAAATCAACTTGCTTGCAACTTGGTCAATAGCCTACCTGGTGTCAAAATAGGTGATCTGTCAAAGTACCGGTAAGATGGAGAAATGAAATGCCAAGAATGAATGAATGGAGTTTTTGCTATAATACAAATAATTTAGACCCGTGTCACAAAGTCATCCTGTATAAAAATTGATCAAATGTGAATAAATCTGTTAATGAAATTTGTTAACGTAACCGATATTTCAATCTGCGTAACCAGGAAATCGGTCGCGTGTTTTTGAGCTGGCGCAACCGCACGTAACCGATTGGTATCGTTCGCGTGAAATTTCGTGGCCTGCATACTGCAATTTCAACCCCTTGGTACAAATACTTTCAGAAGCACTCAAGTGTGGTAAAAATTATTTGCTTGTCTATAAATGGTGGGGTTGGATGGCTGAATGGTTAGCGTGCGCACGCTTTATCATAAAGTCTGTCATTGAGTCGACTGGCGTGGTTTCGAATCCCGGGTCCAATCACATGGGTTTTCTCCGGGTCCTCCGGTTTCCTCCCACTGCTAAAGACCCCTACGCGCAAGCGAATTATTGAAATAAAATTAAACCATATGTTAGTCCCGAAATGACCTAGTTTATGTCAAGTGGATGTTAAGGGGGACCTGTAGGCGAAAAACATAAAAAATTCTCCAAAATTAGGGTTTTTAGATTTTGTTGTTTTTCACTTTCTCAGTGAATTATTATTTGATATTTGAATGCATTTTTTCTAAATTTTTATTTTTATCCCACATAAAATGTATTTACCCCGAAGGCCTGTTAAAAAAACAGATTGTCATTGTCAAAAAAATCGAATAAATTAGCCGTATTCAACGTCAATTAGTAGCTCAAAAAAAATCCCGACCGCCATGTTTGACGTATCGATGTGAAGCGGAAGCGCCGCTGTGCACGATGGTCGTAAAATTGTCATTGTAAACAAAAATATTTGTCGGCAAATGCCGTAAAAAAACGACCAATGATTTGACGAAAATAACCATATTTGTATTTTTGCATACGTAAGTAGGGTCAAGGTATTTTCGCGCATGCGTACTTTTTGTGTTTTCAAAACGAGGTTGCCTTCGGTAATCTCCGATACCCTACTTCCGCCGAGAGTTTCCATATATGGCATATTCGTGATTATACCAGTACTATTTTATTATTAAAAGTATAATGTATGATGATCGTGACTATTATTTATTTCGCCAATTCGTCTGCTGCAGTGCTATTTTACTACGAATTACTACAGAATTTATTTGTACTTCTTTTAGCATTTTAATAATTACAGAGATAATAATAATATGCCTATATTCGTCTGCTGCAGTGCTATTTTACTACGAATTACTACAGAATTTATTTGTACTTCTTTTAGCATTTTAATAATTACAGAGATAATAATAATATGCCTATATAAAGAAAAATAATCTGTTTGAACAAAAGCTGTCAACAACTGCAAGAAAACAAATTAGTTTCATTCAGGATAAAATAATAATACAAAATAAATGCCTAGAGATGAATAATATTGTAATAATGAATGAAACTATATTATTTTGAAACTGTAGATCTAATTACTAATTGCAGCTAAGTGCAAAATAATGATCAAATTAAAACTCAACAAAAGTAGTAAGATTTTCAAAAAAGATAGTTCATTACCGGTACAGACATTTTTTATTGTACAAAAAATTTATTTGTAGAACAAAAAAAAAGAAGTTGTAACTGTTGGGTTAAAATTATCTAAAATCATTGAAAATCTGTTGGCTTTTGCGTCCCATTGATATAAACACTAAATTCCAAATCAATCGAATGATCACTTTAGTCTCTGGAGAGCATCCATAAAATTTGTCAAAGTGTTCAAGGTCAATAACTCTGGCAATAATTATCGTAAATCATTGAAAATCAATAATTAACTTTGTCTTAAAATTATAAACACTGTTTTATAAATTTCAAGTCAATTAGATGATAATTTATGATGCTATTGCTCAATAAGCAATTAGGTATAACAGATGGACCGACCGCCAGACGTGACCGGTTGACGTCTGACATGACAGGCTGATTACCACATACAACTTCTTTTGAATGTAGGCGTATAAAAATATAAATACCCCAAATTTTAGCTGCTTTAGAGCACAATGAAGGGACAACCTACTATGCTGGTTCATTTTAATTATAATCAGGTTAGCATTATAGGGTAAGAACCTAAAGTTAAAACAAAGCCAATTTTTAATCGCATTTTTCTCTAAATTGAATTTTTTGAACGGTACCAATGTTTGGTACATTAGATCTCAGTAGTTTACAGAGATATTGCTCCAATTTTTGGCATGCATGATCTATGCTAATTTTAGGTGGTAATAACAGAGCCCTTTAGTTTAATTTTATTTTAGTTTTCGAGAAATATTTGTTCTTGTCAGTAAGTTCACAAATATTTTCGTGGCTTTTCAGAATTCTTGGAAAAAAATAGAAAATTTTTATGGTAACTCAAAAATCTCTCTGTTATTACCTAGAATGGTTTAATGTTAATATATTCTGAAAATTTGGTGTTATTTGAGTCATTAGTTTCTGAGATCTAACGTACCTACGATTTACACCATTTTTTTTAAAAATATTTCGTTACCATGGCAACCGGTAACCAAGTATATAAATTGACACTTGTTTTATGTATTGCATTGTCTCTCGATCAAACATAGAAAGTTTCATGAAAATCGACCCATTATTAAAGAAAAAAAAATTTCGCCTACAGGTCCCCCTTAAACCCCATTTCTCTCTCTCTCTTTGTCTATAAATGTATTTTATCAATTGTTTAAAGATCTGTTTTGCATTATTAAAATCAATGATATTTTCTATGATTCAGGCTCCAGTGAAACATCCTGAAGAATTTCTGGCTTTAGGATTATCTTCTCCACCTGGTATTCTATTAGCAGGTCCACCAGGATGTGGTAAAACCTTACTAGCTAAGGTGAGAACTTGATATACAACTAAATCATATTCTTTAAAACTTCAACATTTACCGTCTGTTTGGTCCATGTTATCATACTCAGGTTTTCAATTAAAGTGATGGAAATCGAAGTTGTCATACACAAGGCAGGGTGTGTTTACTCTTCATGAACATCATGTACCATTTTCTTTTGTGACATTTTCTCAAATGTGTCGAATTTGGCTGCTCCACTTTATATTTAACCAGAGGTTAGAATAAATGGTTCTAAATGTATTGTCCATAATATTCAACATTAAAAATTCAAATTGGTATTCAATATTGGTCAATTTCAATCAATATTGATGCTGTTATCTTGCCGTAAAAATCTGGAATCCTAATATCCAATATATAAGAACAAAGACAAACATATCCTACAAGACAATGCGAAAGTAATTAGTAATGGCTGATTCACAAATGACAAAATAATGATTAAAAAGACCGTGTATTAGTAATGGCTGATTCACAAATGACAAAATAATAATTTAAAAAAAACGTGTATAATTTTCATATATTTTTAGGTTCAAAAGAATAGAACCATATGCTCTTTAATACAGTATACCCAACACCTTCAATAATAATTAAATAATGCTGACACATGCCTTATGACTTATGAAGTCTATGGCAGTTTTATTGAAATAGGTACAATCTGGAATATTTTTACTGTATTCTGATTGTGTTATATATATTGTATAAATTTTAATTACAGGCTATAGCAAATGAATCTGGAATAAACTTTATTTCTGTCAAAGGTCCAGAACTCTTAAATATGGTAAGTTTTTATTTCTTATTTGTACACAATTGGATTTAACAATTTTGTTATTCATGATTTTTTCTTCACTTTTATCTTTGTTTAATTGAGAGACAAAACTAATTTATGACTTTCAAAGTAAATTGTAGTGCTATTATAATGTGATTATTATTTTTAAGTACGTAGGAGAGAGTGAAAGGGCTGTAAGACAAGTATTTCAGAGAGGTCGAAATTCATCACCCTGTGTTATATTTTTTGATGAAATAGATTCTTTATGTCCACGGCGATCTGGTTCAACTGATGTAAGTTTGTTTATTTCTTTGATTTCTTGTAGCAAAATACATGGAAGATAGCAAGAAAATTGTCAATGTTGTATGATGGTTTAATGGGATCAAAATAAGTTTAAATAACAGCAAGAATGGTGCCTTAACAATACTTGATAAACAAGTATCACCCTTCGAATATTTCTGTGATCTGTTTTGAGTGGATGATTGTGAAAATTGTTTTGGGGCACAATATGTTTTGAAATATTGCTTCAGATTGAATGAAGGATTGAAATAATAATATGTCTCATTGACTTTTTCAATTGTTAGTGAACAAGCAAAATGTTGCATTGGACAAGTTCGAGAATTGGAGCCTGAGCTTTACTGTTGATCATTCTAAGTTTATGTATTTTCAAAAGTAATGTTGTTCTTAATATGTATTTTTACAGGGGGGATCAAGTGTTAGAGTAGTTAATCAGATGTTAACAGAAATGGATGGTTTAGAAACCAGAAAGCAAGTTTATATTATGGCAGCTACCAATAGACCAGGTAAATCATAATAATTTCTGACCATCACCATTGAGTTATATTTGTATATATATTTTATGGAAAGACTTAAGGTAAATCCTGATCCAAACTCAGATTTTCAGATTGCAAATCATAGATTGATCTCCCTATTTCTGTTTTGACTGTAACACATTATAGAGCTGAATATTGAATCACATAGTTTAATTAATGATTAGGCCCATGATTCTTGTTCAGGTTTTATAGGTGGTACCAGATGACTTTACTGTCAGTGGGTTGTTGACCAAACTTCCATACATGTTTATATAATTTTTGCAAATATGCATCTACTGCATATTTATTTAATCTAAAACTTTAAAAATAACTCATAAACAGGTATATTATTTGTTTCCAGTTATTGTGTAAATATTTGGTTACATACAATTTATATGACTTTTACAGATATTATAGATCCAGCTATACTGAGACCTGGTCGATTAGATAAAACATTATATGTTGGCTTACCTTCTGTTACCGATAGACTGGATATATTGACTACACTAACAAAGGTAGACTTGATTACTTTACCACTTATTTCTCTCTATATAAATAAGATCATCTGTTGAAGTAATTAGACAGATTTATAAATGAAGTAAAGTAAACAACTGTCAATATATTTAATGTGAAAATAATATTTAAAAAAACTCAAGGACATATTAAATTTTAATTAAGAAATATTATATGGTTTTAAGCATATCTCTCAAGATTTAAATGTTAAATCATTATACAAATGATTTAACCGTGTGTAGCTAGAGATACCATCTTACTTTTATTGCTGATGACAGAATAAATAGGTTTACATAATACTATATATTCAGCTGTCAGATATATAAAGTTCTCAGAGAATTTATTATTGTCTCTGTTTAAATCAAATACAATATTTGAGACCCATTTATATAATAACTTACAATAATCAAATACATGTAGTAAAATATGTGACCAATCCTGCTGCATTTATAACTATACTATTAGTTTAAAGTACATTGTTAGCAATGTGAATTCTTTGAATGAGAAATGTTAGCAGATGTTCTATAAGAGTAAGCATTTTCTGAAAGATGTATGACTGGAGCAATGATCTGGAAATAGAATTAAGAAACTAAAGGCTACTGAGTTTAAGATAACTCCAGAGTAAAGGGGATACCAGCAGTCACCAGTCCAGTGGTGCAAAAATAACCATTGAAACTGGGGCTGTGGTAGTCGAATGATCAGGGAATTGAACTCCCAAATATAATGTCTCTGGTTTAATCCAAGCATCGGCCAAGAAGAACCTTCGAGATTTTTAAGCCTGGCCATCACTCGTGTGGAATTCATGAGGAAAGTGTCCCTAAAAATATAAAAAGAATTACCATTTTTTTTATCTCGGGATGACCAAAGTATTGTGTTGATCAAATATTAATCCCCACTCCATTCCCACTATATTAAAAACAAATTATAATCTTAAGTCTTTTAATGTCTTGAGTATAAGACTGGACAGGCTACCTAGGTATATTTTTTTAATTTCTTGTAGAATGGAACACGACCATGTTTAGCAGATGACGTAGATCTAGCTGTAATAGCTGCAGATGAAAAATGTGAAGGATATACGTATGTTTACTGATTAAAATTACTACGTGTATATTCAAATCACCATACAAAATATTATATAATGATTACGCACCACTTTAAAACTGAATGATGACTTTATTCGTAACAACATCAGATCACAACTGTAAATTATATAAATTATACAACAACTGTACTATAAATATGAATTATTAGAATTATCTTACTGTTTATATTGTTTCACAGTGGTGCTGATTTAGCAGCCTTAGTAAGAGAATCATCTGTGTGTGCATTAAAACAACTTATACAATCAACTAGTAAATCAACCTCAACACCTCAAGTTACTAATCAACATTTTCAAACAGCTTTAAATAGAATTAAACCTTCAGTATCTAAGAAAGTAAGTATGGTCTATTTACTAAAAACTTGAAAAATAAAGGAACAAGTAAATATTTTTAATCTATGTTATCAAAGCCAACGAGAACATTTAGGCCATACAAAAAAATATTCTGGTTCTCAGACAATCCTTCCACAAAATCTGATGCAGAGGGAGATTTCTACTTTTGTGTTTTAATTTGTCAAGGGATCACTACTGCCGTACTGGGTGAAACGACTGCTCATATGCATCAAATTTCAAGGCACTACATTTATCACCTGTTGTTTATAGGAATGTATTATTATCCATTGTTCAGTATCATATTCTGTCATTCTGTCATTAACATTTAACAGTGCTGCATACTGGATAAATGAGCCTATGGATTCATTTAATCCTTTTAAACTATTTAGTATGGTAAGTAATGAGACTCTTTTTGAGCCAGGCAGGATTATCTGAGAATATTTTTTTGTATGTCCTTAATTCAAGCAACAAAATGATTTTTAAAATTGTATTTTTCAGGAACGAGAAAAGTACCAGATGTTATCAAAGCCCTTATGAAATTTGTTGATATAGAAGAATTAAATTGATGTTATTTAAACACATTGTTTTATTTTCTGAAAAGCCACAACATCATAAAAAAAATTAAGCTATACATTGACTGACAACCAGTCACCTTAATGCTGCAGTGACTCGGTGGGTAAGGCGCTGGCTCATTAAACAGGTGGTCTCAGGATTTTCAGGCTTGGTTTCATCTTGTCAGTTGGAAGAAAAGCAATGGTCCTGTTTACACGTTGGTATAGACATTGGTACAAGAGGCCTTGAAAGTTGGAATTCGTCTCTAGAGGGCTCTCTACCCCCTAGGCTCAAGAAATTGAGGAAAAACTGTCTCTACATGGTGCTTTCTAGAGTATATTCTCAGTTACAAATCCCAAAGACTGCAAACCACCAAACATACAATATATCAAAAAGCAATCTTACCAATTCATGGCCTCAGTGCCTATCATAATCGCAGGCTCTCTTGCTAAATCCATCCCTGCCATGCGATCGCATCAACTCCAGCATGGGAGGCTGGTTACTTGATGGTATCCGGTCAAGCGACTTTCGCTTTTATTTTCAAAAAAGTTTTGTATTTTTTTCCTTGAAAATTGTCTGTCTTTCATTACGTAAAAGCAGCTTTGTTATTTTCGTTCAAGGTTTCACAAAAACCAGTTGATGGCCGCATATCTTAATATGTATCTCAGTATGGTGGCTTCCAATACTTCGGACGAAGGGTCCTTTTCACTTCTACAATTAATGAAATGCTCTACGAGGAGTTCAATAGGGAAATTGTTACTGAATATGGGTATGAACGCCGATTTCGTTCGCATAATAGACTATTGTGATGAACTGATAGACATTTTCTTGAGCCACAAAGGGTTTGAAATTGTCTGAAATGTTCAATTCAGGATAGTAGATAAAGATGACATGGCTGTATAACAGTGGTTCTCAACCTTGTTTTGCCAACGGCACACCATGGAACACGTGAAAAAATAGCGGCACACCTTGCTAAATATATATGAAATATATTTGAATTTTGCAAGATAAAAAAAACCATGATAAGTCAGACGGAATACAACCTTTGACAGAGACTAGTCATAGACACATAGAATGACTCAAACAAAGTAAAGAAAAACACAGCTATGAACTTATCAGTAGACGCCAGTAAATCTCAATTGGGATCACGTGTTTTTTTCACATTTTCTTAGTGTGCCGTTCAAAATTTCGCGGCACATTTAGGAAGATCTCGCGGCACACAGGTTGAGAATCACTGCTGTCTAATATAGCCTATTATTTCTGTTCAGCTAGAACTATTTATTACGGGGTTTTGTGTTTCATTTTATACTTTGCTTAGGACATGAGTTGATTCCCGAAGGCCGATCGATATGCTAATGTATTTCTCTATATCTGTATTTCCACAAACTGCCGGCCTGCCTCCGCGTCTTGCTACGTAGCCTAAAGTCGAAACCACGCCACGGGACTCAATGACAGACCTTATGATCTAATGAACTGTGAAAAAGTATTGTATACTATAAGACATGGGTCATGCTTATAGGTATACGAAAATAATAAGGTAATGTTTGATCATTATGATGTCACAAATAAAACGACGGAATAATGAAACCGATGACGTTATTTCTATAGATCTATCACAGCTTTGCAAGTTTCAGAATTAGTAAGACGCCCTTCTTCTGTTTCTGTGAAAAATTATTATTCAAAAATTTTTACTCCATTAAAACAACTATGGGTACAAGGTATGTGAATAACATTTTATTTATCGCTCTTTAGAATTTATATTCAATTAATTAGCACTTCTGACATCTAGCCTATAATAAATAAAACAGGCATTCTACCATTGTAATAATTATTCACTCCCTAAAATATTTCTTATACAATAAAATAAAATAGGAATAGCCCTCGCCTTATTTTATTTGATTTAAATAAACATTTTCTATAATATTAAAAGCAAATTTACCAAGCGTTAGACGAACGGCAAATGAAGATTTATAACTTTAAGAAGAAATTTATATTTGTGTGTTGTCATATTACAGAAAGGATCATAAGCCTGGTTTTATGAAGAGCGCATCAAAAAGATTTCAAGCTGTGACATCGCTTGGAAAAAGAGCATACAAATGGATGTTTTTTACATGTTGTTTTGTTTAAATTTACACCAGTTTCTACCAACTTACTAAATGGTTTTGTTGTCAGTTGTAAATAAAATTGTTTATATCAAGAAATAATATTTGGGTCTACTTAGCACATATACATGTATTTAACCACAGGAGTCAGACCTTTTATCCGTATATATATGCATACACCATGTCCAACCAGACAATATATAATCTTTTTTTTATTATATATTGTCTGGTTGGACATGGTGTATGCATATATATACGGATAGAAGGTCAGACTCCTGTGATTTAACCGTAGTTAAATCGAGGAAATGCAGCTTAAGCCAAACTACCGGTATTGTAAAAGCTACACAAAATTACTAAGTCCGTAATATACACATTTTTTGGGGTATCTTAAAATTTGTTTTTTGTCAGCAGAATTTAATAAAAACGACATAATCAATAAATCAATTTTACATGCTTATTTCTAACTGCACACATGCAACTATTTTGATATACTGTCTTTTTGTTTATATATTATGGCCCTTAATAACACTAAATAGCAAAATAACAAATTTATCTAGTAAATTAGATGCTCCACAAATTTACAAAAGAAAAAAATGAATGATTAGATTATTTATGAAATGATAATTAGCGGGTCCCCAAGTTAGGCAACTCAATATGATGTACATACCTTATAAAAACTAAAAAGGCGGCTGAATCAACAAGTATTACAACAATCAGGAGAGGCGCATGAAGCTACGGGGCCTGGCTCAAAAGTTCTAAGCCTGGAAAGGATAGATCAGTTGAGTTGAAACAAACTGTTACCACCAACAAGTACAATCATTGAATGAATCATAGATATAAGAACTGCAACTGTAATGTTATTATTGTCTGTGTACCAATCATCTTGTGAACCAACCATTGAAATCACCAGAGATGGGACAATACTGGCTATAATGCAGTCATCAAGTACTTGCAACCAAAAGGACTAAACCCAACACAGATACATGCTGACATCGGCTCCATTTTAGGAGATGATGTCCCTTCCTTTTACACAGTTAAGAAATGATCTGTGGAATTTAAACGTGGCAGAGAGAGCCTTGGCGACCCGCGTACCGAAAGGCTATCAATAGCAACCATTCGAGAAAACATTACCCGGATGCGTAACATGGTGATGACTGATTGACGACTTACCACTCGACAATGAGAGGGTTGAGCACATTATCGCCATCGAATTAGGAATGACAACAGCTTCTGCATGGTGGGTGCGAAAACCCGTGACTGCGGGCCAGAAATGTGCCAGAATCCTGACGTCCCGTGGTAACCTGCGCCGTTTTGAAGCAGATTCTGATAATTTTTTGGACCAGATTTGTAACCATAGATGAGACCTGGGTTCATCACTTTCAACCAGAATCCAAAATTCACTCTAAACAACGGAAGCATCCATAGTTGCCAGCCCCCCCCCCCCCACACACACACACACAAAGTCAAGTAGGTTCCTTCAGCTGGAAAGGTGATGCGCGCATGGCTTCAGTCTTTTGGGATTCCAGGCTTATTCTGCTGATTGACTGTCTTGAAAAAGTCCAACTATCAATTGAAGATATTGTGCTGACCTACACAGACGGTTGTGCGAATCTATCAAAGCCAAGCGACGGGTAATGCTCACTAAAGGCAATGCTCTTGTTCATAAATCGGTGATTACCATGTCAGTGATCCATGATAATGGCTTTGAACTCATTGACCATCCACCTTGACCCCGTAATACTTCCATCCGTTTCCTAGTAATGATGACGTCGTGTCAACTGCCAACGAATTTTTTTTATGGTGGCTAAAGAAAATTTCTCCCTTACCGAAATCCAGGCCTTGCAACATCGTTGGCAAGAGTGTGTATACCTTGACGGGGACTGTGTAGAAAAAATAGATGGAAACCATTTACTTTGTACAGGTCTTTCACAGATAGGCTTTGAATTATTCAGCCAGCCCCCGTAAGATGGTAAATGTAGATAAATTAACGGAAGAATTTAAACGACGTTTAACAGAAGGAGGGAAAAAGTTTTCAAGTGTAACAAAGGTTAGTTAATTCTCTTATATAATACAATAGGATGCGGTAAAAAAATAAAACCTTTCAAGTCCAGAAAATATTATATTTATAATTGGCGTCATGATCAACTCAACAGATGCCACGTCTACAAGATAATACGGCGATAGCAACAAGTTTACATAACTTACAATTTGCAGGAATATGTTTGGTGCCCCATAAATAAAGAGACCAATCTGGATTATTGATATTTACATTTGAAATATAGTTAATTATTCCAACAAAATACCAACGTCTGCTATAAGTTGGTGGCCATAAAGAGTCTCTTGGAGAACGTTGCCCACCCACAATATTGTTTATTCGAATTTTTCGCCGTCCGATCCGATAGATACCCCCCCCCCCCACGCCCTTTAATTCGAACGGAATGGATTATCTGAATGTCTATGATGACTAGTGACATAATCTTCGTCCAATATGGTAGAATATCCTTCCCCATTAGCCTAATATGAAGTTAAGTAAATTTTAAAATAGAGTGCACCCCATCCACTTTCTCTTTAGATAACCTCCACATGTCAGTGCACACGTATTAGTCTAGAATAATATATGAAAACATTTAATTTCATAGTGTAGCAGAAATAGGTTTATGTTCCCGAAAACAGAATGACGTGATTTATCTTATCATTTAATCAGAATGAAGAACCCTGACCCGAATGGGAGTGATAAGGTGATAGAAATTTGAGGGAATATTTACCCTATTCATCGGATTTTGTCGGTGGTCTAAGTTGGAAGTAGCAAGGTATAGTCTATTCAATTTGCTTACAATATTTAACGAACGAAACGGGACAAATGTTTGCTATTGTACGGAACCTTTATTTCCTAGTCCAACATCTTAATAATCGTTCATCTTTAGCGTATTCCAATATGCGAAACTTGATAATTGTTTATTTACGAATCTGACGGTTCTATATCGTAGTGGTAGATCAGAATATTTTAATTTAACGGTTATTGTGTTGTCTTTTCTATGTAGCACTTGACCTAAATAAGAAAATATGATTCAATTGTTGCCGCTTTTATCTTTGGTTGCGAGTTGCCTCGGCCAAAACCTTCTTCAGAATGGTGATTTTGAGCTGGGTACGTCAGGCTGGGAACCCTGTGGAGGATTCCATTGTGAAATCGTGACCGATGCGCATACAGGTAGCAAAGCCTTGAAGGCTTCCGGCAGGTAATTCAATTCAGTTTATTAGTTCCAAATTTCACCAAATAATATAAGATAATATCTGCTTCCCCTGGCTGTACTATCTAAAAGGTATTTGGGGAGAAAGTATCATAGAAAGTTTATATCAACGCCGCTGCAGAGCTGCAAATTAAACTTGAACTGAAACAACCATTCCATGTAGCATTTTTCAGCTTAATGTGAACATGCCACAAATCACATGGAATTATTTGAGATTCTGTTTGGAAAATATTTAAAACTATAATTTACTGGTATATATATTAAAAATGTAACCATGGTGCGATAAGTTTTTTTACCGAGGTATAGACACCTTTTAGTTCAAACTATTTTCAGAACTCAGTATTATCAAGGACCAGCACAGATTGTACAAGGATTAAAACAAAATAGTTTATATGCTGTTGAAGCTTATGTTAAATTGTTAACAAATGATGCCGGTGGACAAAATGTTCAAGCCACGTTTGCTTTCACAAATGAAGGTTCGTTTTACCATAAAGCATTCTATCTCATTTTTAATGCATACCTGAGACGTAAAGATCGCATTATATATAGCGTGTTTAGTATTCATATTATAACCAATATGATTGTTGGCACAAGTATGATATAGATAAAAAAAAATTCTTAGGTTAAGCCTGTTCCTCAATCACATTCAGATATACCCTGAATAAAATATTGTTTTTTTTTAATAAATCAAACAACTTTATAGGTGGCCCATTCGAGTGGTACCCTTTATTGAAGCATGCGTAACTGACCCTTCATCATAATCAGATATTCCAATATGGCGTCCCCAAAGCTTAAATGTTTTTGGTTCAAATTTGTTAATTTCGTGTGTCAAAATTACCCGTCAGTCGTGCTCCAATCTTTCCAATTCACAGTTGCCCTTCTAGTTTCCCAGTGACACCATGAACGCATATTTTGAGTTTGGACGGAGGCGTCTTAGAAAGTGTTTAAACGTAAATTCTAATAGGTGTCATTTGGTCTGCCTATTGTCAGAACATAAATCTAGGTGGACCACATCCGTTTAATTTATCGCAGTGATTCCTGGCCATAACATACAGGAACCAAACTCCCCTTGAGCCCCCCCCCCCTCCTCCCCAAGCTCCCGAAGTCCACTAACATAGCGGATGTGTAGAATAAAACGTACATAAATCAAATATTGTTCATCCTCAAGTATGCACTGCGTGAGATCTATTGGGAATTATCACAAACCTTTCAAATAGAAAAAAATAATTACAATTAATGAAGCTAAACATAGAAAAATAATGATCTGATAATTTCTGGAAGATATTTTTATTCATACTTTAGCTTACCGATACATTATGTAAGAGCTAAATCTGCCTATTGCAGGTCTTTCTTTTGGCTTTAAATGCTATATAAATTATAAGTTAGGCATAATGAAGATAACAAGCCTATGATCAACCGAGATTTATAGGGATGTTAACATCCGCGAGATTTAAAAATTTAACAATAAAATGAATAATCGAGGCATAGTCTCGGTTGTCAAGTACCGTTGCAACGATAATAAACGATCTACGCTATGTCTTAAAACAGATATAGAATTTTACATAATGCATCTTTATGTAACATCTTTAAGTAGTAGTAAACCTAACTGAACGTTACTTAAAATTGTATAAAAATCCTATCTTTTTTTCCTGCAGACAATTCCATAGATTATGTTAAAGTGGCTGGTCGTGACAAGGTATTGACAAAAGATGGTTATGTACAACTGAGCGCTAATTTCAGAACACCAAATCGTTGTAAGTGCCTTCGTTTCATATTGCTGCTTAACTGCCATCAGTTTTGAAAATGGTCTATAAATCTTTTTATGGAGTAGCAAAAGTTTGTTTTGTTTTTCCATCTGAACAAGTATGTAAATTCTTAAATTACTTATTTTAACTTGGGTACAAGTGTTTGAAATTTGGGTAAAACTTGAGGCATTATTGTACATCTATAGTGCTTAGTAATTTCAACAGTCTCCTCCTTAATCATCTAAATACACACATGCTTAATATGGACCATAATTTTATTTTACTAGATTCTGACTTTCATACACATTTCGTATAAAAAATAAATATAATGATCAAAGCTTTTAACAACGGCCGAATGGGTAGTCAACCAATCACTACAACAACCGATAATATTCACATTATTTACTTACATTTAAATGAAATTAGGCAATAAAGCGCGAAATTTGTTTTGTTGAAAAATGATGAAAACGCAAGATTTTCTATTAACCACTGACTGATAAGCTTCGGATTTGTAAAAGTCGATATTTCATAGGCAACTTGATGGCATCCATTTCTGTGGGCTTTCAATCGCAGTTTGAATTTAGATTGATCTACGGTGCATGGTGATTTAACTGTTTCTTTACCCATTCGCTCTTTTCTTTGAAACATAGTTGCTGCCTCTAAGACTAGTTAAAACCATTCCTGTCCAAGCCAAAGCCTCTATTCTGTGGTCAGATAAAAGGTCAGGCCTGGACAACCCAACATAAACTTTTCAATAATTAAATAAAAAATGTAAATGTACCCATAACCAAAACACGAAAGAGAAACAGCAGCGTTACATTCTGTTGTTCACAGATCAATTCTTGCAGTGTTAGCCATAAGAGTTCTTTGTAAAAATAGGTGTTTCTGTTGATTCTCACTATTGTATGTTTCTTTCTTTAAAAATATATATAGTAGTCACCAGTGCCAGGTTCTACATCCAAGGACCAGTACCCGGTCAAGAATTTGTCGTTGATTCTATCAGTTTAACAGCTGTTACAATTGTTCAGGTTACTGGCCCAGGTCAGAATTTTCTTCTAAACCCAGATTTTGAACAAGGTACTGTAGGATGGGAACCATGTTGGGGATTCCATTGTGAAATTATCACTGATGCCCATACTGGTAGCAAAGCTATGAAGGCTTCTGGCAGGTAAGACACCAGTCCAAAATGTCTGTATAAAAAGTGCTTTTGGGAGGTGATATTATAACAGATCGAAACTTCTGTAACTTTGGTGTAAGCTTTTATTTTGTCGTCATATACGTTCCACTCAAGAAATAGAATTATTCAGAAGAAGACCACTCGGTTTATAATCTTTTAAAATCAATCGCTAAGAAATGGAATTAAGTGTCTAAATGTATGTTATGTGTTTCGCAACACCCAGACTACCCATTTTCTCGCTTATAGATTCTTTCAAGAAATACCACTATAAGATCAATATGATAGAAACACCCGAGGTCCAGAAGTATGACAGTTTTAGCTAAAATCTGTCAATACAAAAGAAATAGTTATTACTTTGGTTATCTTTATTGTAGCAATTGAAAGAAAACAACAAGAAAACAAAGACACATCCTTTGGTAATAGAGATGTAATGAAAATGGAAAAATGTACTGATCAACTATTTAACATGTTTATATTTCTGACCAGAAAACTGTTTACTGTAAACTATTTTCAGAACTCAGTATTATCAAGGACCAACACAGATTGTACAGGGATTAAAACAGAATAGTTTGTATGCTGTTGAAGCTTATGTTAAATTACTAACAGATAAACCAGGAGATGTAGTCGGACAAAATATAGAAATTAATTTTGCTTTTGGATTCTCAGGTGTGTGAATTTTAAACGTGGTAAATGCCAATTATAGATCTATAATAAAATGTGTCAGATGTAATTTCAGTTAAGGCTAGGACCGCAACAAAGAATGGCATGTTATAAAACGTGCATTAAGGTACAAGGGAGAAATTACCAACTGAAATCGCGTATTCTCTTTTACTTTGGCTTTTAAAGCCTGTTTGGGTGCGAAACAGATTAAATATTCAAAATTGATAGAATTTGTCATTATAACAGGGTTAATGTTCGTTTACTTTTAAAGCTTGCGAACGCAATGCATGGCCCTATTGACATTTTTTTCGACCGCATCTAGAGCACTTATGTTTCCTTTACAGCTTGACCTTTAAATGCCCTCAACAAGTATAGGGATATCCGTGAGGTCGTTCACTGGGGCTTGGGGATGAATCATATTGTAACTGAACGTTGTCCCTCATTTATCTCTGTGAACGCGATGCAGCACATTTGCTTGGTCAGATTCAGTAACACTGAACTTATAGCTAGCTCGGATGTCATCCCTGCCATCAAGAATATGAATTTCTCTATATATTTATCTCCCAGACAAAACCACAGCTTACATCGGAGTCGCTGGTCGGTCAATGGTGTTGACTAAAGATGGTTATGTTAAAATGATAGGCGATCTGGTAACACCAAGTAAAGGTAAGTATTTATTCCTTGCAAATAATAAATCTCTATGTTTTTATGTGTGAATGATCGGTCAACACATCTATAGCTAATGTATTTTGATCTGCACCCGCATACAATGCCGATGCGGAACAATAGCAAATTGTCCTAACTTTGACCGTTGCTTCAAGTCACAAACAGGATTGGCTTATGTACAGAACGTGGACGACTTGAAATATCACCACATCGGCCATTCTCATTCCACATATTTTTTCTTTGTTTCAAGCATTCATCAGTGCAAGATTTTATTTCCAAGGACCAATACCCGGTCAGGAATTTGTTGTTGATTCCACCAAGATAACATCTTTACCAGAAACCAGTGATTATTTAACTACAACCAATCAGGTCATCAACCAAAAGAGGAAGAGCAATATTAATGTCAAGTAAGTTGTAAATAGTACACGATCCCCGTCACCGCCATTTTATGAATTGTAAATAGACATGGGTGAGATAGGACGGCGATGTTTGGACCTGTTTCAAATTTTGAAGGACTTACATTGGTTTGCAATAACACTGAAGTTTGATATAATCCTTGAGAGGCATTTAGCAATCGATTTATTATATACTAAAACACTTGCAGTATAATAAACCAAGTGATCGTATCCACAGTATTGCAAAAAGTGACCGACGTGGAAATATATGTTATAGATATGCACACTCTACTCATCTTTTTCTAAAATCTAAATGATTTCACGAAATAATTGACAATTATGGATAACTGAAATTTTGACAACGCGTTGTAGTCAAGGAATAACTATAGCTTACACTGGATAAACAATTTCTAATGAAATCATTTAAATTTTAGATATGTGTAGAATATGCATATCTATAATTTATCTTTGCTCGTCGGTCCCAGTTTGGAATACTTTGGGCACTGTTAACAAAACAAAAAAAACTCTTGTAGGTGATTAGTAGGACCGCCTTTGTCCAAAGTTCAATCATCTATAATTTTGTTTTTTTCAATTTTTCATGAATTCACTTAATTGTTCGATATAATATGCAGAATATGCATATCTATAACATATATTTCCTTGTCGGTCACTTTTTGCAATACCGTGGGCGCTATAGCTTGTCTGTGATTCGTTCTCTGTCCGACCCAGTTAGCACTGTACAGTTCTATGTTTATTTTGCAGAGTAACTACAGCTGCTGGAATTGATGTCAATCAACTACAGATTCAGGTAACTTTAGATACTATAAATGGTCACTCTATTCAAATAACGGAGGCTTTAGTGACTAGGACTAACGACAGACATTATCACCATAGCGGTGATATAATTTCTGATGTGCTATCCACCTGCCAGCCCACGGTGGCGTAAAAATCACCTTGACGAATTGATTGATCAAACGGCTTTGATGAAATGGTTACCCGTCCTTATTATAATCGTTCTGTCTAAAGAAAAGTTCACCTTTATGAAGGAAATAACCACACTGATCACCATACTTTAAAATCTCACATAAATCAACCTTTATTTTCATTTACATAGATTAATCAAGTGAAGAAAGGGTTTCCCTTTGGAACTGCTGTAGCCTGTGATGAATATGTGAGTGGTGATCAACGATACCAAGATTTTATTAACGCACATTTTAACTGGGCTGTCACTGAAAACGCCTTAAAATGGGGTCAGATGGAGAGACAACCTGTAAGTTGTACTGTTATGTCTAAATATTGTTTTTTTGGGTCATTTTAAATCTACAGCACAGCACTAACTGCCAAAAAAATACATTTTGTAAGCTTTCCTATTCTTTACGGTTCAAAAAATATTGTATTATAAAAATTCTTTTCTTTTATCCGATCGGCCTTTGGCCTAAATTTGAGTAAACATTCAGTTGCACAATAAGAAGTGATCTGATGGGGCCCACAAACTTTTGTTTCTATCATCGTACATCTCTAATCTTTATCGGTTTCTAGTTATTGTACTTTCTTGTACTTTTTTTCTGGTAGGGTGTTCTACGGAATGAAACCGCCATTGCTGCCTTGAAGAAACTGAAAAGTCACGGGTAAGTATTAGATTATAACACGACTACCAGTAGCTTATCTCCCAAAAATGACACGGGGGCGTGTTCAGGAATTTAACCAGGGAAGGGTCCGGGGTGGAGAAAACGTCACGTTTGATGTGGGGTCGGGAGGATTTCGCGAGAATTTGATGAATCAGAATCTCTAAGGGTCCGGGGTGGAGAAAATGTCACGTTTGATGTGGGGTCGGGAGGATTTCGCGAGAATTTGATGAATCAGAATCTCTGAGACAATATTTCTGCTCATTTGGATGCATGTGTAGGATTAGACTGGAGTGATGCCAAAACGGCGGCAATGCTTCGCACGTTTGTTTATTCGATGAATGTAGTAAGTCGAAACAAAAGTAGTCCGATTACCCCCACCCCACCCCCTTTGGACACGTTTCTGTGTTTTGTTTGAACGTTCCCGGCGTGGGAATTCTGAATTTTTGTCACGGGAAGGGAAGTTGCCACTAACCAGATTGCGAGAATGCATCTGCAAATCGCGAAGTACATCGAATTTAACATAAAGCTTCAACTAAAGCTTTAATTTTTAAAGATGGCTGCCTATGAATGGTTTTTATCAACTCGGTATTTATTATTTTATATAACAGAGAAAGGGTAATATCTTTAATATTATTAATTATAAAGACTTTAAAGACTCTCTCGCATTTTTTTCCCCGACAGAATAAAAATTCGTGCCCATAACATGTTTTGGTCTGTTCCCAAGTTTGTACAGTCATGGGTTAAAGCCCTAACTCCAACAGACCTGAGGAAAACAGTTGTAAACAGGATACACACAGTGATGGGTCAAACACAAGGCTTGTAAGTTTATACTCAAAGTTAATTTATTTTGATATTGGGGAAATGGTTTATCTGGATTTATATTATCTGCATTTGAGGTACCGTTTAATTGGATTTGTTCGGGATGCTGTTTTTGGGGAAGTTGTGTCGCATTCTTGTGATAAATTGCCTTAATTAAAATGATAACATGAGGATACAATGTAATGTTTATCCTTGCCTTCTGCAACTTTCTGAAGCTCTATGCTACTCGTTTTCGAATATTTAATGCCAGTTTTCAACTGTTGTCGATTTTCACTATTGAGGGGTACATTATCGGGATAATCCTTTTTCGTCAAGGCACACAATAGAGAAAAATCTCCGTAATTGACTTACACCGTCTTATTAAGGGATTTTAGAATCATTTTTCAAACCACACAATATTCAGCGAGGATGCGCTCAGACAAGTATACTTTGTTGCATTTTGATCTTCTCGAAATGCTTTTTTAGAGTAGAACATTGGGATGTCAATAACGAGAATTTACATGGACAGTATTACCAAGAGAAGCTTCAAGATAGAGATTTTAATTTGGATCTTTTCCGAATGGCCCACCAATTTGATCCTACAGTAAAACTGTTTTTAAATGATTATACAGTGGTAGCACAAGGTGGTTTCACAGGTGTAAGTATATGTGGAACATTAACCAAATTAGTTTTCTGTCACAACATTAAATTGTTGTTAAAAAACCCCCATAATATATTGACGTATTAGTAGTCTATTTTATATCATATCAACGTAATCACAGACGTGTTCGTATTTTGTATTGTATAATGACGAGCTTTTCGTAGTTTATGTTATATGATAATATTTAAACATTATCATACACGTTTTCATAGTTTACATAGTATCTCATACGGGCGATACATAATGCAGATGAAATGTGCTTTTTGGACCGATTGTAGACTTGAGATTTAACGGCACAAGGAAATCACCATGACAGCTTTACTTTACTTTACAGTGACGCGTAGGCCCAGGGAGTAAAAATCAAAATTCAGAAACGGCTTGAGTTAGAATTGGTGCAAAGTAAGACCGTCTGGCACACATTCTAGAAGAGTGTGGTCAATACTGATGAACCCACGTGAAACCTTCACAGCACCAGTATGGGAAGCTGGCAGCGTGCGATCCTGCCGGATAATGTGTCGGGCTTGTCAGGCCTTGATGCTGATGATGATATTGTGCTGACATCCAAACCTTCGGACACCGGCTCTGGTACTCATGCCTCTTTTAAGGTCGCAACCTCGGCATATTGTTGAGTCTTTCACTGAAATATAGGAGTTCCTAGCTTTAAAAAGCTACATTTTATACCCCTATGAACTTGGTTCCGACTGGCATGTATTAATTTTACTTGTTTGTATTATTCAATCAATGCATATAAATCGTTCAATGACATAGGGTTAATAAATTACATTTTCTATCCCAGGCTTACCTAGCACAAGCTTTAAAGTTTAAAAATTCTAATACTGGTATTTATGGAATTGGCGTTCAGTGCCATTTTCCGGCAAACAGCGCTCCTAACCCTACCTTAATCAAAGTAAGTACATTTTATAGTTTTCCATGTTTACTACTTGTATAATTATAATACAATTGTTCATCTAATATAGAAGAAGTGGATCTATTTTATTTCAATAATTCGCGACCCCTCAAGTGTTTTTAACTGTGCAATGAAACTAAAGAAAACCCACGATGTTTACGAGCCTACAAAGGGAGAATGGGGTTTCACGTCCACCCGACACAAACCAGGTCATTTCGGGACTAACATAAGGGTAGCATTGTATTTCAATAATTCGCTTGCTCCTTGGGGTCTTCAGCAGTAGGAGGACACCGGAGAAACCCACGAGGTTCAGCAGACGACCCTACTCCTTGTCACGTACAAGCTTGAGATCGAAACCACGACACTTTTCTCAATTACAGATCTTATGATCTAAAGCGTACATATTCGAACATTCGAAACCCATTCGACTCCCAAGCGCCCTCGGAGCCTACTCCTTGTCATATTTTCAAATATACAACTTCTTTTATACATACTTTATATTTATAATATTATCTAATTTCGCATCTCAATTAAATAGAAATAAAAACAATTCAATTTTGAATTCATATTTGTCTAGGCACATCTTGATACACTAGCTCAAGCCGGTCTACCTATCTGGGTAACAGAACTCGACGTATCTAGTACAGACGAAAATGAGAGAGCTGATTGGTATGAAACTGCCCTGAGAGCTTTTTATGGCCACCCTGCTGTGGAAGGTATAATGTTCTGGGGTTTCTGGAGTAATCGCCAGTCTCGAGGTGTTCCAGGTTCTTTAGTAACTGGGGATGAATTTAGGGTGAGTTTGTCATTTTGAATGACGTAAACGATTCACGCTTATTATTTTAGATGTTATCCTCTTCTGAAATCATCAAATTGTAATCTAGCAGGCAGGTCGTTTCTGCCGTTCCGTTAATTTTTTTTTTACCATTGATCTTTCTGATTATCAAATATTTTATTCCAGATAAATCCAGCTGGCCAGCGTGTCCTTGACCTATTTGAGAACCAATGGATGACCAAAGAATCTAAAATTGGCACTGAGGCGGGACAACCATTCACTGTTAGGGGTTTCCATGGTGACTATGAGGTCAAGGTTATATATAATGGAAAAGAAAGAAGTGACCTGAAACAGACCTTTACCCTTGACCCCAATGATCAAACCATTAATATAAATGTACAATGAATGTATTAAAAATTTAACTGTAAATTAAATATATGCCCATTGACAAAGGCCAGAGTTTTATATCCACACTACGACCAATGTCACATAAATTATAACAACAAAATATTTCTATTGTAGCCCCAACTTTTATCTTCTACTAATTCAGTACAGGGGATTTGTACATGCATTCGGCTTATAAAAATTATAGACTATAGAAATTCCGGCAAAGGATTTAAAACCAAACGTGATTGACATCTGATTTAAAAGGAGCCGTGCCAGATACATTTTAGTTAATAAAACTTGTAAATTCAGTTTAAAGGACTCGTGCAAACCGTTATCCTGTACTGTGCAAACATCCGAATTCTGTGATACTTTAAGAAGAAATACAAACTTTCAGTTATAGTCTAAGTCCCAAAATTCCAGACCGTGCAAGTTCTTTGGTAACTATGGTACGTAATCGTTACAATTATCGAATCAAGTTACGAAATATCGGCTCAGTATATTCAAGGTAAATAGACAATAATGTGGCATTATGTCATTGGATTTACATAGTTAAACCCACTTTAGTTACAATTCTCTATTAGCCTCACTTTAATTACGATGTCCTATTTAACTGCGACTGTCCCTTAAACATACATTATGCAAGAGCTAAATCTGCCTATTTCAGGTCTTTCTTGAAATATTATCAAAATTATTAATTAGACATCAACTCTGGATGCCATCGCTAGCCGGTGATATTTACTGAATTGGGGTCCGAATTGCTACTCAACTTTCATTCATGATTTAATCATGAAATGGTTAATCGACACTATGTTTTTAATCGTACTGTAATAATGATCAAGGCTAGGCCGAAAATTCAGTCGCTAAATTCTCGGTTCAGAGTGGATCAATTTGACTGAAATTTTCAGTAAAGTTCCCTTTATATTATCTAGTTTTTAACTATTATAGTGCGAACTGCCAGCTCTTTATCTAATCTCCCATAATGTATCTTTAAATAATAATATAAAAAAGCTTCTTTGCGAAGATCTCGCGAGCAACAAATATAATTTCCCTGTTAATCTGAATAACTGAAAGTGATGAATAACTAATTATTATATATTTATCAATGGAAAGCTCTTAAACAGAAAGTGTTTCTTGATGGCTGCTGTCAACCACCTAAATAGCCACCTGCTTATAGATAAATGATGTAAGGACATAACCATTAATAAGAATATAAGAATAGAAATATACTAGCTCTTGGTAAAATAAATACTGAACATTTCACATTCAAACCACACATAAGAAAAGCGACGGAAATATGAGTAATACATTAGTGGGGTAAATATTTTAAGAAGTATCAGTCAGGGTTATTAATGTGGAAGTTTATATTTTAATATAATTACATATCAAGAAATGATTATAAATACCACATCCGTATCATATAAAAACTCTCGTTACACATATTATTTCTATTTTACATTTTTATTTAACATTTTGCTGAGTCTTTCATTTTCATTCTTCATTTGGAACCACGACTGCTCATTAAGAATCACCATAATGGCGTTCTCCGACATTTCTGTTTTGATCAAAGTTAGTTTTGTTGTGTCTTTAGTTGCCTTTATAATTCATATTATCGGTTATTCTACTAATTATTGGGTAGAATATCAAAGTCAACTATATTTATATAAATTCCATCAGGGATTATGGAGACAGTGTACGGGTTCCAATGATTCTCATACCTGTATGGATATTCCTGCTACTGGATCAAGTAAGTAGTTTGTGTATTTAAATGTAGGATTTTTATTACGCGCATAGGTTTATGGGATTATAAGTCTAACCTACCGGAATTTTAATCAGACTGGGATTTGAGGTTTACACTCCATCCGATATTTCCGATCTTCAATAGTAAATCCAACCAGTATAGAGACTTTAATTTGTGTCAAATAGCAAAGGTTAAAATATGCACTAGCCTGTTACTATCAAGAGCATTAAAGACTTGATATTCGATTACTGGCTGCAAATAAATGGATACAGGTCACCAATTATCCCTACGCCATCAACCACGAAGTAAGGGCCAATAATGTCAGATTGGTCAGACAACTACGTCACAGTGGAACGCAGAGTTGCTTTAATTCGTTCACGCCTTCAAATAGAGACTGGAATAGTTATAAAAAACGCAGAATTATAAACACGTTTTGGAATGATGTGTTGACGTTGTGTTTCACAGAAGTTTCAAAATGGAACTATTTATCTTTAACAGTGGTCATATCTTCTAGATAGTTGCTAAAAAATCATCTAATTTCTTGATTGATTAGTCAGATGCGTTGCTCAGAAATGAATATGACTCGTCAATGCTAGGATATATACGTGGATGGTCCGAAACAAGAGAATCAACCATGGCAACATATAAATGAATTTTGAGTTGTTTTGCATGTATCTTGTATGGTATCTTTTTTAATTTGTAGCTGTGGAACTGAAGACTACAAGAGCCTTTGAAACTATGGGTTTTTTAGTTGGTATAGCTTCCTCTTTTCTGATGATTTTGGCTAGTTTTGCTCGCCAGAAACGAATCATCCGAGTTTTGGCTACTACTACTGCCTTTGGTGCTGGTAGGTTATAATTTGTATACACCCAGATTGAAATGTAATCGTATTGTCGTCACCTCGTCCGCCGGTCAGCCCAATTGCTTGTGGATGCTCTGGAGACGTAAAGTTATTACCCGATTGACTTTAAATGTATTCCACAGTGTTTGTATTCATGAGACTAAGAGGGTTGCCAGATCCGAACACCACGAATTGTCAGAATTGCAATCGAGTGGTGCGGAATTGAGACCTGTCAAAATTCTGTTAGTCCAGACAACCGAAGTGGTTTTAGTAGAATCGTGACGTAATTAAACACAACAAACATTGTTTCAGTTGTCATGAGTGGTTAAGATCATTTTGTCGACGTATTCTTGTAGCCCGAAATCCCATTTTCACTCGATTGTCACTATATTTGGGATTTAGAGAATTCAATTCCAGAATGTCAAATCGAGTATCCCCGAAGAAACCTTTACAGATAGCTCGAGCAGCTCAATTTAAAGTTAAGACCAGATTTACCAGTATCTGTTTTCTATAATAAATCTTAGCATTAGAAAAAACTAGAAGTAAATCAAATTTTAATTATTTCCGATATTTTTTTCCTACTCAACTTGACTGGCTCTACGTACATGGCATGAAATGTGTACCTTTTCCGTTACATACCCCGTCTTCGTTCGTTAGCCCAGTCGGTGCAGAAAATTTGGACGTTAAACTCCATTTCATTTCTGTTACATGCCTAATAATGTTTTGTTTATATTTACAGGTGTGTTGGTATTTGTTGGTGTAATTGTATTTGCTACAGATAGACCAACAGCGTATGAATATGGTTATTCCTTTGCTTTGTCTATAGTTGGTGGAATTCTGTATGTTGTTACAGGAATGATTCTTAGTGTTGAAATGCAATCAGGCACTCCAGCATCTGCTTAATAAGAAACGCAATTAGAACATCATCTTTTTTACTAAAATTAATCGCTGAACTTTTATTCTTCAATAAGATGTTATGGAAATCGGGACGAGATGCACCTTTCTACCACCAGCGAGTTGTCTGTTCTTTGGTCAAAAAGTTCCATCGGTTTTGGAAAGAAAATTTATAAAAGTTACACAATGGACATAGTACTTTAAAGTTGTTTAGTTATTCTGGCATAATTTTATTGGATTTTAATATTTAAAATGAAACGCAAACGCAGACAGAAAGCTTAGATAAACCAGCGCATTGATTCGTCTGTATTTATTGATTCGTCTGTATTTATTCATTTGCAAAATGTTTATTTGTCACGGCGATATTTGGGCTTCGTCATGGTAGCAACATACTATTAAACAATGGCTTATCTTTTATTTAGTCATGTAACATCCGAACGGCACACTATTTCGAACTGGAATTTTCACGTCTGCATGGATTACTTCTTCTCATGTTAGTGTTCAACTAGTATAACTTGTGAAATCTGGACTGCACCTTTAACCGTATGTTATTATATTCTCATATTGGATTCCAAATATGTTAATGGATTAGTAGTGCTTTTCATTCATAAAACGGCCAAATTTAATGATCCAATGTCACATAATATATACACCATATATATATATAATTCTGACATCTGTAAATGTATTTATATATTATAATAGTAACACAGGTGTCATAGGTATTGACTAGCGGAAACGAGGATGCAATTGACATAAACATAATTCTAAAATGCTTCCTATGATTATGCTGAGTCAGCATTTAAGATCAGTATTTATTATACATATACTTAATAAAAGTTTAAACAGATTTATTAATAGACCTATATTTATAACAACCGTAATGTGGTGTAAGCATATATATTTAGGAATGATAATATATAAAAAAAACATATTTCCATTATTTTTACTTACGTTTTTGTTTTTTTAATTCTCTACCGCAAAGACTAAATGTATGCCATTCCGTCCAACCATCATTTTCGACTTCTTCTCCTAAACCACTTGTTGGACGACATTATAGATATGGTGTCAAATATGGTTGTATTTGGCCACAGATCACTAATGATTTCCCCACTGACTTTAATGTTAATTCTCGTCTCTTAGACCGGCTCTAACTTATTTCCCAAATTTTCGTTGGGTAGAATGCTTTCTACCACAGATGGAGCTACATGATTGTGGCAACCGCTTGCTCAAAAGCACGTATGAGGTTCGTCATGGAGAACTTGAGATACACAAACTGGAGGTAAAAGACCAATACACATGCAATTTTCGGCCCTACATTTCAACCTAGCCAATCTCTCAACTCTCGTATCCTTCCGCCTCAAAATCATGAATATTCACCAAAACCTGGCTGAAAATATATTTTCAAACCCTTTTCTTCGATGCTACACCAAAAAGTCAACAAAAATTGACAAGGCGGAGAAAGACTAAAAATAGATTTGGCCCTTGTTTCGTGGGTGACCGTGTAGGAATATTTGATGAGCTGTGTCCATTTATTCAGATCTGTTCAAATGGAGTTATTTGACCCCACGGGACTTTGGTTAGGACATGTTAAGAGACACATTTGGGTAATCTTAAAAAACCTTGATAATGGCTGAATGAATTTGGTAGGAGGTATCCTTAGAAGAGGATTAAAATACAAGTTTGTTCAATGAAAAGGCTCGATCTGAGGCGTAGAATGATAAGGGCAGTGATTCAAGTTTGTCCAAGCACCGCTAGCCAGCCCGTGATTTGGCGTGAACAAATATGGTGGACAGTATTACCCCCCCCCCCCCCGCCCGCCCAACGTCTGTTATGGTCACTTTTACTGTAGGAAGTTTTTCTATTACCTGACAAAATTATTTTTTACGGTATATTTGGCTACACAAAATAAATGTCTTGTTTCTCGGGCAACTGACAGCTGAAACTGTAGGGGGGGAGGGCGGTTTATTTTTTTTTTTTTTACCTCATTTCTGGCTAGAGGATGGTGCAAAATAAAATTTGGCTATTGTTGAAAATTGTTGGGGCGGGAGGGCGGCCTTGTATTTTTTTTTTTTTTTTTTAATGAAAAAGTCATTACTTGTCTACGGTTTTGCTTTCAGTTATATATTATACATAATTAGAACATAAAACCAAAAATCAAGTCTACTCAAACACTGAACACTGACTGAAAGGAAAATAATTTTCCATATATAATTCACGTAATGTAGCTTACTAATGGTAATGGTGACAACCATAATTGAAATTGGTTTAAAATAAAATTCCGTACTACTATATATTAATAGCCGTCCATAATAACGACAATATTTTAAAGAGTAAGCCTCTGTCAGCATGTGTATCAAAAATAATCATCACGGTAATTAACGACACTTAGATCTAAATCCAGTATCGCTGGTTTATAATGATTGACTTAATTCCAACCAATGCATGTCATCGGGATTCGGGAAATGACTGTTTCTCAGGATATTCGTTGTGTTTCTCAGGATATTCGGTGTTCTATCTGGGGTCTATATCGAATGACTATTTAAATTTAACTAACAACTGGTCAGTAAAACCATCAAATGTGTAATCCAATTATTATTTTCCGGATTATCAAAACTACCGTTAAATGTGCTAATGACCCAGATTCTGACTAAAGTCCAAGGTATGGTGACTATCATCGTATCGTATTCGTAGCCACAAGTTATAATAATTAACCTGTTCTACGATTCATTGTTTTATAAGTAGGATTTTTTCATACATGGACCGACTGAAGCCGGCGATAATGAGCCGATTAAGATCGAATGATTGAAATAAATCAAATTCTAGTTCACCAGGGGAGGTAATTAAAATCACGTGATACAAAAATGGAGGTTCTTTTGATATCAATAAAAAAAAGACCCGTAAATGAGCGTTTACATCTGAATCAGTTTAATACATTTGAATGGATATTCACGTATGGGGCATGTAGATACATGCGGCATATTCTTTTTATGACTTGCTTATAGATGTTCGGGCGGGCGTTATATATTTTTTATTTTTCATCAAGACTAATAAATAGGCCGCACGCGCAACCAATTTTGCGTGCGGGCGGTGCCCGAGAAACAACTTATTTTATTTGTGTTGCCTTTACATACATTTTTAGACTTGGGCACCAGAAAACTTTATTTGCTGATTTGCAATATGTCGTCGGTAAAATTCACACGGGCAGCGGCGTCACACCGTTGTTTATTCGACATAATTTCTAAATATCATACACTTCTAATATTAGGTAATGGACCTAAAGCAGTGTATACTTTTTTGAGTAGATCGGATAATAATTGTTACAAATATATTAGGGGCACTCTGTGAAATTAGACCTCCTTAATGTAAGTAATAGACTCGGATTAAGAAAGGCCCCTGTAATTTCAAACTTTCGCAACTGCTGTCATAATTAATTATTAAATTGAAAAAGAACCTGTTATGTAATAGAGTGTAGTTGGATCTAATTACCTCATAAAAACTGTGATAACTGTTCAATGAAGAATATTAATAAAGGGTTCCGGGTAATATACCCCCCCCCCCCAAACACACACACACACACGCGCGCGCGCGCGCCCTCCAATAACAACAAATTATTTCTTTTTTTTAAAAAAAATCGGATAATCAATATGTTTATAAGATAATTTGAACGACGGTCGGTCGGGCTGTGGCGATTTTATAATTACTATTATACGACCATACTGTATCTGTCAATATAAAGACAAATATGACATTTTAATTATAACCCATTATATATAGTTTTTAACCTCCTGCTTTCCTGCATCGATTGGTCTAATAAAGACAGATTTGGTAATAAAACTCCATATTGGTAAAATATTTTATTCAGTCATACATTTATTTTTATTTTATCATTAGATTTAAAAAGCACTCTAGGTAATCATTGGCTCGTAAAAATAATGTCTGGTCTGGGTCTGCAGTTACATCGGAGATTTTCAGATTGAATTTTGTAAAAAAAAAAAAAATCTGCCAATTTTTAAGGCATGAAATATGATTTGGCACATTATTTTCAATTCACGAACTAGTTTGTATCGTTATAAACATCGAATCCGGAAAACTGATTTTCTAATAGGTCTTATTGTTATAACTATCTTTACTTCTATACATTTAGTTGTTCATGGCGTGACTCGTCGAACAATTGAAATATAATTAGACTATATAACGGTAAAATGAAACGTATTTGCATGTTCGTTTATAAAGAATATTTCAATTTCACTTGACAATCTTTCATTCGCTCATCTGTCACTTGATCAAAAACTTCACTTTCCGCTACAGTGAACCAGTTCTTCCAATCACCAACTTTACCTGAAATCAGATAAATAGAAGAGGGATAGAAGATAGTAAAAGGAAGCTTGGAAATATGCCTGCACTGCGGCCTTGTCTCGACAACTGCTTATCTAAAAGGAAAACTTGAATGTTTAACAAATTTGATAAGGATCCTTTTGGTGTTCCCAGTTAAAAATTGAAGAATAAATGGACGTGGTTGATTGTAAACCAGAACACGCCATGCTTAGCCAAAGGCACCCAGTGTGCATATTAATTAAGTATTATTTTAAGTATAATATATTGCATTTAGAACATCTGCAAATATTCTGTAGGGCATCTCTTAGTCTTTAAGTTATTGAAAAATTAATTGAGAATGTAGAGCAGTTAGTATTGTAATATAGATTTGATGCTTTGATTGTTTTGGCAAATTTTTGGTCAAGGGCCGCTCTTGCAAACGAAAGTAACATTTGCCACCGTCTTTGTCCCCCTGGATCTATCCTTGTCAATAACAGAAAAATAATTTTAATAGTGATATAGACATTGTATTTTTTTAGTCCAGGTACACATTAGGGCCATTTTGTAAATGTTTTACCTTTCCTATACATAGATGCCCCTTCTTTCCATTGTAAACCCAATTTATCAATCTTTTGATCTGTATCCGCTTTTTTAAGTTTCTTAAAGGAACAGGCATCTACTATAGCTTCACATAATTCATCAGAGGCATCAGTTTCTAGGAATTTTGCCAAACTTTTTACATGCTCTACAGGATTCTGAAGAAAGATTGATAATGATTGAAATATATTTTGTAATGCTATAAGGGATCGACGTGTATGCGTTCAGTCCATTTCGGACTTCAATATGGTTCTTAATTCATTGAAAGTAATCAATTTTGGAAAGAATTCTGGTGGATAGCCGTTCTTTACTGTATTTTGACTTAACCACGCCAAAGCTATTTTAGGTTCACTATCAACGTGGGTATGGAACCTCTGAAATTCACCCGAATTGCGTTTTGGACTAGAGGTTTGGACTGGATTGAATCTCCAAGTCTATAATAATCTGTAACAAAGGTTGAAAGGTTATTGAAAAGTCAAAGGGGAACCATTGCTTTTAATGTCCACCCTAAGTGCACCCTAAATAAAATGAAATGGAGTTTAACGTCCTACTTTTCTGCAGTAATCGGATCAATTGAGACGAGCATACGCAGTTTGTGTACTATTTTGGAAATCTTACCAGGACAGCTGAGCTACGGTCCACCATTATTTCGAGGGTTATTTTACATGCACGCCAACGTGTACTTTGCAAAACTAACAAAAGGGGGGGGGGGGGCAGTTGCATAAACAAACCTCTTGCATGTCTTCATATGTAAGCCTGTAAACTGGGTGATTACTTGTATTACAAAACTTATCCCATTCCAGCACATAATCAAACCATGATCCAAAAGGCACTGAAATAAGTGAATGAATTACACATCAAAAAACATTAAGAAGTAAGGTAAACATACATTACTTACATCGCATACCTATTGTACCGATTCCGACCTGAATCCCTCCATTATTCTAATATTGACCTAAAATAACTACTGGTCGCTTCAAATAGCAGTAGTACCGAGTATAACCTTCCGTTACAATAGAAGTAGTGACGAGTGAAACCTTCCGTTACGATAAAAGTATTGAAGAGTGTAACCATCTATGCAACAGAGGTATTGACGGGTATAAACGTCCGTAACGATAGAAGTAGTTCCGGGTATAACCTTAGAGGTATTGACGGGTGTAACCTTCTGTTGCGATAGAAGTAGTGCCGTTATTATAGAAGTAGTAGGTGATGAAACCTTCCGTTACGATAGAAGCAAGGGGTGTAACCTTCCGTTACGATAGAGGTATTTACGGCTGTAAGTAATGCCGGATCCGCTTTCCGTGTACGCGTTTTCTTCAATGAAAAGGTCGGTATAATGCAAATGAATAGGGCCGTTTCCACGTAAGCGACTATAGATCGGGGACGTTTTCGCTAGAGTTATTTCTCGGGTGAAATGTGCGCATTCGGATGTTAACGTTCTAGCGTACAGACACATCTTCTCTTCCACAAAGTCAATCAACCCCTCTTGTTTCTGCAAATTCAACTTGCAAATGGCAGATTTTGTGGACATTGTGTTTAGAAAGAAGCGGCGAATGAACCTTATGACAACGTCAGGCTCCATGCTGCAATTACACGGGATTCCTCAAACTTTTCAGCGATTGTTTTGTACACATGGAAATACAACAAAATCGACACGTAAATGGCAAGCGAGACTAACCGTCCTCTATACCCCCGTCAGACTTGTTTGACAATTCCCGAACTTATAGCTATGTTATCTACAGACACGTGAGCAGTAGCGTTCAATCAGAGGTTCTGACATCGCGACCACCACGGAAACCTTGGCATTGAATGAACCTTGAACTTTGCAACTCGATTATCACAGGTAGACATTTTAGCTTGAAAGCGCGAGACTTGGTATTCGCGACGATCGAGGAGTCTGATAGGCTCACAAGTTGGGCTTGTATCTAATCTAAATTAGTGCCGGAATATGCAGGGTATTACGTGAAGGCCTTTATAAGATGTACGTAGTTAAAGCGAGATCAAGCCTTCTATTGAAGATGAGTAGTGGCGGGCGTAACCATCCGTTACAATAGAAGTAGTGACGCGTTAGCTTCTGTTACGACAGAAGACGTGCTGGGTGTATAGGCGTCTGTTGCGATAGAAGATTAATCAGTTATATTGATTATATTGAAACAATTCATAACTCAATACTAAATGAACCAGAGATGCAAAATCCAATAATTTAAAAAAACAACTGACCTGATCTGAATAAAAACATATCTATGAAATCTTTAAAACTGCTTTGAAGTCTCCCATGTAGTTCCATCGAGCTGAGATGACAGAACCATGATACCGCCGTGTCTTTAGGATTTCTTGTGATTGAAACTATTTTTGTTTTCTTTTCAAACATTTGTTTTGGTAAATGTCGTAGCCAGAAGTGTGAATTAAGAACCCGTGGTGATTTCTCTCGGTCTATTACAGCTAGATCTGTAGCCTCTAACATTTGTTGTTCTTTACAGTCAGTTTTATAATTTGTCGACTGGCTGTTCAGCATATGAATTACTTCCCAAAGCCAATGAGTTCCTGAAAAACACGAATATGATTCGTTTAAGTGTTCGTTTAATAATATTCTGGGATTTGTTATAATCTAAAGTATGGAAAACAGTCTATGATTTCAACAACCGAAATGTGGGTGCATAATTTCAACCAAAGGCACAACCTTTCTAACAAAAAGTGATGAGTTAGAAATTAAAACGAACCATGGGTCGTGATTTTCAACAAGGGGGCTATATACATGTATGATAGTTTCCTCGACAAAATGAAATTTGTCTTTCTCAATTTTCCTAGATGAAGGAGCTCTTATAATGCAATTATTTCTTTTTTGAAATGGGGAATAGGAACTTACCTGCTTTAGGATATGCACATATAATGACGTCATCATCTCGCATTTTCATCTCTTTTACTTTTTTAAGATGTTCTTCATGTGTGGCATTCTTTAATTCATCGGGAAATATGACCATGGGAATACCATCTACCTCTACAGCATTAAAATCATTACCAGATTTATCTGTTAGTGTCGTGTATTTTATGTTAACATTTGATGTCACTTCTTCCATTTTTGATTATAGTACCTGTAATATATAAACAACCAAACTTATTCACATCAAGCCTGTAACTAGGGGGTGGGACCCGGGGGGGGGGGGGCTCCCCTGCAAAAAGTTTCGCATGACCATGAGAATCATTTTGTCGCACAGATCATGAAAACGTTTAAATCTTGATTGTGTTTAGACAGGACACTGTCTTTCCTGTTGACCTTTTTGACCTCAAAATAATTTCAACATTCGTTATACCTTATCTACGACTGTTTGGTCTTTCGCGCGCCATTTGTAATGAAGTCACTCGATGAACAAGGCTAAACATAACCCACAGGGGAATACTGTCGGTGTAGACTGGAATAACTAGACGCCAAAGACTGCCATTTAATTTCGACTCTTCGGTGTAGACTGGAATAACCAGACGTTAGAGATTACCATTCGATTGGAATTTCCGTGTATTTCGCCGAACATAACTGATTTGAAATTACAGTAACAACTTACATGACCGATTAAATGTAAATCAGTTTATATACTATAATATTGCATTATTCTATGCGTTGCGACCCATTTGTGTCCATTTCTAAGTGCCAAAGAAAATGAAATTAACTCCTTTCATGTTAATTCCCGTCTCCATTTTGACTGGCTTAAACTTTTCCCCAAATTTTCATGGGGTTGAACGCAAAAGCAGGTATGGGGTTCACCATGGAAGTCTTGAGATACACAAACTGGAAGTAGCATACAAAAAAAAACATGCAGCTGTTCGCCTTACATTTCACCGTAACCGATCTCTTAATTGAATTCTGTTATCATGATTTATTCACCAAACCCTGGCAGAAAATGTATATTCAAACCCTTGTCTTTTATTCTACACCAAAAAGTCAACGGAAATCGCCATGCAAAGGGAGGTGGGTGGAGCGCGATAGACTAAAAATAACTATGACACTAAATTCGTAGGAAATAATGGTGACCTGTTTTATTCTGCCGCACTTACGGTAGGTGTCATGACCTATTGAATACTTTACTTACGTGCACGCTATTCTATAACCTTGAATTATGTATATAAACCTACCGTTATGATATAGCAGTAATTGTATCCACCGTGATCTACTCAGCAGCCGATAACTGTTTGTTGCAAGTGTTAAAGGTGACCATATGACTTTAATGATATTGCATTTTATGACTTGTATAGGAGACAGTTTAGGACACAATATTTTTAGACTAACAGTCTACCCGAAATAAAGATTAACATAATATGCATATATTGAGCAATATTGTTTGGTAAAATGCTATGTTAACGTGATCGTCGGTGTTATTATATACATTTTTTGAAACGCCATATATGCCACAAGTTTATAAACTGGGTTGATAAAATAGTTAAGAAAAGGGTTAATGAATAAATAAATAAATTGAAAATTTTATTCAAATTACTTTATTTTGAGCGAAGTAAAGTCTGTTCTAAGATATAGCAGTTAGTTCATTATCTTCGAAACGGTAGTTGAGTGTCAAGACTTACCTTCGCGCATCTCGGCTATCCGATAGTCTAGAGTGTTGATAATAGGCTTGTCATTTGAATAAATGTCTAAATAATAATTTATATGACACTTAAAGCCAAAAGAAAGTAAAGTCTGTTCGAAGATACAGCAGATAGTTCATTATTCTAGAAACGGTACGTGACAATCGAGACTTAGCCTCGCGGATCTCGGCAATCCGATAGTCTAGGGTGCTGATTATAGGTTTGTCATTTTAATAAATGTCTAAATAATAATTTATATAACATTTGTATACAAAAGAAAGACACGCATTGGGCAGATTAAGCTTTTATAATGCATCTTCAATATTTGTACCGGGTTATCATTGCTATAAGCCTAAGGTATAAGTTTTTATATACTGTCCTCCATCTAGTCCCCGATGAAGCTCTATAAGATAAAGGTACTTGCCTTAAAGATACATTATGGGAGATTAGAAAAAGAGCTGGTAGTTTTCACTATAATAGTTAAAAACTTGATAATGTAAAGGGAATTTGCTGAAATTTTCAGTCAAATTGATCCACCCTGAACCGAGTATTTAGCGATTGAATTTTGGACCTAGCCTCGATCGTCATTACTAAAGCAGGTACTATAAAAAAAAACATAGTCTCGATTATCCATTTTTTGATTTAATCAGAAACAGAAGACCGGATTCTAATCCAGTAAATATCGCAGACTAGCGATGCCATCGAGAGTTGATTATGGTCTGGATAAGTTAATTAACGTCTAATTAATAATTTAGATAACATTTCAGGCCTAAAGAAAGACCTACAAATTGGCAGATTTAGCTCTTGCTTAATGTATGTTTAATAAAGCGAAGAAGTCTGTCTCGGCGAAGACTCCTTTTCCCGGATTTCTTCTAACTACTTTTCAAGTTATTGCACTTTCCCCCTTTAGCGAATCATGTGTTCACTCCCTTTTCGCGAAAGGCTAAACCTACTCATAGCTAGGGATAGAATTGTAAACAATTTTAACCACAACATAAGTTCAAAATCTAGACCCGCTGGGAGTTTTAAACGCCCCGCAAACACCCCTATAGTTTAACTTCGACCTTCCGACCCACGGTAGTTTGATTTGGCGCGTTATGCGGCCGCAACATAACCTCGACTGGGGCGCCGTTACAATAATTCTATTAGATACTAACTGCATAATAATACATATCTTTGATATTTGAAATATTTTTTGAGCGATCTAGCGTGTTGTGCCTTTAAACTCCATTCATGATACCAATAATTCTCGTTTACAACTTCATGCTTTTGACGTCACTTCCAAAAATAACCGAACAGAGCATACTAAGCTGGGATAGTCACATATAATGACACCAATATCTTTTGTTATATTCCGTCTACATCTATATGATATAAAATTCAGTTGATGATTTGATTTTCCGTATTTGATTTAATTGTACGTATCGAGTTGTGGTCCATCTTTGCCTAAAATTATGAGTATATTATGTAGATACAGAGTTTCACAAATTGTACATGCAGTGTACATGTAGGCCTATCATGTCGTATTGACATTTAAGTACACACAATAGGTTAGCTTTATAAATAACCCCATGCAGACCATAATATATAACCACACTATAAAGTAATATAGGTTATAATTAAACTTACTTATCTCGTTTAAATGACATAATTTATTTGATATATTACCTTTACAGTGCTCCGAACAGGTCAATTATTTATACTGTAACAATATAGAAATTGATAAATAAATCAACCGGTGCACTGAAATTAAGTATACACATATGAAGAAATCGACCACAACTGTACGGTGGCCTTTTAAGGTCATACGTTGATTTATACGCTTTTCTTGTAACTTACCTCATATGAGAAATCGCAATGAAAACTATAATAAATCAAAAACACATGAAAAACCTTTTCTCCACGGTGTAAACCTTTTCTCCGCGTTGTCGCGGTGTAAACCTTTTCTCCGCAGTGTAAAGTTTTCTCCGCGGCGGAAACCTTGTCTCCGCTGTGTAATCCATTTCTCCGCGGTGTAAACATTTTCTCCGCGGTTTAAAGTTTTCTCCCGCGGTGTAAATCTTTTCTCCGCGGTGTAAACCTTTTCTCCGCAGTGTAAAGTTTTCTCCGCGGTGGAAACCTTGTCTCCGCTGTGTAAACCTTTTCTCCGCGGTGTAAACATTTTCTCCGCGGGTATTCTAATTCTATGATAATAGCTGCGGCATTGTGTCTGACAAATAATTGGCAATGAAATGAAATGAAATGAAATGAAATGGGCTTTAACGTCCTACTGTTCTGCTCCGCACTGGGCTAATGAAGACGGGCATACGCCATACAGTGTGCTATATCGAATTCCAACTGTCAAGGGATCTTTTACGTACACGCCAATGTGTACATGGGATGTCGGTTTTCGTCCCATCCGAACTACCAGAAAGCTGTCCTTGTTGACGACATGTCGGGACATACCTTTTCCTAATTCCTTATCTAATACATTGCGTGCCTTCGATATTATTGACTCTTTGGTCTATGCTTGTTGGCGAATGGATAACAGGCCTACGTGCATTTATTAAAGAAATAAACAAATATTGTTTTGAATATGTATATTGTCTCATGACGATGTTGAACATACTCCGTTAGCGATTGGGAGGATAACAAAACTAACACAGTTATATTAGACAACAATTACTGGTTTATTATAATTATACACAGAAACGACGTTTTGATAAGTATCCAGTTTAATCTTATCGTTGTCAAGCACAAATAATGATAACCGGATACTATCAAATCGCTTCACAAATGCTTCTAATATCGCACTTCAATGACCACAAAAACACTAGAACACTAGATGTTAATTTGGGATTTTACTTGCTATAATCATTTAAATAAGTCATTACGTGAACTTTATACGGCATGCCAATTAACAATTCTCTTTTGTCCAGACTCAAATTCGGCTGGAATGATGGATACTGTTTTGGGAATATATGCTTTTAATACCTGCATGAATCAGTACCCACAACACATTTTTGAAATTGAAAATTGAACCATGTTAGTCCTAAAATGACCTAGTTTATTCAAGTGGACGTAAAGCCTCTCTGTGACTCCGCTATAATCCGCTTCTGAATGGCACATTGAAAAAGTGGAAATATGTTCGAACAGTGGCATTTTCGGCGTCTTTAACAATGAATCAAACTCTGAATTTTAAAAAAAAAATGAAAAGTAAGGTAGTTTTAATTACATTACTTCGGTCATTTTCAAAATAAAACGCCATTATATTTTAGGATGTTCACTTGTGTGGAACCAGGAGAATTGTAATACATAGATTATAAAAATTGTCCGTAAAAATTTCTTAATTTTATTTTAAAATTTTAAGAACTGGTATACACGTTTTCAATATCAATAACAAACAAAACCACGTTCTCAACTAATGTAAATTCTTAATCGTGTTGAGCTTTTTTGTTTGAATTCTACAAAATATCACCTCTATTATCAATCACTGTATAAAAATGTATAGTTTTAACAATGTATATATATTTATATATTTAAATTGTATATTTCAATTGTATTTGACTGTCTTTCATTCGTTTAGCTGTCATTTGATCAATAGATTCACTATCAGCCACAGTTAACCAATTCTTCCAATCACCAACTTTACCTGAAAATAGTAACCGTCAAATTATTAGCCACTTGGTGTCAGTAAAGATAGAAACATCTGATAACACTTGTGACTGGGTTCATGTGAGACACTTTTGCTATAACAAGTCTATATTTATCCTTAATTGTGGGTTCCAACTTGGCACTCTGTGAACAATTTGTTCATTTTTTCATGTTGTAAACGGATTTCTGTAGACGGGTTTCCAGTCAATCGTTTGGTTTCATACACATTCCTCTTTTTATGTCGTTAACGGATTTCATAAATAAATAATATACTGAAAATATTGTCGTTTCCAAAGACTGGAAAATAACCAATATTTTCGCAAGCGACCATTTCGACAAGCGGTCCATGCTTTATATGCGTGGGCTAAATGCTGACGTTCACGTTAGTCGTCTCCATAGACAGCTGATTTTTTGTCACTTCAACTGACCTTTGAATACCATCAAACGGCTAAACATTTACAGTTAAGATAACTTGATACTTAACATTGCCTTTGAATACCACTTACCCTTAACTTACAGGATAATAAGTATGTTTACGTGAAATCTAGTAGTTAAGTGGCTAACTTAACTTAAGATTTCCTTTGAATACGGACCCAGGCTAGTCGTTTGCTGTCCAACATTAAAATTTGACATAACAATTCATACCTTTTCTATACATTGAATACCCTTCTTTCAAAAGATGTTTTAGAAAGTCATCTTTCACTTCATCATTGGCTTTCTTAAGTTTATTAAAGGAACATGCGTCTACTATAGCTTCACATAATTCATCAGATACATTAATTTCTAGAAATTTAGCCAAACCTTTTACATGATCTACGGGATTCTGAAGAAAAATCAAAATATAATTTTCTGTTAGTTTTGGTAGTGACTGATATTTGATATTATTCAATAATCATTGGTGAAATTATCTAAAGGTCACCGAGTATAAAATATATAACAGATATTTTAAAATGATATTATGTAACAGATACTGATGATATTATGTAACAGATGAGATAAGTCATATTATCTAACATGTACAATTGATATTATCTGCCAGATATTGGTGATGTTATCTAACAGATACTGATGATATTATGTAACAGATAAGTGATATTATATAACAGATACTGGCGATAATCATCTAAAACAGTTACTGATGACATTATCTAACATGTACTGATGATATTATCTAACATGTACTGATAATGTTATCTAACAGATACTGGTGATATTATCGAACAGATGCAATTGATATTATCTAACACTGATGCTATTATCTAACATATTTGATATTATTAGCCTGGAGGCTTATTGCGGGAGGGGGTGGTCCATCAAATAGGCACAAAACCAGACCCAACGATTGCCACTCAGCATTGTAATCTACGCAAAAGTTGGGTCTGGTTTTGTGCCCATTTGAAGGACACCGCCCCCCCCCCCTCCCCGCACTGAGCCCCCGGTCTATATCTAACATATACTGGTAAGATTATCTAACAGATACTGGTAATATTATCTAACAGATACTGTATTATCAAACAGATACTAATATTAGCTAACAATTATTGATGATGTTAATTAACGGATACACATGATATATATACTATTCAAAAAAAGTAGGGGATATTTGATTTTTAAGTGTTATTAAAGTCACCTAATGAAACTGACGAAGAAACAAATGACAAAATGAAATGATGTTCACATTCATCGATTTATTCCAAATGATCGTTAGACTAAGTAAGGCACAGACTGACCATTATAAGGGTAAAATGATACCCGGGGTCAAACAGCAAAGTTACCACAGCATCACAACCAAGTCAGTAACGGGTAAATCCTCCTCTGTTTGCCAAACAAGCATTGATCCGACGTGGCATACTCCTAATGAGACGTCTAAGGTCATTTTGGTCCAGATTGTCCCATTCCTGTTGCAACGCAGCAGCAAGTTCTTGGACATTGGCAGGACGTTGTTGACGTTGACGTAACCTCTGTCCAAGCATGTCCCAGACATGCTTGATGGGGGAGAGGTCGGGACTCAGTGCTGGCCAAGGTAATGTGGTGGTGTTCTGTTGTTGGAGGTAACCTGTAACGATCCTGGCCCTGTGACATCTTGCGTTGTCATCCTGGAAGATGAAACGGCGGCCATGACGTCGTGCGAACGGCACAACATGGACTGCCAAGATGTTGTCCCGGTAGTACTGGCCTGTAACACGCCCTGCAACAACATGTAAAGCCGTTCTTCCAGCAACAGTGATGCCTCCCCACACCATAACAGAACCACCCCCAAATCGATCATGTCTGATGACGTTTACGTCTTGGAAGCGCTCGTTTCGACGACGCCACACCCTCCTACGTCTGTCCAAAAAATCAACAGTGAACCTTGACTCATCTGAAAACATCACATTGCTCCAGCGTCGATTATCCCAGTGTTGACGATCCCTACACCAACGACGTCTTGCCTGAATGTGATGATCTCTCAAACAAGGGATCACGCGAGGACGTCGGGCGCGAAGGTGACCCCTATGCAGTCGATTCCGAATCGTCTGGCCACTCACTCTCACACCAGTGTCTGTTTGAAGACGAGCGCTGATCTGATTTGCTGTGATGACACGATTTCTCAAGGCCAAGGTACGGATAAATCGATCCTGGGCTTGAGTTGTCGCCCTTGGTCGATCTGAGCGTGGTCTGTCCTGTACAGATTGTGTATCACGGTATCTGGACCATAGCCTGCTTATGACAGACTGAGAAACATTCATCGTCCGCGCCACAACCGCCTGTGTTTTGCCGATCTGTAGCATGCCAAGGGCACGTAACCTTTCATTTTGGGTAAGCCGACGCATATCAAAATTTGTTTACTGGTCACTAAAACAATTAAACTGATGTTTCCACCCTGGAATTCAATGCCACAATGACTGTAACATTCAAAGTCAGAGTCGTGTAAATCTTGGGTTGGACCCCCATGATGATCCCAAGCATCACCTGCATTCCATGCGGTAGCTATTGGTGCGTTTGGGCGTCACATGTAACTGGAAATGTATCTTCTGTTAGGTTCTATAGTGACTTTTTTCGTAGTCATTTGCATATTTTAGTATTATGCCCCCAAAATCAAATATCCCCTACTTTTTTTGAATAGTATATTATCTAACAGACACTGTTGATATTCTCGACTTACCTGTTGCATGTCCTCATAAGAGAACTGATAAAATGGATTTTCAGTTGTTTTAAAGAACCTTTCCCATTCTAGAACATAATCATACCATAGACCAAAAGGTACTGAAACATTGTATATAATGAGCTGCACTCAATATGTTAAAATGAGATTATACGTAATGTTTATGGTAGTAATTATCAAAAATGGTTGGAACTAAATATGATTCGTCATCTCACTTTTGTTGATAGCGAATTTACAAGATGCTAAGAATGATCAATAGAAGATATAATTTGTTCCTGGCGGTTGCTTTTCAAAGGATTCAACAAAATGTTAAAACGATGGCTTGAATATGTCACGGGGTAAACAAAGAGAAAATAAATTAGATTTGGTAGACGAGGTGATAACGAAAATGTCGGGCCAGAATTTGAAGACCCACTGATATATCAAAATACCAAGCCCAGTGCTTGAAATTAACCACTATCTTAAACCCTTTGATTTGCGGTAGCAGATCGCGTCACCTGTTCCAATATCGTTACCGCCTAGATTTAAAGCTTTTGTGTGTGCGTGGTTAGGGTTAGGTTCTTAAAAACTGACTCTATAACAAAATAAACATCTTGATCTGCCTTTATGTCCTCATGACAGAGGTCATAAATTTGCCGAACGGCAAAAACGGGTTGCCGTTTTCCTCCTTATAGACCGATTTATTTCGTTATTATTTTCCCCTTCTAGTCAGTAATAATATTGGACCCAGAGTTCATGAAATAAAAATGCCACACCGAATGCTTTTTTTGGACAAAAACGTTATTCGTTTTATAACAATATTACTGATAGTAATTTTTCAGCACAATAATTAATGTCAAAATCTCGTCATACTGAATCTCTGTTCGCGACCCTCAAGACCACAAATTCCTAGTAGATAAATGTAAATAGTAATGGACAAAAATGGATAAACACTGACTAACACATATATCGTGCGAATTACGGTTGGAATTAGGCCGACAAGACAGTAATTCAAGATTTACCGTTATAATTTAGTATGTCATACACATGATGACAAAGACTAAATTTTAAAAATGGTGTCCTTATGAAGAGTATGGGGTTTATTTTATGAAACAATTTCAATTATGACTGTGACGGGATAATCGAGAAAAAACATCCAATATCGATAGCTTTACGATATGTATGACAGTACAACAAGCACATAATTAGTACCAGATTACCTGATACAGAAATCATGTTCATGATCATTTGTCTATCATCAATGAATGAATTAAAAAAAATGACAAAAACAACATGGTTCACCGGGCAGAATCGTCGTCGCCGTGAAGGGGCACGGGATCGATTTTTTTGTGCGATTTTAAAAATCGGCGCGATCGGGCGAAAATATACGCTCTACTGCCCCCCCCCCCCACACACACACATAAACACTTAAATCATCTAATCTTTGGTGGTGTATTAAAAAAATACGGGTATGTTCGGCTACGAACCTCTGTCCTATAATAATTCTCGTTAAACGTCTGAATCTATATCTTTAGCTTTCGAAGCGCTGTTATCAAAGTTTTTAAAAATGCATCTTTATCTCTACTATATTTACAATGCATATTAAAAAAGTAGATCGGGTGATAAAGTTCTACTGATTATGAACAATATTGTTCAAATTAGAGAAACTTCTTAATTACGCTAATTAAAATCCAATCTGATTAAAATACAGATCTATATTTCGTTTCGTTCTTTATACTTTCGATGGCCTCTACTACATGAAGATCTGACCAGTTGTAGTGGGAGGTCGCGTCAGAGGTAATACAAACGTCTTTTGACCTATGACATCAGACATTTGATTAACCAATCAGCGTTGATGTTTCTAGTGGGTTACCAACAGTTCCGTGCAACTCACGCCAGAGACTCGCCATAATAGACCGTTTCATTGGCTAATCCCTCACATCATCCAGAACGCGAATTATATAACAACTCCTCCAGATCATAGTGTATAGTAAAGACAAGTAAAAAACCATAAGAAACGAAACGAATAAGGATCTCTGTTTTAATCAGATTGATTAAAATCATAATATAGATACAACCAAATGTCTTATCTTTTGTGCAGAGATGGATTATTTCCAACCGTATTTGATCGAAATTATGCCCTTAGTTCATTGTGTTTAACAGATTGCTAATGAAAATAATAGTCACATTTTATATCAATCAGTATTGAAAATTTCACCCAAAAATCAAATTTATTTCTAGTCCTTAAGTCTTGATTTTTGAAAAACAAACAAAAAAACGATCAATTCAGGACATTGACTAAAATAACTGGTTTTGTCATAGGCTGGGCGCTCATCTAAACTAAATCTAATACTTTATTAAAATTTACCAATTTTATACTTACATCGTTTATTGACGTAAAGATCAACAAAATCACTTAAATTCCCATGGTAATTAAGTGCTTTTTCTGCGGCTTTATAATGAAAAAACATGGAAACTGCCGTGTCTTTAGGATTACGAGTGAGGTAAATTATTTTGGTTTTCTTTTCAAATATTTGTTTAGGTAAATGCCGTGGCCATAAATGTGAATTAAGAAGTCGTGGTGATGGTTCGGCTTCAATTCTATCAACATTCGTAGCTTCTAACATTTGCTGCTCTTTAATTTGTTTATGGTATTCTGTTGTTTGACCTCTCAACATCTGAATCACTTCCCAGATCCAATGAGTACCTAATATATACAAAATCGTTTCCTGAATTCGAATAGCTCACAATCTAGTGGCGGTAGTAAATCATTAGTAATTCACATTAAAGTCATTAGTAATTGACAATCAAGTAGGAGAAACCTTAAAGATATTAGTAAGTCTTAATCAAGTAGACGTACCTTAAAGTCATTAGTAACTCACAATCCAATAAAGGTAACTTAACACCTTTAAAAATTCAGAATCCTTACCTTAAAGTCATTATCACAATCTAGTACCTTAAATTAGTAACTTACAATCTAGTACCGGTCATTTAAAGTCATTAGTAAACCAACAAAAAGAGCATTTGGTCTGAACGTTGTATTACACAGCATTCGAGAGAGTCATGATAATGACATATTTTCATATTTTTTTACGTAGATCACTGTTCGCTTAATGTTTTCGCTTGCTTTGTGCATCGATCTCTTCCACAATGAAGTAAAGAGAATTTTATAAATTACTTACCTGCTTTGGGATAAGCACACACAATGACATCATTATCTCTTATATTCAGTTCTCTAAGCTTCCTGAAATGTTCTCCATATGAGTTACCTAGAATCGCTTCAGGAAACGGTGGTAGCGGTATTCCGTCTAATTCCATCGCTTTAAATTCATTTCCTGATTTATCTGTGAATATGATTGGTTTTCCTTCATTTTGGTTTTCCATTTTGATTTAGTGTATTTGTCTAGTTCAGGTGGATGTTAACCTAGAAGTATGAAGATATCGTGTAGATAACGAAATGAAATTAAGTGGGGTTCAATGTCTTACCTTTTTGCACCAACCGGGATAATGAAGACGACCAAATGTCAAACTATGTGAATGTGCTACAAGGTACATTATTTTGCCAGAGTGGCCTATACGTATGGATCTTTAACATGTTGCAAATGGTATGAGCGGTACAACCGCGCAATGCTTTTCCTTTACTAGACCTCATCCTGCACACCGAGAAAGTGGAAACCAGATGTAAAAATCGGGTCATAACAAGGATAAAAATCGAGACCTTATACTCAATGGTAAGTGAACCAGTGCCAAACTTCCCGAGTTACGGTAGCTCCTGTAGATAACGAGCTAATTTAATGTTATTGAAATGAATTGAATTGGGTTTAACGTCCTACTTTTCTGCTCCTAACCTGGGCTAATGAAGACGGGCATATGCCATACAGTGTGCTATGAGGGAATTTTGCCCGGGCAGCGGCGCTACGGCCTACTCTTTTCCCTACAGAATGTGAACGTTTCAGTGGCTTGTCTCGAAGCGATTTTTGGCTGACCACGCAGTGCAATAACACTCAGCATAAGAGTCTATAAATGAGTCTATAAATAGCCATCGCAGGTGAAATTCTCTACACATCTATCAACTATTACAGCTGTAAAAAAATCTATTGTTGACGATTCTGAATAGCAGTAATATTTAGCTTCTTGGTTATTACAGCAGCTTTAGAAATTACCTTCGTTTTATTTTTTTTAAATTGCTTTATCATTAACTATACCATTTTTTTATTTGCCCCTAGCGGAATTAGCCGTTACTTTTAGGAGGAATACCCAAGCTCACTGGATTCAGCGGGTTGAATTCTTATAGAGAGAATCTGTCACAAATTTTACCCCACTAAATCATCCGGATTCTGAACCTACACATACTGAAGATATATAATCTATCAAAAAACATTAGGTGGGCTACATTTCCAGGGTTGTCGACCTGCTGCCGGGTTATGCATTCTTCCGCATGAATGTGCTGAAAGGTAGGCTATCATTTACATAGGTTATATTATTATTAAAGATAAACATACCTCGTATTTGATATGAGCTGTTCTTGTTGAGAACTTTCCACTCTTTTAAATATCGGTAAAGCGTGTTGAATTCACAGCCGACTCGAACGGGGAAATAGAACAGTTACGTGACCCGATAGAAATATATCATTATATAGCCAGATTGGGGTTAAAAAGTATGACTATCGCGATCATGCAAATAGTTTATCTAAAGAAAGCAAGCATACTGATGTAAATTCAAAGGACATTTCATCAATATTAGAAGTTTCATCATGCTTACTTCATTTTCCACAAAAGCAGATTGTATCAATGTACATGTATACAGATGCTCAATTTTATCATGTTTGACACCTATTTCATGCCTTATCATTTAGTTCTATTGTAGTGGCGATGGGGGTGCGGTGGACCTTTTCTTCCTCCCTTTCCTTATGATTGTACATTGGAATAATTCGTTGCGAATATGTTGAACGACTTAAGATGTATAATGTAAGATATAGATAAAGAGCTGACCATTCTTGTTGTAATAGTTTTAAAAAATGAGTAATTAATATATTGACAATTTCATTCAAATTATCTTATTCTGAGCTAAATTATGAATCTTTGAAGTTTTGCCTAGATACAGCGTAGATTGTTTATTATCGTAGCAACGGTACTTGACAGTCTATTGTATCGTTAAATTGGTTAATGTCGCTGTTGTTCTAATTCACTTACATCTCAGTCATCCACCCGATGGTCTACAGGGTTGATTATACTATGTATAGGCTTGTCATGTGAATACATAGGACGATTTAGCTCTTTCATAATGCATCTTTAACTGTTTTAGATAACTGAACTGCTTATCATATGAAATGCTCGAATGTTGAATAGTTATTATCTGTAGGTTATAAGGGAAGAACAGTAATTTTGTTTGAACGAGTATTTTATCCAGTCTGATTAAAATCAGATGTTATTCTATTCGATTCCTTCCATTTATTGTTGTTTTTCTTTTGTTTTTTTTGTTGTTTTTTTGTTATTGTTGTTTTACTTGAAGAGGCAATACCAGATTTCACTTAATGTTAATAAAAGTTGATTCAAGTTCGCGAGTGACCGTTATATTTGCTTAACGCATTTAAGGAATTCCACTCTTCAATGTGATGAGTGACTTGTCAATCGCCACACCCTTCACCAATATCACTAATGTATACAAGTAGAATATCCAGACATTTTGCAATCTGGGGAGTTATTACCAAAAACATATCGAATCCGAAAGTTTTTATTTCTTCAACTTCAGACAGTTGTTTATAACTGCGATAAAGGTTTCAAAAAGTATTAACTTGCTTCATTCACTAAAGTCACTAAAATGTATCTTGGGCGCCCCCTTTAACATCTGGCAGGTTTTATTAATGCTTCGTGTTCTTATAGTTATGTACAGTAAACACTCAATGAACAGTCGCTGTGAATACATGTTAGCTCTTATGCATGCAATGCAGAAAATCAGAACTTTAAGGGCATAGTAAAGTGACATTATTTTGTCACATCACCTGAAATAGGGGGTCCTGAAAAGGCATTTACAATAGCTTTAGTGCCTATATATGTTGGTATGTATATGTGCCGGAGATGACACATAGCAATACAAAATGATTGAAAATCCAAAATAATGAAGCAAATGCCTAAGTTGTAACTGCACAGCTACACGCGTAATAAATCAAAACACAAGAAAATCAAACTGGCTAGATGGCACAACTGAGTTATACGTTGCCAAAGTTTTCCAATATTTTGTAAACAATAAGCCATTTTGTTCTATGGATTACTTTATTGAAGATGTATTGCGTACCACTACTAAACGGTCAAAAGCAACTCCTATTCCATGGCTCGCGTGAGATAAATGACGCAACAATTAATCATGATATGATATAGGACTAATGGAGACGGGATTTGACAATAAGCACCATTTTCAACTATTATTTTCCTTATAATGTTTCTACATATATAGGCCTACATGAAAATTAACAATTTAAAAATATTAGAAAAACAGATTTTGACATAGAAAAGCCCAATAAATGTAACACTGCAGAATAACATGAAAATACTAAAGAATGTAACGTATATTATTTGTATCATTTTCGCTATGAGATAACTTCTTACACATTCAGTAAATGAATGCTCTGTGATGATTTTTGTGCGCTTTACCTTCCGCTTAATTACATAATCGCAAACAAAATACAGGATATGCAATTAAAAACCCATTTTTTTATCAATACATACCAACAGAATATAAGCATCAAAGCAAGAATGATTTACAAATAGAAACAATTTACAACTGCTTGACGACAAATCCACATGTACTAACTTTAAAAAAAAAAAAAATTCATATAAGGGCCAGTGTTCTGGGTTTTGAAATATGTTTTTCAGCGTTCATATCCTGTGTCAAGATTGTGGTACTTTCCCTTTACCTTAAACATACATTATGCAAGGGCTAAATCTGCCTATTGCGGATCTTTCTTTAAGCCTGAACTATTACATAAATTAGACCTTTAATTAACTTATCCAGACCATAATCAACTCTCGATATCACCGCTAGCCTGTGATATTTACTGGATTAGCGACCGATTTGCTGCTCAACTTTCATTCATAATTTAATCATGGAATGGATAATCGAGACTATGTTTTTATCGTACCGACTTCATTTGCCAAAATCTCGGTTCAGAGTAGATCAATTTGACTGAAATTTTCAGCAAATTCCCTTTACATTATTAGTTTCTATAGTGAAAACTGTCAGCTCGTTATCCAATCTCCCATAATGTATCTTTAATTTAAAAAGAAACGAAAGTTCCAAAGATCATTTGATTGAACCTTTGTAAATATTTTGAAGATCCGATGAGAGCTAGTGGATTCATCTATGCTTCTCGTTAAAAAGATAAGGTTGGTCTCATTAACGTTGACTGGCAAAATGTGTTTCAGCCACAATTCTTTCTTTCGTAGCCTATTATGATTTGATAGGTTTATGGATGCATAACAGGTATGGTTTAGAAATACGTACGTCAAAATGAACGCCGTGAATAGTATTAGTAGTAAAATATCGAAACATTTATAAATAAATCTTTGTGCTCAACACTGTCTAAGATTTTTATCCGGGCCTACTTTAACGTGACTGCAACGTGCCTATACTATGATACTATCCAGTGTACCCCTTGCACAATTCTACAACTTAGTCACTCACAGACGCCAGGTCAAAGGCCGTGTGATAGATTCCAGGTTACCACAAATAAATGCCCAAAAGAGCGCTGATGAAATATGGCAATAGCCAGTCCTAAATCCATACCTATGTATATAAATTATTTCAAGTGGAAATCAGTATTTTAGACATTCAGTTTTGCTGTTGTCGGTTTGTGATTTATCACCACAACGTGAAGTACTGCTTTGACACAGGTAATGTCACAAATCCGATTTGCCGCCTGACCGAGTGGCATAGTGTCCCATCTATCGATTTACGGTCTTTTTGCAGGATAGTCTTTGATAGTCGACACCACATTCTGCACACAGAGATCCATCCGCTTCATTCCTCTAGAATAGATGTCTTCCCTAAATGGTCGCCATATCCAAAAATTAGTATACTGTTTTGTAATGCTTTTCTACTCCGTTTCACATCTGCCATACACACAAAGACTAAATAAGCTTTTTTAGTTTTATTAAATGGAAGCAGAATAAATACTCAACACAATTCTCGAAGTATATTAGTGTTTTCGACTAAAATCGAAGATTTGGGACTTAAAATGTTGGTCAACTAGCTTAATGTCTGTAAACGGACAACCTAAGTGTATTATGGTGACACCGTAGTCAGTAGTCAAATGAAATGAAATGGGGTTTAATGTCCTACAGTTCTGCTCCGACTGGGCTAATGAAGACGGGTGTACGTATACAAAGGACAGTGTGCAATCAGCAATCATTATGATCATCGATAACGTCGTTTGACTTCTAGGAGATCGTTTTCTCATTTGCGTACGGTCTGTAAAATGTGATGAGGGGAACTAAATTGAATCTATCACATTGAAACACGGATCATACTCTAGAAGAAATAAACGAAAAATGTTAAAATCACGCAGGCTTCTTCGTATCACTAATAAAAAATACATAGTATATATTATTTTAAAAGGATTGGATGAAAACTGTAAGCTCTAGAGTGTTCACCAGAACAGAGGGAGCAATGATATGCGACCACATTTCCACTAACACGTAGGCCTATACAAATAGTTATATTTTTTTATATGTTCTTTTTGTTTGGATTCTAAAATAATATCAACTATATATATACATGTATTAACCATTACTGTACAGTGAGTAAATATAAATTCTTAATCGTGTGGTGGTGTTTTTTTTTATAATTGTACTTTAAATTGTATATTTCAATTTAATTTGACTATCTTTCATTCGTTTAACAGTCATTTGATCAATCGATTCACTATCAGCTACAGTTAACCAATTCTTCCAATCACCAACTTTACCTGAAAATAGTTATCGTCAAATTATTAACCATACAACGACAGTAAACATAGAAATATCTGATATCACATCATCTTCGGTTTGCCCAATGACATCGTTCCGTTGTTAGTGGCTTCGTCGGTTAGACACATTATCTGCAGCAGTTCTATATTTATCTTCAATAGCAGGTTAAACATGTTTACAATCGCCTGAATTCAAACGGTAGTCTTGTTTACAGTCTCCTGAGTTCAATAATAATCACAATGGAAATATTGCTAATTCCAAAGAATGGAGATCTAGCAACCATTTCGGCCAGCGACATTATGCTGTCTATGCGTTGAACAAAAGGTGACGCCGCCAATGCGCAGATTCCCTACTTGCTTGTTGCCCTACCCCTGGCCAAGAGGCGGATTATCCGAAAAGGTCATTATGTTACCCAATCACATTTGAGAAAACACTTGGCCAGACTATCCTTCCCCCATTGTTGGGTTAATTTAAATTTCGTAACATAACAAATCAGACGAGAAATCGTTTAATAATCAAACTACAATCAAGTGTGTTCTGTGTACGCTGTGGAATTCATTTTCTTAATTATACTATACCACAGAACAGAAATGATTGAAATGGGTTCTAACGTCCCACTTTTATAGAAAAGGCACTATTCAATAATTTTGATCCTACCTTTTCTGTACATTGAACGGCCTTCTTTTAAAAAAGGTTTTATAAAATTGTCTTTTACTTCATCATTGGCTTTCTTTAGTTTATTAAAGGAACATGCATCAACTATAGCTTCACATAATTCATCAGAGGCATCAGTTTCAAGAAATTTAGCCAAACCTTTTACATGATCTACAGGATTCTGAAGTAAAAGTATAAATATAATCGTTATTCTTAGTGGTGACATTGGTGACATCATCTGACAATTCTGGTGATATTATTTGACAGATACCGGTCTAATTAATTATCCGACTGATACTGTTGATATTATCTAACGATTGATATTATGTAACAGATACTGATGCTATTATGTAACAGATACTGTGGCATTATCTAATAGATACTGATGATATTATCTAACAGCTACTGATCGTATCATCTAACAGATGTAACAGTGACAGATAATGGTTACAGGTGACATTAGCCAGTAGATATAGATACCGGTATTATTTTCTAACATTTACTAATGATATTATCTAACAATAGAAGATAGCATTGAAAACACACGTATATATAACGGTATTATTTTCCGACAGTTACTAAAGATATTATCTAACAATAGAAGATAGCATTGAAAAAACACGTATTTTCAAACCTGTACACATTATATTGTCAATTTAACCAGCTACTATTGATCTGTCCATCCTTACTGATAACTGATGGTATTATCTAAGATAGTATCAACTGTAACAGTTTCACATAAAAAAATTAGTAATAACTGATGGTATTATCTGAGATAGCATAATCTATAACAGTTTCACACAGAAAAATTTACTGATAACTGGTGATCTTAAGATAGTACATTCTGTAACAGTTTCAATAAACTTATTTATAGATACAATCAACATACCTGCTGCATGTCCTCATAAGAGAATTGATAAAATGGATTTTCAGTTGTCTTAAAGAAGTTTTCCCATTCTAGAACATATTCATACCATAGACCATATGGTACTGAAACAGTTTGTATCAAGTAAAGGGGTTACCAGACAACAACACATACACTCACGGCAGATACGTCGCCAGGGCAGCCCACAAGGATTGTCGCATATTTATTCTTTAATGGGCAATGGTAGCATTTACATGACACTTTCGTGATTAAAACTAGCCATATTAAGTCTTTATTAGAAATCATTAAAATTTGATTTGATTTCTGGCTTTTCCATTATAATATTTAAAATGCATATAAATGTCAAGTAGATCGGGTGATAATTTTTACTGTTTTGAAGTTTAAGTGATTATGAGCAATAATTTGGGAAGTAACATAATCACATTCAGATTAGCGAGACGTCTTAATTACGCTTATTAAATTTATATAGAAACTTCAAAACGTCGTGTCACCGTTTTGTGTCTTGTTCGTAGATGTGCGTTTTAGCGTCCATATTTGGTCAAAATAATACTGTTGGTCCACTGTGTTTAACAGAAGGCCAACACCTATTACTAACGAAAATAATAGTTTCATTTTATTGAAAGCACACAAACACGACCAAATAAGTACGTGTTATAGATTGGGCGCCATTCCAAACTAATTCTATAACTAAGTTCTAGTAAAATTATTTCTTTATACTTACATCGTTTATTGACGAAAAGATCTATAAAATCACTTAAATTCCCATGGTAATCAAGATTCCTTGCTGAGGCGTTAAAATGAAAAAACATGGAAACTGCCGTGTCTTTAGGATTACGAGTGAGGTAAATTATTTTCGTTTTCTTTTCAAATATTTGTTTTGGTAATTGTTTTGGCCATAAGTGTGAATTGAGAACTCGTGGTGATGGTTCGGCTTCAATTCTATCAACATTAGTAGCTTCTACCATTTGCTGCTCTTTAATTTGTTTATGATATTCTGTTGTTTGACCTCTCAACATCTGAATCACTTCCCAGATCCAATGAGTACCTGAAATATATAACAAGCCAACAGTGAGACTGATTTCCCTCAACGGCAAAATAAATAGATGACACATTTGTATTAATTTCACATTAAGCTTTTTGTGAAGCATGAAGCAATCAAACTGCTTGTCTATATTTGGCAGAAAATGCGCATGGTCGAATTTTGCCAAGGTTTGGATGTAGTGAAACTACATGTATAGGCCTACACTCTACTCAGCTATAATTAACGTTAACTTGTCCGAAAGTATCGACCTACCAAACTGAAGTTCTCTCTACTTAGTAAAAGATAAAATGGCCCATGAACAAGCTCGGTAAAGACATTCACCTTTTGAACATCCACGCCACGTCTGCACACTCTACATCAATTTAAAGCAAAGTTAATGTGTCCAAAGTCTTGAACAATCAAATTGTTTATTACGACTGAGCTCCATTTGAAAATGCTCATCATCGAACTTAATCAAGGTACTGATGTAATACAATCTGTTTAAAATACAGATATATTTCGTTTAAATACGAAATGAACAGGGATCTGTGTTTTAATCAGATTGGATGTAATAAAACTATACACGAAATTACACCATTGACGACACAATTAGAATCAAAATTATCGGGTTTCAAAATCTCGACCAATGAAATTGCGTATCACTCTGCTTAAAAAGCGTATGGCGTTATTCTTTGGGACAATAACACTCTTGCTGGTTTGACAGCTCCAGAAAATAAAAAATAGCCTTATTCTAAGTACTAGATGTGTTAGTGTCCTACCTGTTGTGTAAATTATCCATTAAATCCTACTTTACTTGTCCAAAGGGTTCAAAAATATTTTTAAATCCAGGTCACATTTGAAAAGCTTTACGTCAGGCTTTTCAAATCATTTAGTTGAATTTTTCCAATTTTTAAAATTAGGTGTGTTAAGATGAAATTTGTATCATCAATTAAATGGAATATTGTAAAATAGTACAATTTGTTGACCAGAATAAAGATTGGGATATATTATTCAGTTACAACAAGAGTGGTATTGAGCCTTTAAAATAGCTGAAAATGGTTCTAATATCACATATTTAAATATGAATGAAATATGAATGTATATGAAGTGATTTATATTCAATTTTTAAATTTTTATTGTAATCTATAGTTAATTATAAAATAAAACCAAGTACGAACAATCCAAACCATAAGACAGAATTCGAAGTCCTAAAAAACGTTATAGGCAAAATAGTGTATTCAAGCAAAATAGTGTAATCAGCAAATGGACTGCTCCTCGTGTACAAATTACACGACAAACAGTGGTAACAGGTGTCCGGAAGAGTAAGCTTACCCTGCCTGGCGCCACACCCGCATTATGATTAGATGAAATTGAAATACTTGAACTGTCCAAATTGACGTTTTTGAATCCCCCATTACTATTTACTTTCTCATTGCCTTCCAGAATATTCTTTTTTCCTTGTTCATTACAAATGTCAGACGACTCGTATACTAATTTTAAAATGTTCACTGTGTCTTGAATATTCGATATCAGTATCCTATATTTTCACGGCAAGATAACAACCTCAATATTGATTGATATGGACGAATATTGAATTATAATTCGTGTTTTTAATATTATAGAAAATATTGAGTTACATGTTTTGCTCTTTTAACAAGAGAAGGAATTCCGCATTAGCGAACTAAGTCAGAATCAGACTTATTATGTAACAAAGCAGCGAAAAATTAAACTGTTTATATGCTTAGTCTAAGCAGAAAATGTTCGTCATCGAACCCAGACAAGACATCCGCCTAATAAACAACTACACAAGGGCTGAACTTAAAAATCTCGCTCAACTAGAAGCGTACAAATAACTGTGACTGACAGATAGAAAACCCAGTAGTGTAGATATTATACAAAGGCCATCCTGACTAACAATGTCGCTTAAATATTAATTTTGGAGCATCACTGATGTCCAGTATCTGCGTTGTGATTACAAAGTCTCTTTAGAACAGTTTATTGCTGAACCCAGGCAAACTGAATTTGAAGGTTGGTTTGTTTGATGGATATTGCTTATTGGCATCGATCTTTTCTCGGTATTAACTAAACATAATTTTCTAAAGTACTTACCTGCTTTGGGATAAGCACATATAATGACGTCATCATCTCTTATGTTCATTTCTCTAAGCTTACTGAAATGTTCTAAATACGAGTTTCCTAACATCTCTTCAGGAAACGGTGGTACCGGTATCCCGTCTACTTCTATCGTTTTAAATTCATTTCCTGATTTATCTATGAATATGGCTGGTTTTACTTGATTTTGGTTTTCCATTTTATTTTTGTGTAATTATCTATCTTGACCTAAAAATATCAGTATATCATTTAGATAACGAGCTAATCTTATTATGTGTTTCGTATATTCGCGCACATCGGATTATGGCCCCTGATAGTACGAAAGGTCGCGTTTTTAGCTTGTGGACCCTCTAGAAGTCATAATTTGTATCCGTTTTTAAAAAAACGGTTAAATATACCACCTTTAAACCCTAATGGCAGTTAAGTTCGAATTACGTGAAAATCGGAACTAAACTGCCTGACAAAATACGTAACTAGTGTAAAAGTATAGAGCGGGAACTCCAATCCGAGCGGAGCAAGGTTCAGTCCGTCCCTAGTATCATTAGGTCCGATAGCAACCTAAGGTTTATTTCTGTTTTATGTATTATCTAGTGTCCATTGCTAATGAAAATAGTATTACTGTGGCAATCGCAAGAACTTGTGAAATGAATAAGTTACTAATCGTCTAGATGATATCAGGGACTCCCCGGGGACCGAGGGTCCCTGTAACCGGGCTTGCGAGGCGTTCCAACTCTCTGGGGGCCCGGTGGGGTTGTCTCCTCCCCTGCGCGAAATTTCGTTTCAAAAACTGAAAATGATGTTTTCTATGGTATGTTCTGATATTTATAGCCTATGCACAAATTTTAAATCTGACAATCTTATCGGAAAGTAACACAAATCGCCATATTGGATTCTATTTTGATTGTCGTTTGTAATTTACAACATCCTGGGCTATTCATAATTTGTTTTGTGGGTCAAAATTGAACTAGGCAACCTTAAAACCCTTATATAAGACATATTACAAATGTCCAACGGAAGCAAATGACCATTAATTAAAATTTCGCCATTTTGGATTTCATTGTGGTGTCCCTTTTGAATTTCTGCCATCATGGATTTTTGAGATCAGAATTGAACTCAGCGATATCGAAAACCATATAAATGCTATGTTACACGTCACACTGCAACAGTATAAAAACGACGATTTTAATTGTATGTACATTTTTTCTAAGATCGCGTAAAATCCGCCCTCGACAATTTCTTGTGCACATTCCACAGATTACATTTCAAAATTCCCATGAATGTTCATTGGGTTAAAGGAAGATACCAAGTGAAAAAGAGGATAAATTTATAGAAGTTATACAAGCTTATTCCCCATATTATAAAATGTTGGGAATCTGGCGCAGAGCACCCAACCCCCAACACATGAGTAATGCCATCTCCTTCTTGGGAGCTGGGGCTGACGTAGTTAAGACGAGATCGAGCCTTATTGAAGATGGGGATGGCAGTGGTTTGGTTTAAAATAAGTTAGTTTCTTGGTTGGTAGCCACTCGCACTTCCCAACCATGGCTATGTGAAAATGTGGGGAGGTATCGGCCAAAGGTTCCCCGGCCGGTAAAGTGCTAATTTTCAATTTTATAAAGATAGGTTGCCAGGCAACGAAACATACGCCCACAGCGGCTAAATCGTCCGGGCAGTCAACAAGAGTTGTCACATATTTTCACTTTTATCGGTAATGAAACATTTATAATACATTAAAATCTGATTAAGAGTAACAACCCATTAATTAATTATCAGAAAACCATTAGAATTTGTTTGGTTTTTATAAAGTTTTGCCCCATGCTAACGTTTAGCTGTTCAAGTCATAAAAATCCATTGAAAATCAATATACTTGTTCGTCTCAAGACCTTACACTCTGTGTATGAATCTGAAGTCAATCGGATGATAACTTTAGCTTCTAGAGGGTCACAAGAGTTTTCAAAGTGATCAAGGGCCATAACTTTGACAGTAATTATCGGAAATCAATACGATTCTTCGTCTCATGACCTCAAACACTCTGTCTCAATTTAAAGTCAATCGGATATTAACTTTAGCCTCTAGAGCATTTACAAGATTTTTTGAATTGATCAAGGGCCATAACTCTGGCAGTAGTTATCGAAAATCGCTGAAAATGAATAAACTTCTTCGTCTCATGACCTTAAACACTGTGTATAAATTTAAACTCAATCGGATATTAACTTTAGCCTCTAGAGCGTCCACAAGATTTTTCAAAGTGGTCAAGGGCCATAACTCTGGCAGTAATTATCGGAAATCGCTGAAAATCAATAGGCTTCTTCGTCTCATGACCTTAAACACTGTGTATAAATTTAAAGTCAATGGGATATTAACTTTGACCTCTAGAGCGTCCACAAGATTTTTTGAAGTGATCAAGGGCCATAACTCTGGACGTAGTTATCGGAAATCGCTGAAAATCAATAGGATTCTTCGTCTCATGACCTTAAACACTGTGTATAAATTTAAAGTCAATCGGATATTAACTTTGACCTCTAGAGCGTCCACAAGATTTTTTGAAGTGATCAAGGGCCATAACTCTGGACGTAGTTATCGGAAATCGCTGAAAATCAATAGGATTCTTCGTCTCATGACCATAAACACTGTGTATAAATTTAAAGTCAATCGGATATTAACTTTGACCTCTAGAGCGTCCACAAGATTTTTTGAAGCGATCAAGGGCCATAACTCTGGCAGTAATTATCGGAAATCGCTGAAAATCAATAGGATTCTTCGTCTCATGACCTCAAACACTGTGTATAAACTTTAGCCTCTAAAGCGTCCACAAGCAATTGTGGACGCCGAACAGACGGGCGGGAGGACGGACGGACGGGGGCGACGACAATATACGACCACATTTCAATGTGGGCGTATAAAAATAAAGATCAGCTCACGTAATTAACTAGGTGCTCGAATTAAACCGTGATAGGCCGTCCTAAATGGACACGTATAAGCATTTCACATAAATTAGCCAGCTAGTTTTCCCCCGCGGACGGTTCGGCGAAAATAGCTAGGGTAGACATCTAAGGTTTTAAACGTGTTTAACATTAAAGCCTGGAAGAAAGTTATTGTATTGTACATGTTGTAATCAATATTATAAAGGCTGACATTTTTACAATTCGATAAAGCATATCTACATACCTATATGATGTGAGCTGACTTTGTTGAGAACTTTTCACTCTTTTAAACATCGGCAAGACGTGTTGACTTGTGGTTAACTGGGACACATGAGAAAAAGAGCACGTGACCTAATATCCAACCACAGTCTGTATAAGTTAATCTACCGTTGCCTGTTGCCTGCTGCCTTAAAGATACCTTCCCGCGTACACACTGGGTGATTTGATGATACATTTGGACTAAAAACATATTCAAAATTTTGTTTCAAATCCTTCCCAAAACACTGTGTTCGCGAGTGAATACCCCTGCTATAAAGAGAGAGAGAGAGAGAGAGAGAGAGAGAGAGAGAAATGGGGTTTAACGTCCACTCGACACAAACTAGGTCATTTCGGGACTAACATATGGTTTAGTTTTATTTCAATAATTCACTTGCGCGTAAGGGTCTTTAGCAGTGGGAGGAAACCGGAGGACCCGGAGAAAACCCACGAGGTTGGACAGGCGACCCTACTCCTTGTCACGTACAACCGGGGATTCGAAACCACACCAGTCGACTCAATGACAGACTTATGATATAGCGCGCACGCTAACCATTCAGCTACCCCTCCCCCCCCCCCCCGCTATAAAGAATCTATGAAAAGAAGTCATGTTTGTGTCACGTGTTTGTGCCACCTAACAACGGCTGCGAAGGGAATGCCCCTGCTATAAAAAATCTATGAAAAGAAATCATGTTTGCGTCACGTGACTTGACTGACGCGGTACCTAACGGATGTGAAGCCGGAGGAGAATTGATTGCATATACAAGACGATGTTGTCTTTAATCGCTGTCCATTTATCATAAACATCGAAGCCTAATTAGATTCTCGGATTATCCACTGCCCATATCTTTTTCCGTGGTTTTTATCTCAGAAACTGATGTACGTTTCAGCTCACCATCAAAATTTATCAAACGCTTACTAACGCGGGGAGACCGGACAATCTTCGCGTGCAGTCGTTGACGTCACTCGAGCAGACATCCCTAATTTTTGTACTGTATTAACTCTATGGATGTTTTTATGGGAATCCAGTATTTTTCTAGTAAAATTTTATGTTCCTACTTTTTATATACACCAAAATTGCCATATTTTTATTGGAATTAACCACCCGATAAATACTTTTGTGGGAAAGTATATTTAAATAATAATGACAAGATGTTACAAACATTTAGTTAGAAAGCAACTAAACTGATTTAAACTCAAAAGAAAATGTCATCAATATAACAAGTTTCTAGACTTTCGTATCATACATGCTTCATTTTCGACATAATTTTATTTTTATTCCTTATATACTTATGCTATGTTTATTTGTTGATATTACATTCAGTATATTAAAGAATCAGTTGTTTTAATATGGGAACCTGTCGTTGCCATCTTCTGATCTCGAAAAACCGATGAATGGTGAAAAGTTAGAATGTCGCGGAAGGGGTCAAGAGAGTGCGAGAATACGTTTACGCCCATTGAATTTTTCCGATTTCTCGTGCCCACTCTTCATCACAATCTCGACATCTCGCCCCCTTTGACTATCGACTGAATAGTTTCTTTGGGTGTATAAATATAACTCACAGTGAATATATATGATATTATCCTCATGGTGTATATGAAAGATAATGTGTTCAATAGTGTTCGTTATAGACTCAAATTTCACCCTGTTCAATATTTGGATATTTTCAAGGAGGAACCATTTGGGCCTCTATTGTTGTAATACTAAATGTCTATACAGGTCATTTAAGTTCTATAAATGGTGTTCTGCTTAATGTATGGAAATGGGTGAGGCTAGATTTTGGCTAATTAGGTACCTTGCAAGATTTTACTTTCTTAGACTAACTTACTGGAGTTCCTGCCACTTTCAATATTTGGAAGTGGGTTACTGTTGTCACGTTTCGTTAAAATGGGCAAATATCAGGTCAGTGGTCTCCGGCCATCTGGCATAGCACACATTAGTCTAATTTCATACAATAAGGTTGACGTAACTGGGAGATCGAATAAAATACACAAAACACACAAATATGGCAATGGTCCGTCTTAATAGCTGACGTATCTAAACATTTTATATAAATAGACCAGCGCGGTTAAAGTTCTCTTACTACATCATGCGGCGTTCTTTGAAGGACGTACAGCCTTTGGCTCGAGGCCGGAATAGAGACAACATGCAGTGTTCCTAGAGAGACGCCTCGGCTTCGAGGCCAGGTTAGACATAAAGACCTAGAAAGAAGAATTTAACTCACGTCACAGAAGACACGCCACGTAACAGGGAACTTATATATATCTTATATTTAATGTCATAGCTGTATGTGTAGTTTCCTGTATATAACCTTTGTATTATGGATGTTACAGAGATATAAAAACATAGTTATAACAACACAGTGTTCCAGAGTTAATTCATCATTGAGTAAAAAAGTACTCAACATGAAGTTCGAGATGAAAGGAATCTGTGACACAGGATAAGTGTCACCGTAGTGTTACACTATAATTCGCTTCTGAATGGCTCTTTCGAAATCCAACTATCAAAGATTCTTGTACGTGTAGATCAATAAATCAAACTCTTCATTTAAAGGAATGGAAAGTAAGGTTCACTGTTAAAAATAAATGTAAAATTACAGTGAAAAATATGTAATTTCTTTATCATAACGCTGTAAAAATACCACTGCATGTAAGATTACATCAAACGTCATGTAGAAATACAACTATATGTCAGTTTACATTATGTGAGCTGTATATTAACGGAAATGCCATTTGAAATAGTATTTTTACAACAAATTGTAAATTTACTGTCAAATGGTGTCCAAATCGGTTATTGCACTTCGATCACATATCGAATTTTGTGCAAAATATTTACTGTTACGTCAGTTAAATTAGCCTATTTTAGAAAAATAGGTTATTCAAAATCTGAATGCACCTAACTCGCGTATGGAGTGATATGCCATGCATAGGGTTGTACGTGTGGGACATTTTACTTCGTGTCATGCCTCCTACTCTTTCCATTGTAAGAAGCAGAACAGTAGGACGTTAAACCCCATTTCATTTAATTTCTTTCCATTATCGAATGATGTTTTGCATGCTCGGCTGAAAGGTAAATGGTAAATTTAAATTTACAAACACCACGTAAATTTACAGTGAGTGTAAAATAACTTTGAGGTAAATTTACAACCACAGTGTAAATTTACAGTGGGTGTAAGATAACTTTGAGGTAAATTTACAACTTATTACTAGTTGCAAACAAAACCACGTCTCGACTGTATAAAAATGTAAATTCCTTAGTCGCTTGGAGTTTTTGTTTGAATAGTAAAAACATGCAACTATGTAAACAAATATTTCCTCTGTTATGAATCGTTTTAATAGTCTGGCGTATTTTTTTTCAAATTGTATATTTCAATTGAATTGAATTGGAGTATTTTTTTTTTTTCAAATTGTATATTTCAATTGAATTTGACTGTTTTTCATTCGTTTAGCTGTCATACGATCAATAGATTCACTATCAGCTACAGTTAACCAATTCTTCCAATCACCAACTTTACCTGAAAATAGTTACCGTGAAATTATTAACCACAATACGACAGCAGGCATAGAAACACTGGGTTCATCTATGAGACACATTTTCTGTGGCGGATTTCAGCAGCTAACAGTTCTACATTTATCTTTAATTACGGGTTCAAATTTAACACCGTATGAACTATTTCGGTAGACCGGTTTACAGTCGCCTGAATTGATCAATAAGTATACTGAAAATACTGTCATTTCCAAAGATTCCAAAGACTGGGGATTTAGCGACCTTTTTGGCAACCGATCCGTGCTTTATATGCGGGGCCCAAAAAATGACTTTGGAAACTAGTCGTTTTGAGTGACAGACTCGCTAGTTTTGGTTGAATAAAATTTCGGAACATAGGAAATCAAAAACATTATGATTTAAGTTCATTTTCTAGAACTGGATGTTTAAAGATTCTACTACCTTTTCTGTAAAATGAAGTTCCTTCTTTGAAATAGGGTTTTAGAAAGTCGTCTTTTACGTCTTCGTTGGCTTTCTTTAGTTTATTAAAGGAACAGGCATCTACTATAGCTTCACATAATTCATCAGAGATATCAGTGTCCAGAAATTTAGCCAAACCTTTTACATGATGTAGGGGATTCTGAAAAAAGGTCAAAATATAATTGGTTTATGTTGTTTCTGGTGTCATTATTTTAACCGGGGCTTATGTCGACTTTTGAACTGAGATGAGAGCAACTGCTTTTAACTAGTTGAAAGTGTTCTCATGTGGACCAATCAGAAACTGGGGAAGACAGAAAGCAACTAAGTTCTAATATTGATGAGATGTTATATGAAATGAAATGGGGTTTAACGCCCTACTGTTCTGCTCATATACTGTTATTGAGGATATTTATCTAACATATACTGATGACATTATCTAACAGTTACTGATGGTATTCTCTAACAGATACATATGATAGATAATATCTAACAGTTACTGATAATATTATCCAACAAACAGATACTGCTTATATTTAACAGTTACTGGTGATATTATCTAACAGTTACTGATGATATTATCTAACCGTGTCGGATGATATTCTTTTGCAGATACTGATAAAAATGTATCCTTCGACTTATCGATACCCCCCCCCCCCCAACTGTTTCAATGTGGTAGCTCCAAAGAGCCCTCATTCTCTACACATACAAAATGTCTCTCTTGGTGAGCTGTCAACTGACTCCGCATATCCACCCCACCCAGCTACGGTACTGGCTAGTATAGATCAGTAAAAGTTATAGGTGACATTATTTAACGGATACAGAGTGGCAGGCAATATTATCGTAGAGGTATTGGTGGTATTATCAAACCGATAACCAGCTACTATTGATCTGTACGCCATTGCTGATAACTTGTGAGATTATCTAAGATAGTACATTCTGTTACATTTTCTAAAAATGAACTTATTTATAGATACAATCAACATACCTGCTTCATGTCCTCATAAGAGAATTGATAAAATGGATTTTCAGTTGTTTTAAAGAACTTTTCCCATTCTAGAACATAATCATACCATAGGCCATATGGTACTGAAACAGTTTGCATATAGAAAATGAAAGAACTCGGGTTTCTTTCTACACCCAAAAACAGTTACATTCAAGATGCTAAAATGAGATCATACATAATAAATGAGAAATCACTGAACACCAGCAGAATAGGAATCGTCGTCTTCTGCATGTTAACAAGGAATTTTGCTCCTAGAACATTTATAATTTGATCAAAGGTGACAGTAATTATCTAGAATTTTATCATTATGTACATAAAGTCAAATGATAATTTTTACTGCTACATAAGACTGTAAGTAATAACTACAGAACTTACAAATATGGACCAAATTCGACAGGATTCTAAATTCAAAAATAGAAACTTGAAAATGTCCCGTCACCTTTATACTTTGTTTTTTATGCTAGTATTAATGCTCTGTATATTAATTGCGTTTCTACCTACTTAAATATTTATAAAAAAATGTCTCTATAATATCCATTATATGTATCCTATATGTTCTATATTTATATAATTTTGTTATGTATGTATATATTTATACTGTGTACATCTATCTAAATCAGAGAGAGGGGTTATACATAGACACAGCCTCTTCCCCAATCCAAATTCAGGTATTTACTGAACAAAATATTTACCGTTCATATTTGGCTGAAATTTCGCCATTGGTTGATAAGATTAACTGAATGGCAACCAATGACGTTGATGGCAACCCCGTTTGCTAAATGCAAGTTTATGTTTCAAAACGGTGGATCACATGACGCCTGCGCATGCCATTCAGTATGGAAAATCCGCAGCGAATTTCTGCTTCTTCAGTCCTGTTTTTGGAAAGCAGACATTGCGTACATTATCTAAAATGACTAATAATCTGTATCGTCATTCTATACTAATTTTAGTACTTCTAGTACTAGTATTGTTTGACTGGGGCCGTTCGAATCTAAGCTAATTTTAGCATTTCTAGTAAAATGACTAGGCTAGTATTATTATAGATTGAAACATGCTTAAGGATGAATTTTGCGTTTTGATTGGTCGATTAGACACTGTCTATTGGACAATAACACCCTTCTAAATTAGAAAAATCACTGCGTATTAATATTATGCGTACTACTTTAATGGCGATTACCACAATGGAGACAATCAATTTTGATCTCGGAACATTAGATGAAATATTTGGAGATATGCCCGAAGATGAACTTGAAACGCCAACCCCCTTGTCAGGTAACAGCTACAAACAACAAAATATTCAAAAATCTATTACAGAAACATAAATTTTGTTTCAAAAACTACTTTTAAAAAAATGAAGTGAGAATTTTAGGGGTTTTTTTTGTATGTCTATACTCATACGGCTACTATAGCAACCAGACGATAAGCAAGCCAAATCTAACACGAGCAGCCATTTACCCCGCTACGTCACGACGTTTTCATTACGTCAAAATTGATTTCTTTGGTTTTTACGTCACTAAAACCTATTTGCAGTAAGACGAATTTTGAAGTTTACACAATAAAATAAGTTCTTTAAAAATTCTAAAAAATAGCATGTTACAATGTCGATAAACCCCTCCTGTTTCGCATTTAGAGGGGTGTTATTGTCCAATAGACATGTCCTGAGATTTTACATTAGAACCCGTGACGCTAACGCGTCTTAGGTCCTAATGATCTCAGGAAATGTCTATTGGACACTAACACATCTCTAAATGCGAAACAGGAGGGGTTTATCTCCTAACTGTTGCCCTTCTAAGCTAATTTTAGTGTTTCTAGTAAAATAAATAGTATTATTATAAACTTGGAGTTATTCTAAGCTAAGTTTAGTACTTCTAGTAAAATTAATCCTTCTCATACTTACTTCCTTTATTGATGTAAAGATCTATAAAATCACTTAAATTGCCATGGTAGCCAAATGATTTTTCTACTGTATTACCCTGATACTGAAAATACATGGAAACTGCCGTGTCTTTAGGATTACGAGTGAAGTAAATCATTTTCGTTTTCTTTTCAAACATTTGTCGTGGTAAATGATGTGGATATAAATGTGAATTAAGAACTCGTGGTGATGGATCGGCTTCAAAATTATCAATATTCCTAGCTTCTAACATGTGCTGCTCTTTAATATGTTTATGGTATTCTGTTGTTTGACCTCTCAACATCTGAATCACTTCCCATATCCAATGAGTACCTGGAATAAATAATAGCATAATAATGTGTATGCACAAGTTTAAGAGAATGGCAAGGTTCGTTTTCATCAAAAAATAAACACAACGAGTAACTCATAATCTGAAGGGGGTGCCTTAAAATCAGAAATACGAGTAACTCACAATCTAAAGGAGGTCCTTAAAACAATAAATACCACGAGTAACTCACAATTTATAGGAGGTTCTGTAAAGTCATAAATATAACGAATATTACATGCGTTGCGACCCATTTGGGTCAATTTCTAGGTCCCAAATATTACCGATTTAGCTCCTTTAATAATGAGTAATTGCTCCACCAATCCCCAGACATTCAGCAATTCGTCGTGGCATGCTCCTAATCAACCGTCCAATCACGATTTGAGGCAATCTGACCTACTCCTCTTGCAGTGCCACGGCCAATTCTTGCAGTGTTGTGGGTTGACGTTGACGTCGACGAACACGTCTCCCGATCATGTCCCAGACATGCTCTATAGGGGAAAGGTCAGGACTCATGGCTGGCCAAGGCATATGGACAATATGGTGACGCTGGAGGTAGTCATTCACGATGGGCACGGGCATTATCATCTTGAAAGATGAAACGTCGACCTGCACGTTGAGCAAAGGGCAGAACTATCGGTAGTGACCCTTCCTTGAACAATATGCAAGTCTGTTCTGCTAGTCATGGTGATTCCTCCCCACACCATAACAGACCCCCGCCCGAATCTGTCATGCTGTCTGACGTTAACGTTAGCATGACGCTCATTTACACGCCTATCGGTGAAATCCAGAGTAAATCTGGACTCAATTGAGAACATTACACGCGCCCATCGACGATTATCCCAATTCTACGCTGCCTACAGAATTGACGCCTGTTTGCCATGTGCTGGCGAGTTAATGGAGGCACAACACGCGGGCGTCGCGCATGCAAATGGGCTGCATGTAGCCGATTTCTAATCGTTTGGGGTGTAACTCGAATTCCTGTAACTTGGTACAAGTTTACAGAAAGCTGATTGGCCGTTTGTCCTCGATTTCGCAGGATCTGTGTACGAATGTATCGATCCTGGGCTTGTGTAGTGGCTCTAGGACGACATGAACGAAGTCTATCATGAGCATTGTGTGTTTGTTGGTACCGGTTCCCCAGTCTGCTGACACATTAAGCATGCTGGCTACTGCTCGCTGTGTAGAACCCATTTGAAGCATGGCAATAGCACTTAGACGTTCATCATATTGAACGTAACACACTAAAGCAAATATACGCTAAACAGTAAATCTTATGCAAGAACCGATAGGAAAGCAAACATGGATATGATAAACCAGCACGCGGCAGTTTTCATCAACCCTTCCTTGAAGTGTCAAATTGGACAATGAACCTCTCCCACGTGTATGGCGCTATTGCGTGTCGCACATACAGTTCAGTGGTTATATTGGGGCGATAAGTTCTTCATCTGTGAACATACTCCTAAAGCATGTCAAGTGTCCATGCTTATTTATCATATCACAACTTTCATAGGTATTTCCATTTCAATATTCCAAACTTTTTTTGAAGAGTATATATAAGAGTTAGTATCTATCATCCAGAAAAATATTTTCCGAATATTAGTCTGGATGGGTTGTCAACATTTGAGAATAATGGGCCTAAGCTCATTAAAAAAGTGGGCCTAAGCCTATAAAGAAAAAAGAGAAAGAAAAGAGAAAAAAGAAAAGAGAAAGCAAGGAGAGGGGGGGGGGAAGAAAGAATGGAGGATAGGGCAGGACACAGGACAGGAGAAAGAAAAGATAGGAAAAAAATGACTTGTGTGGGCCTTGGTCAATGACCTGACAGGTGGGCCTTTGGCCCACCAGTCCGGCACTGCCTGTGTGTCGTAATTGCAAGATCTATTTAGAATAATCTATTGCTGAACCAGGCATTTTGAATGTGCTGAAAGTGATAAGCATAATTTTTGGTTTGTTTTTTGTGTACTTGTTCTTATTGGCATCAATCATTTCCATAAATAAATAAATAAAGATAATTTTCTACAGCACTTACCTGCTTTGGGATAAGCACATACAATGACATCATCATCTCTTATGGTCATTTCCCTAAGCTTCCTGAACTGTTCCGAATACGAGTTTCCTAACATCTCTTCTGGATACGGTGGTATCGTTCCTCCGTCTATTTCGATCGCCATCATTTCATTTCCTGATCTATCCGTGAACGTAACTGGTTTTGCAATAATTTGGTTGTCTATTTTACTTTCGTGGATAATTTATCCAGTCGATGTGGGTCCTGGCCTAAAAGTATCAGTACATTATGTAAATAACATGCTAATCGTATTGAATTAAATAGTCTATTGCGGAGTGCGTCAACTGAAATTAAACATGAAGATAAGATAGTCTTAGTACACAGGAGCTGAACCGATTGAATATACCTACTATATGACCTGAGCGGACTTTGTTTGAGAACCTTTCGATCTTCAGTGTATGTTTAACCTCAAATGATATATCATAAAATGATTACATAACAGGACGCAGTGCATACTTTGTTAGCATAAGTTAGTATAAATAGCTATTGCACGTGACATTATCTATGCGTCTATTAAATAATAAAGCTTGAACAATCTCTAATCTGACCTCGAATTAAATTAATATTTAGATTGATGGTTGTGACAATTGCATTAGAAATTTACGTTGGGTTCATTGTCCCTCGAAGAAAGCAGGGGACTATTAAAATGGGTTCGTCCGTCTGCCTGTCTGTCCGTCACACGTTTTGGGACACATTAACTCTCCTTCTAATTGAGCTAGAATGTTCAAACTTGGAATGTTTATTAAGTCAGTGCCTTGATCGAGTTCGAAGATGAACATTTTCTGCTTAGGGTAAGCAGAGATAAGCAATTTGATTGGTTGATGCTTTGGGAAACAAAAACTTTGGTTCTAATTAAGTGAGAGTGATGAAACTTGGTGTATAGTTTCATTACATCAACACCTAGACTAAGTTCGATAATGAGCATTTTCTGCTCAGGTTAAGCGGAGCGATAAGCATTTTGATTGGTCGAGACTTTGGAACCCTCATTCTAATTGAGCTAGAGTGTTCACACTTGGCGTAGGTGTTTATTAGCTGAATGCCTTGATGGAGTTCTCATTGAGAATTTCTGCTTAGGTAGTTACTTTAGTAACGTAAATTGTATCGGCTCTGCCTTCTACTAAGTTACTGTCAGCTGATAATGACAACTAGTATGAAAATAAGGCTTTCCCTATCTCGGTTCTAAGGCTATTTTGGAACCCTTACCGTCTATTTTTCACTGCGATTCTTCTTTAGTCGCCAACATGGAATCATTTCTTGTCACATCCAACACAAAGTTATAAAAATCCAACACCATTTTCATTTGAATTGGGCCGCCATGTTCAAACTAACGCTCAGCCAAAATTCCAAATTTAGGAATGGAATTTTACCGTAAATGAGAATAACACATAGAATATTTAAAATATTTTATAAAGGTCAATATATACTGAGCGCCATGGAAAACGCATCACTTAGTTTTTCGTATAACAAAATGATCCTGTAAACATATCGTATTTATTTTGCTTCTTATTGTGAACAATATTGAAATGGGAACAAATCAATAACAACACATTTGTACACTTATGGATGTTTAATCTGTAATCAACGGTACAAAGTCTGAGGGGTCAAAACCAAAAGTACGACACAGATGTCAGTAGAGCGTGTGTCCTCGCATGGAGTTTATCAATGGTTGAAAGAAGGCCTGTTGCAAATTGTTCCATTCTTGGACAAGAGCAGCTTCTAAAGCAGCAATGGTGTGCATCTGTGGTCTCCGATACAGACGGCGTCCAATCTCATCCCAGACATGTTCTATCGGTGCCATGTCCGGAGGCATGGCTGGCCAGTCCAAGACATTGATGTTGTTAGCATCCAGGTAGTCCATACTAAAACGGGTGGTATGCGGACGTGCATTATCCTGTTGGAAGTGCTGAAGTTGTGGGTGCGCTCGGAAAATCGGAACAACAATTGGTTGCAAGACATCATCACGGTAGGCTACAGCATTAACGCCACCCCTGCAAATGTGTAGGGCGGTCCGGTGTTGAAATGTGAAGCCTCCCCACACCATGACACTTCCCCCACCCCATCGATTCGTTTCGAAGACGCAGCAGTTTGCAAGACGTTCCCCAAGACGTCTCCACACACGTTGACGGCCATCAGCGTGATAAAGATGAAAGCTACTCTCATCACTGAAGAGCACACTTTGCCAGTCTACTCTTCTCCATGTCTAGTGTCCTTGAGCCCATATCAAACGCCGCTGACGGTGATGATCCCTGAGGATAGCTCCAACATAAGGTCGTCGTGCACGGAGTCCTACTTCTCTTAGACGACGTCTTACGGTGTTGGCACTTACTGGTCCTTGTCTTCCGACGACTGCTGCATCTGTCACGCAGATGAGTGACCTGGATGTAGCGGTCTTGAGCCTGGGTTGTAACGGGTTGTGGACCAGGACGTTGACGGTCACGTGTTGATCCAGTAACTCGAACACGTTCCACCAACCTTACAATAGTGGACTGATGACAATTGAAGTGTCTGGCAATAGCACGTGTAGACATGCCAGCCCTGGACATTCCCATGGCTTCATTCCGTTGATTTTCAGTAAGTCTCGGCATCTCTAGCTCGATTCCTTCACACGTCCAACAACAAATTACGACAGATTGACGTTTCACAGTTCATGTACTGCACATTAAGTTGAAAACATGCTTTTAAAGGGCTCACGCACAATGCTGCACGTGAATATTGGGTTTTTCATGTGCAACTCGTGCAATATTTTTTTCTTTTTTTTTTTTGCACACGGGCCGATATTTTTTGCGTTTGGGAGCATTGTGTGAAACAATAGTTCATAGTATTGCATAATATTATACATACAAAACCACCTAGTAATAAAATATTTGGGAAAAAAAAGTGATGCGTTTTTCATGGCTGAATAAAAAAAACTTTAGTGACCATGTACAGCACGATTTTTCGTTTACGGTAAAATTCCATTCCTAAGTTTGGATTATTGACTGAGCGTTAGTTTGAAAATGGCGGCCCAATTCAAATGAAAGTTGTTTATGTTTTTGTATCGCACAATTCTACATGAAAATAGAGTTGGATTTTCATAAATTTGTGTCGGATGTGGCAAGAAATGTTTCCTTTTAGCGACCAAAGAAGAATCACGGTGAAAAATAGACGGTAAGGATTCCAAAATTGCCTTAGAACCGAGAAATGGGAAAAGCCTTATTTTCATACTAGTTGTCATTAGCAGCTGACAGTAACGTAGTAGAAGGCAGAGCCGAATTTACGTTACTAAAGTAACTACTGCTTAGGGTAAGCAGAGATAAGCAATTTGATTTGTGTATAGTTTTATCACATCAATGCCTTGACTAAGTTCGATAGTGAGCATTTTCTGCTCAGGGTAAGCAGAGCGATAAGCAATTTGATTGGTCGATACTTTGGAACACAATAACCCTCCTTCTATTGAGTTAGAATGTTCAAAATTGCTACAGGCGTTCATTCTGATTGGTTGATGCTTTGCGGCATGATAACTTTGGTTTTGATTAAGTGAGAGTGATGAAACTCCGAGTATACAATTTAAACTTAAACGTACATTATGCAAGGGCTAAATCTGATTATTGCAAGTCTTTATTTAGGCTTCAGATGTCATAGAAATTATAAATTAGATCGTTATTTACACAACAAGCACAAAATCATCTCTGTAGACCCACGGATGGCTTGGATTCGGCTTGGATTTAAACAGGATTTCATTGATTGATTAAATTTTTAAATGGCGTCGTAAGCGGGGATTAACCGTTACGTTGACGTCATACTCCCGGAAATTTTAGATCGAGGCTAAATGATAGAGTTTACGAAGCGAGGCCGCTGTTGTGCGAGGCCGCATGTCAGTCAATTTGATTAAAAGTTCGATATATACGGCCTTGATGTTATGTTTAGTTGTGGTTAAAATGAGAGTTTGGATGTCTTTATTATACGCTCTTTTGTCACTTGCGTTTACAGAAAAATTTTGGAAATTGATAAACATCGCAGCTAACATCACCCCAGTTGAATTGCAGCCCCATTGGATCACTGTTTCCTATTTGTCTGCTTCGGGAGTTACGTAGGCCTACCAGTTACAGTACAAGAGTACACGCAGGCTAATATGCCTCATTGATTTGGTCCATTCCTTTCAAACTTTCGCTTCTTATCTATATATTAAAAGTCTAATTTTTAATTTGTAGTAAAAATAATGTGATACGAATTGAATTGCAACCCCGTCTCAAACCGAAAGGCTATCGGTACCGCAGCCATTGAAAACGTTACTTGATAATCGAGATTATGTAGGTGGAGTTAATGCCTGTCAATCAAAAGAACGGCCATTCTCGGAGACGGTGAAGAACGAGTTGACTCCTATTTCTAGTCAAAAATTACAGTGGTGATAACTTTGTTCAGAATAAAGTAATTTGACTGAAATTTTCAATATATTCTTCTTTCATCATCTATTTTTGAACTGTTATAGCAAGAATGGCCAACTCTCTATTAAAATCTCCCATAATGTATCTTTAAATATACCTACTACTTGATGTGAGCTTCCTTTGTTAGTATCTTTCACTGTTTTAAATACTGCTAAGGCGTTTTGAATTCTGGCCAAACTTTGAATTTGGAAGAAAAATAGCAGGTGACCTAGCAGCCCGATAAAAAGTATGACTAACACTATAACAATCACGTGTCCTAATCCTGTTTACTTCTCGTGACCTTGACGGAATCTGCAGGTGGCCTTAATATTTAAACCTGACCTAGTGGTTCTGCGCTCTACATTTAAACCTATTACGGCCATGTAGTAAAGTCAAATTGCAGAATAACCCTAAAAAATTGCAAGAAAACGTTTAATGGCATTTTCTTATAGTATTTGGTCCAGAGAACAACATATCAAAAGTTGTCTGAAATTGAGCTACCACAAAGGGCCTAAATATGTCGTCAAACAAAATGGCTGCCATTGAACCAAAATCCCGTTTTTCTGCTCTTATTCTATCAAAGCTGTTGTTTGAGAAGGCTTAGATGTAAGACAATGCTATTATAAAAGCAACATCGTTATGACGTTACGACGAAAATATTTCCTTTCTGATGATTTGTTAGCCATTTCATTTGAAGTTGTAGATGGATGAATAGCAAAAGTGCATACAATTGCTGCAATAGAAATGCCGACCACGATATATGGTCGGTCTAGAGTATATTATTACCCAAAAAAGTCCCAGTCCGAAATCCGTGCCAAAATGTGTCAAATTGGCCAAAATTCAAAATGGCCACCGGTTTTGAGTGTGTGTGTGAGTTAGATGTATTTTACGTCCGCTTCCACCGAGGTGATATCGCAGGCAAGCGCCGGTTTTGACTGGAAAATGTCAATTTGTATCGAATTATCATAATATGATCGAGCTTGGTATCAAAATGTATCCTTTTGGGGTAGCTGAATCCACTTCCATACACATTTTGGTGAACAATTATACCCCCGAGTCAATATTCGGGAATAACTCCAGATGGCGGCTAGTTTGGGCGGCAAAATTCGAATTTTACAAAATGACCACATTTGGTGTCAAAATATACGTTTTGGAGGGAGCTGATTCGACTCATTTTTTTCATTTTGGTAATTAACTGGTTCTCCTGGGTCAAGATATGTGGAAATCCCATTGAAGATTTGGGGATTAAGAGCGGTCGAGTCTGCCTCAGATCTAATACTATTGCATTTATCAAGCATCATTTAGACTCTCTGGTCGACCACTGCTCATTGTGGAAGCAGTGTAGCAGGCATGATGAAAGGGGCTTCTCTCAGCTCACTGTGTCCGATTTCGATCACCAACATCGACAGTGGAGCCAAGATGACCAAACCTATTGAAGCACACAGCGAATTTATTTCACAAAATGATTCAAATAATGCGACACAGATGGATCCCGATATGCATTGAACTATATGATAATGAACTGTATATCGCCATTCTGAAAATTACGCAAAGATAACGGGTATTGGTCCGTAATAATGAGCCGATTAAGATCCCTGACTGAAGTTCAATAATGAGCGGAGATAACAATTTTAATGGCAGAAAATTTAGGACATAATAAAACTTGGTGTAAAGTCATGACTAAGTTCAACAATGAGCCAAGGGCGTGCTAGCGCCTCCGAATGATGGAAGGCAGACCAAAGTTAGGGCACTTTAGCAGTAGGGGCGGAGTCGTGAAAATTTGAGTTCTGTGGCACGTGGTAGAATCGATTTGGTGTCTATGTGAGCCATGACATACCATACATTGACACTTGGTTAAGGGATAATGATTAAGTCCTAAAGTCAAGAACTAAACGACCTGTGGGTAAAGAAAAACAAGTATCAACAGGGACTGGCATTTCTTACAAAGGGTACCTGCCAAGTTTCATTCGATTCTGTTCCCTAATGAGGACGAATGGGGGGAGGGGGAGGGGGGAGGGGGGTAGAATTGAAAGTAGACTAACAACCCCGAGAACGAGAAGACGGTCAAGTTACTGGTTATAATCTCAAGGGCTAAAGGTCGAGGGTGAGAAGTCCCTAGCTTAAGCCTGCTTCACACATAACCATAATGAAGTCCTTGCCTCGTGCTTATTACGCGCAAAAGTATAGAAGCCTATAACTACCATTCATAATTTCTACTTTTCGCCTCTTCAAAACAAGAAAGTCGAAAAGTAGAAGTTACGACAAAATGTGAGGCGACAACACGCTATACAAGCCAAAATCAACTAGAAAATAGGAAATTAAGAAATAACACACAGCGATAATAGCGCCCCTCGTTTTTTCCTATTTTCTTATTTTCGACTTGCATTTTGGCTTGTATACCGTCTTGTCGACTTTCGACTTAGTCATATTTTTGTATTTATTGATGTCAGTAAGAAGGGGCCATACGCATACCAAGCCAAAATGCAACTCGAAAAGTAGAAATTAGGAAATTAACACACCACGCTATTAGCGACTTTTCGACTTTTCGTCTCGGTAGTTGTTGTAGTCTCAGTTTTCCAGGTCGCATTTGAATACGTGCAATCAGGGCTCATATTGTATTTCATTCTTTTCCGTCAAAATGGATAATAATTTTTATATAAAAAAAATGTTCATATTTTTTTTCCCGCCAACTGGGATATTTTATCTGCCAAAAATGTCTGATAAAAAAAACACACCTTAGGCTACAACAATTTAATTTATTATATAGGTCTATTATAAAACAAATTTCCCGTACCGATATATACAACAACATACATGGGGATTGGGTGGTCTAGTGGTTTAACACGTGCGCGTGAAATCACTAGGTCTGACACTGATTCAAGTGGTGTGGTTTCGATTCCCCGCTTAAACATGACAAGGGAGTAGGATTGCTTGTCCAACCTTGCGGGTTTTCTCCGGATACCCCAGCTTCTATCCACTGCTAAATGCAGGGATAGAACACCCGACCTCCACGTCCTGCATCACTGACAAGGGGGAATCCGATGGAAAATCTGGATGAACTTTCTCGACCAATGCAGGGATCGAACACCCGACCTCCAGGCTGGCTTAACATCCAGACATTTTTGGCAGATAAAATATCCCAGTTGGCGGAAAAAAAATATGAACATTTTTTTTATATAAAAATTATTATCCATTTTGATGGAAAAGAATGAAATACAATGTGAGCCCTGATTGCACGTATTCAAATGCGACCTGGAAAACTGAAACTACAACAACTTCCTAGGCGAAAAGTCGCTAATAGCGTGGTGTGTTAATTTCCTAATTTCTACTTTTCGAGTTGCATTTTGGCTTGGTATGCGTGTTGGCGCCTTCTTACTGACATCAATAAATACAAAAATATGACTAAGTCGAAAGTCGACAAGACGGTATACAAGCCAAAATGCAAGTCGAAAATGAAAAATTATGAAAAAACGACGGGCGCTATTATCGCTGTGTGTTATTTCTTAATTTCCTATGTTCGAGTTGATTTTGGCTTGTATAGCGTATTGTCGCCTCACATTTTGTCGTAACTTCTACTTTTCGACTTTCGTGTTTTGAAGAGGCGAAAAGTAGAAATTATGAATGGTAGTTATAGGCTTCCATACAAAAGTCCTATATAGCGTGGTGAGGTAATGCGGATAAAATCCTCAAGTGTGAAGGCAACTACACTCTCAGTACGCGCAAAGTCGCAGAAATATTCATGGGCCGGCGGAAGCAATTCTTGATTTTGTCGTAACTTCTACTTTTCGACTTTCGTGTTTTGAAGAGGCGAAAAGTAGAAATTATGAATGGTAGTTATAGGCTTCCATACAAAAGTCCTATATAGCGTGGTGAGGTAATGCGGATAAAACCCTCAAGTGTGAAGGCAACTACACTCTCAGTACGCGCAAAGTCGCAGAAATATTCAAGGGCCGGCGGAAGCAATTCTTGATTGGGGGGGGGGGGGGCTTCCATCCTAGGTCCTTATAGGCGTAGGTCCAGGGGCCGCAATAACCTGGAGAAAAGAGTACTTGCCGCCAAATTATTGCCACGATCTGGCTGATTTTTTTTTCAGGTCCTAGCGAGGTTGTGGTGTATGTGTGAAGGGGGTATTAACCAGCCAACATCTTTTTCACTGAGCCACCATAACAATTCTTTATCTTTGAATTCTACACATATCTCGTCTATTATCAATCATTGCATATAAATGTAGATTTATCACCCTGTTTTAGGTTTGTGTTTTAAATTGTATATTTAAATTTAATTTCACTGTGTTTCAGTCTCTCAGCTGTCATTCGATCAATATTTTCACTTTCAGCTACAGTTAACCAATTCTTCCAATCACCAACTTTACCTGAAAATAGTTACCGTGAAATTATTAATCATTGGGCGTCAGTAGACATATATATACCTGATATCATTTCATCCTCGGTATCCACTTAGTAGAGTTGAACGGAGGGATACCACTGCGGATACCGAGGATGATATCACTCGTGACTGGGTTCATCTGTTACACACAGATCCTGTAACAGGTTTCAGCAGCCAACAGTTCTGTATTTATCTTTACTTACGGGTTCAATTTGGCACTGTGTGAACTATTTCCGTAGACTCGTTTGATAAATGATTATACTGAAAATACTGCCATTTCCAAAGATTCTAAAGACTGGAGATTTAGCGACCATTTTTATAGTAGTAGTATCTTGGTGCTTTCGGCAACCGATCCGTGCTTTATATGCATGGTCCAAGGGGTGACGTTGGGAGCTAGTCGTTTTGAGTGACAGCTGACATCACGTGTGCAGACTCAATAGTTGATCATAGCAAAACCAAATATTAACAACCAGCTTTGTAACCAGAATTTGAACGGGTAGAGTTATTTTAAAATGTATAAGTCCGAGCGTTTAGCCTGTGAGTATGGTAAACTCGGGTGAGGGGGAGGCCCTTGCAAACAATGTAAAGAGGGACATCTGATGCCTAATTGGAAATTATTGCTTGATATATTCTCTGTTTGGTACTCATGATATATATTCCATTTACGCTCAATTTGTCAAATTAAAAGTGCCTAGTTGGCCTGTGCCTTATCCGGCCCTTCACCCCACTCCCAACCGCACCCTTCACCCCAACCAAACCCTCAACCCCCAAGAGTGGGGTCACTAAATATACCAGGCTGTGCTGCCACGTCGAAATACTTTCAAGTACATTCTCTAGAGGATAATATTTTCTGGAGCTGAATGTTAAAAAGATCTCTACTACAAAACAGTTTTTTACTCCTACCTTTTCTGTAATGTGAAGTTCCTTCTTTGAAAGAAGGTTTTATATAATCGTCTTTTACTTCATCATTGGCTTTTTTCAGTTTATTAAAGGAACAGACATCTACTATAGCTTCACATAATTCATCAGAGATATCAGTTTCTAGAAATTTAGCCAAACCTTTTACATGATGTACAGGATTCTAGAGAAAAATCAAAATATAATTGTTTTCGGTTAGTTCTGTGGCAGTTACTTATATTTGATATAATCAAATAGTCACTGGTGATATTATCTAACAGTCGTTGGTGATATTATATAACAATCGTTGGTTATATTATCTAAGAGTCACTAAGGATAAAATATATAACAGATATCGGTGATATGATCTAACAAATACTGGTGATATTATCTAACAGATACGTGATAATATTTAACAGATAAGCGATAAGTGATAATATCTAACAGATAAGCGATAAGTGATAATATCTAACAGATAAGTGATAAGTGATTTATCTCTTATCTGTTAGATATTATAATATCTAACAGATAAGTGATAAGTGACAATATCTAACAGACAAGTGATAATATCTAACAGATAAGTGATATTATCTAATCTCTAGTATTATCTGATAGGTATAGGTGATATTATTTGGAGGATATTGATATATATAACAGTGACGGGCGATATTTTTTGTTACTGATAACAGTATCAAGTCGATTATATGATAAATTAATGATGTAAGATGTCTACCCTGACTGATGCTATTATCTAATAAGATAACATAATCCGTGACAAATAAAACATTTTAAATATATATTTTAAAACAATCAGCATACCTGTTGCATGTCCTCATAAGATAACTGATAAAATGGATTTTCAGTTGTTTTAAAGAACTTTTCCCATTCAAGAACATAATCATACCACAGACCATATGGCACTGAAATAGTTGGCATATAAACAACAGTTACAACCAAAATGGTAAAATGTATTATAGCCCTGGGGGTAATTATTATAAATCGTTAAAAATAAAAAACAATCAGGCAGTGTAAAGTTGAATCGTTTTTCGTTATTCGTTATTCACCAAAACTTACCTCGTTATTGGCGAATAACGAGGTACAAGCTACCTCGTTATTCGTTATTCGTTATTCATTATTAAACGAGTTATTCTGGATTCCAATATACAGCTAGCCATGACTAGAATGACGGATGCCATGTATCCCCCAGTAGTATAAAACACAGCAAAACGACCTCTAGACGAAAAACAGTCCACATTGTTATTCAAGCAACGAATAACGAGCTGTTTGTTATTCGTTTTTCATCTCGTTATTCGGGATTCACATATGAAGGTGTTCATGTATCTTTAATGAGGATATTTCAGGATTTAATTCTAAACGATCACTAGACAACACTAGAATAATGGATTGCAAAGTATCCCCTAGCAGTAGAAAACTTATTAAATGACATATAGTCGGTAAATAAACCAGATTGTTATGCAAGCGGTGAATAGCGAATAACGAATCACGAGGTGATTTGCCTCGTTATTGGCGAATAACGAGGTACAAGCTACTTCGTTATTCGTTATTCATTATTCAATTTTATATTCGGGATTCCAATATGCTGCTAGCCATGACTAGAATGGTGGATGCCAAGTATCCCCCAGCAGTATAAAACACAGCAGAACGACCTTTAGACAAAAAACAGTCCACATTGTAATTCAAGCTGCGAATAACGAGCTGTTTGTTATTCGTTTTTCACCTCGTTGTTCGGGATTCACACATGAAGGTGTTCATGTATATTAATGAGGATATTTCAGGATTTAATTCAAAACGATCATGAGAGAACCATAGAATAATGGATTGCAAAGTATCTCCTAGTATCGGTAAATAAACCAGATTGTTATTCAAGCGGTGAATAACGAATAACGAGGTGACTTCGTTATCCAACTTTATATTCGGGATTCCAATATGCAGCTAGCTAGCCATGCCTAGAATGATGGATGCCAAGTATCCCCTAGTAGCGAACTTCATGCGAACTAAGAATTTTTGTTACTAGAGTATTTACAAGTTGATTATTTGCAACAACTATGAATGCAATTATCAAAGGTATTAAGAAGATCGAGTAATAACAATTCCAGTAATTCAAATAATATAGAACTTGAAAATGCCCCGTCAACTTTAAGATTTATTTTCTATGCATTTATTAATATTTTGTGTCGTTTTTATTATTAAAAAGACCATGTCTTTGGCGTAGTGGTGGGGTTTGCCGGTTATATAGGATCGAAATCACACCATTGGTTGACAATGTTTAACGGGTCTGTGTTAAAGGAAATAATATTTCTATTATTCTATTGAAACGGCGGGTCGCCTGATTACCTGACGTGTACACCGCTGTCCTGAAATCAGTACATTACGTAATGAACTAGCTAGACTGAGGATTAAGTTAATTTTAGTATTTCTAGAAGTATTATTATAAACTGTGGGTTATTTTAAGCTAAGTTTAGTACTTCTAGTAAAATTAATCCTTCAAATACTTACATCCTTTATTGACGGAAAGATCTATAAAATCATTTAAATTGCCATGGTAGCCAAATGCTTTTTCTTCTGCATTATACTGAAAGAACATGGAAACTACCGTGTCTTTGGGATTACGAATGAGGTAAATTATTTTCGTTTTCTTTTCAAACATTTGTTTAGGTAAATGTCGTGGCCATAAATGTGAATTAAGAACACGTGGTGAGGGTTCTGCGTCAAAACTATCAATATTCGTACTTTCGAACATGTGCTGCTCTTTAATATGTTTATGGTATTCTGTTGTTTGGCGTTTCAACATCTGACTCACTTCCCAGATCCAATGAGTTCCTGAAATAAATAATAACAATAATAATGTGTATACATACACATTTTTTTTTTAGAATGACAGGGTTCTTATTCATCACAAGATCATAAATACCATGACAGGCACGAGTAACTCACAATCTAGCCAAGGTACCTTCCTGTTTTAAACACTGCATAACACCCCAAAACGCCAGGATTATTACTACTTAAAAAGTGATAGTTTCGGATTTTACAGCAAACTTTAGTTTATGCAATCTGGATAATGGCTGAACAATATCAATGTCCCAATTATATAAGAAAGCGGAACACAATATTTCGCATCTTTACTTCATAATATATTTCAGTTGGTACCGAAATAAGCCCACCGGACTGGAATCTTTTTATTGCTGCCCGTATTACTGTGGTTATTATCACACTAGGACACAGTTTTCAGATTCACAACCGTTGTTGTCACGCTCTGGCCACCGGTGGGATACTGTGTATTTTCTTACTGTGGATCAGTTTGCCATGTGGACGTATATTGTCGTCGCCCCTGTCCGTCCGTCCGTCCGTCCGTCCGTCCACAATTGTTTGTGAACACTCTACAGGTCACAATTTTTATCCCATTTCAATGAAACTTGAAATATAGGTTTATCATCATAAGATCTCGGTTCTTTTAGATCTTGGCATGTATCGGACTGTAACTTCATGGATGATGGCTCCTGATTGTACGAAAAATCACGTTTTTAGCTTGTGAACACTGTAGAGGTCGCAATTTTTATCCGATTTCTTTTAAACTTGAAATATGTGTTTATAATCCACAAACCTCGGTTCCTGTCGATATTAGAGCATATCGGGTCGTAACGTCCTGAATTATGACCCCTGATTGTACGAAAAATCGCGTTTTTAGCTTGTGGACCCTATAGAGGTCACAATTTTTATCCGATTTAAAAACCCGTTTGAATATATCACCGTTACACCCTAAGGATGGTTAAGTCGGACCGAAACTGACGGACAAAATGGCCGCCCCTCTTTCGCAAATAGTGTCAGAATATTGTGTATCAGGGTTGTGGACCCTTGGGAGGTCACAATTTTCATCTGATTTTGATGAAACTTGAAATGCATGTATATAACCCAAATATCTTGGTTCCTTTTCATTTTCGTACATATCGAATCGTAACTTCCTGGATTGTGGCCCCTGATTGTTCGAAAAATCGCATTTTTAGCTTGCGGATTCTCTTGAGATCACAATTTGTTTCCGATTTTAAAAACCGTTTAAATACATCACCATTCCACCATAATGAATGGCTGCTCTTTGTACGCAAATTGTGTAGAAGTGTGTAATACGAAGGTTGTGGACCCTCTGGGGGTCACAATTTTTATCCGATTTGATAAAACTTAAAACATATCTTTATATCCCAAAGATCTCTGTCCCTTTTGATATTTGCACATTTCAGGCCATAGCTTTCTGTATTATTGCCCCTGATTGTACAAAAAAAATCAGGTTTGTTTTTAGCTTATTCTCTATCCATCTCTTGGAAACTGTGGACGTATCCTGCCTGGCAGTCGCTGGTCAACAACTAGACTGTGCAGCTTCAACAACTCAACTAATAGCAGCATGCTTCCAATGAAGACTGTAGCTTTTGGGAAAACTGGTCCCAAGAAGGAACAGGACCAAGCAGGCTCTCCTCCTACAAATGAAGAGTATGCTTGGTCCAGATCGGCTTTATCTCGTCCCACTACTCTATCATCTGAGGATCTGTCCACTAAGTTAGCAAACCTAGCCAAGAAGAAAGTTGACAAACCAACTGGCACTTAAAGTAGATTTTTGATTTTGTTTTGTCATTGTGTTCAAGAAGTTGTATAGCAGACATAGCCAAGAAGAAGAGTTGACAAACCAACATGCAGATCTGTCCAAGAATTTAGCAAACCTAGCTTAGAAGAAAGTTGACAAACCAACTGGCACTTAAAATAGATTTTTGTTTTTGTTTTGTCATTGCGTTGGGAGGCATGGACGATGGAAATCGGATATCAGTAAGGACGGATATGTAATAGACAGCAAAGAAAGTAGATTATTGGTATCCCAGAGTTTCGGGTTCTAGAATTTTAAGGCTTCAATTATTGCTATCATTATTTTCATTATCATATGTTTTAGTTATGATCATTAGAAGGTAGGCATTCCAGGAGCATCAATGATCTTGTGTTGAGATTATAAAGTCTCTATATAACATTTATTGCTGAACTCGTGAAAACTGAATTTGGTTAGTTTGCTTACTTGTGCTTGGCATCGATCTTTATTCGAACTCACCTGCTTTGGGATAAGCACATATAATGACATCATCGTCTCTTATGGTCATTTCCTTCAGCTTCCTGAAATGTTCACCATATGACTTTCCTAACCTTTCTTTTGGAAATTCCGGTATCGGTACCCCATCTAGTTCTATCGTTTTAAATTCATTTCCTGATTTATCTGTGATTATGATTGGTTTTACATGATCTTGGTTTTCCATTTTAATTTAGCGTGTTATCTAGTTGTGGTCGATCTTGGCCTAAAAGTATCAGTACATCATGTACATAACAAGCTAATCTTTATTAAGTAAATAGTCTACAGTAGGATGAGACAACTGGAATTAAAAATAGATGATGAAAAGATTGAACTTACCTTCTAATTTAAGTGAATTGGCTTTATTGGGAACCTTTGGCTATTTTAAATAACCCTTATAATTCACAACAGGCACTAACTGTAGGGTGTCCTACACAGCTAGAAATGGGCTCTAATACAAGTTGAACTTGCTTTAATCTCAAATGACAATTTCTAAAAAAAAATATAGGCATGCTTTATCAGTAAAAGTTAGCATAAATAGTCATTGTACGTGACATTATTATGCATCTATCAAATAAAAAAGCTTTAAATATCCAGTCCCGTCCATCAGTCGGATATGGCTGTGCATATGAATATGTCGGCATACTAATCGATATGATTAGAGACACTTTTTAATGTTGGGCATCCTACCAATGGGAAATATGAATAGCGTGACCTAGATTATAAAGTGCCACGTTAAATAATAATAGCGCGATATAATGTCGACCATTTCTTTTAAAACCAGCGGATGCCAGGCAGTATACGCCCACATTTTCGAGAGATGGATAGAAAACCAGCTAAACGAAAGTGATTTTTCCTACAATCAAGGGCCATAATTCAGGAAATTACAATTCGATATGCGCAAATATCGAAAGGAACCAAGATCTTTGAGTTATAAACTTACATTTCAAGTTTCAACAAAATCGGATAATAATTGTGACCTCTATAGGGTCCACAACCTTGATATACCATATTTTTACGCTATTTGAGAACAAGGGGCGGCCATTTTGTCAGTCAGTTTTGGGCCAATTTTCACGAAATTCGAACTCAGTCGCCCTTAGGGTGTAACGGTGATATAATAATACGTTTTTTTAAATCAAATAAAAATTATGACCTCTATAGGGTCCACAAGCTAAAAACGTGATTTTTCGTACACTCAGGGGCTATAATTCAGGAAGTTACGGTCCGATATGCGCGAATATCAAAAGGAACCGAGATCTTTGGGTTATAAACTTACATTTCAAGTTTCAACAAAATCGGATAAAAATTGTGACCTCTATAGGGTCCACAACCTTGATATACCATATTTTTACGCTATTTGAGAACGAACGGCGGCCATTTTGTCTGTCAGTTTTGGGCCGATTTTCACGAAATTCGAACTCAACCGTCATTAGGGTTTAATGGTGATATAATAAAACGTTTATTTAAATCGGAAAAAAAATTATGACCTCTATATGGTCCACAAGCTAAAAACGCGATTTGTCAAACAATAAGGGGCCATAATTCATGAAGTTTTTTAAATCGGATAAAAATTATGACCTCTATAGGGTCCACAAGCCAAAAAATGCGTTTTTACGTACAATCAGGGGGCATAATTCAGGAAGTTACGGTCCGATATGCGTGAATATCGAAAGGAACCGAGATCTTTGGGTTATAAACTTACATTTCAAGTTTCAACAAAATCGGATAAAAATTGTGACCTCTACAGTGTTCACAAGCCAAAAACGTGATTTTTCGTGCAATCAGGGGCCATAATCCATGAAGTTACGGTCCGATAGATGCCAATATCGAAATGAACCGAGATCTTAGGGTGATAAACCTATATTTCAAGTTTCATTGAAATCGGATAAAAATTGTGACCTGTAGACTGTTCACAAACAATTGTGGACGGACGGGGGCGACGACAATATACGTCCACATGAAAATGTGGGCGTATAAAAAGAAAATGGCACATATATTTAAAAATTATATGCTTTCGTTATCACCCATTCTTCGTTTTCAACAAAAAAGCTGGAAAAAATATTATTATATATACTCTTCAAAAAAAGTAGGGGATATTCAGAAACAATACAAAACTGCGGAAATGCACTTCTGTTTTTATTAGAGGTAACCAGTGTATGCTAATAACAGGCCAATTGCCTACACATGAATATAAACAGTTCATATGGGCGGCTTATCTGACGGTCCCATTTCACTCGCAAAGAGATACACCGTCAAAAGTGAAAATGGACGTTCTTGATTTTTGTCTTAATAATGAGTAATTGCTTCACCAATCCTCAGACATTAAGCAATTCGTCGTGGTTTGCTCCTAAAGAACCATCCAATCACGATTTGGGACAATCTGACCCACTCCTCTTTCAAGGCCACGGCCAATTCTTGCAGTGTTGTCGTGGTGCTGCGTTCTTCATTTAAGCCTATTACGACCATGTTATAATCTCGAGGGCGGGGGAGCGAGTGTGCGAGAACTCGTATAAACAGGGCGAAAATCTCGCTCCCTCGTCCTTAGCTTAAACCTGCTTCACACATAACCATAATGAAGACCTTGCTACGCGCTTACTACGCAAAAAAAAATGCTATATAGCGTGGTGAGGTTGCAGTGGAATGCGGACAAAATCCTCAAGTGTGAAGTCAACTATGCTCTCAGTACGCGCAAAGTCGCAGAAATTTTCACTTTTCCACGTTCTCACCACGCTCCGTACGTCCTCGCTGTGTTCTTACCACGCTCCCTCCACACCCCACGACGCTCAACCACGTCCACGCGGCGCTAAATCACGTTGTTGACACGATGCTCCCTCCACGTGAATGCTACGCCGTTACAGCGACCTCACCTCGATCTGCGGATTTTTGGTATACAGGAGAGGTATTGAGCCTCATCCACCAAGAAAGCTAAAACAAAACCTTCACACATAGACCACGACTTCCTTACGACGTACAATAATCCATCAGATCGTGTCTCAGAGCGACACGGGCGTTGCGAGATCTTTTTCACCTTGTTACGCGGGTATGGTGCATGTTCCAAACCCGCGTAGTTCTCCACGTTCTTACCCTGATCCTACTACAATCTTACTAACTACGCTCACAAAGTCATTGCCACGATCGGGCTTATTTTTTTAAATCGTAGCGAGGTTGTGATGTATGTGTGAAGGGGGTATTAGCCATCCAAACCCTTTTAAATATATCCACCGTGGCTTCCGCGTGTGCAAATCTAGGAGACTAATAACAATATAGATGCTAAATAATAAAACTGTATAGCCACAACTTTGATTGTTAACACCTTCTTTATCTTTGAATTCTACATCTCGTCTATTATCAATCATTGTATATAAATGTAGATTTATCATCCTGTGTTTTGGGTTTGTTTATTTAAATTGTATATTTAAATTTAATTTGACTGTCTTTCATTCTCTCAGCTGTCATTCGATCAATATTTTCACTTTCAGCTACAGTTAACCAATTCTTCCAATCACCAACTTTACCTGAAAATAGTTACCGTGAAATTATTAATCATTGGGCGTCAGTAGACATAGATATACCTGATATCATTTCATCCTCGGTATCCACTTAGTAGAGTAGAACGGAAGGATACCACTTCGGATACCGAGGATGATATCACTTGTGACTGGGTTCATCTGTTACACACAGATCCTGTAACAGGTTTCAGCAGCCAACAGTTCTGTATTTATCTTTACTTGCGGGTTCAAATTTGACACTGTGTGAACTATTTCCGTAGACTGGATTACAATCGCCTGAATTGATAAATGATTATACTGAAAATATTGGCATTTCCAAAGATTCCAAAGACTGGAGATTTATTTAGCGACCATTTCGGCAACCGATCCCTGCATTATATGCGTGGTCCAAGGGGTGATGTTGGGAGCTAGTCGTTTTGAGTGACAGCTGACATCACGTGTGCAGACTCGATAGTTGTTCGTTAATCATAGCAAACCAGAAACGAAATATATTAACAACCAGCTATGTAACCAGAAGTTGAACGGGTAGAGTTATTTTAAAAAGTATAAGTCTGAGCGTTTAGCCTGTGAGTATAGTAAACTCGGGTGAGGTGGTGGCCCTTTTAGTCTTGAGTATACATCATTTTTGACAAATTGGTAAGCTTGCAAACAATATAAAGGGGAAAATCTGATGCCTAATTGGAAATTATTGCTTGGTACTCATGATATACTCCATTTACGATCAATTTGTTAAATTCTCAGAGAATGTTTACACGGGGCTCCTAAAAGTGCCTAGTTGGCCTAAGCCTTATCCGGCCCCTCACCCCACCCCCCACCCCCAACACACACCCCTCACCCCAACCAAACCCTTAACCCCCAAGAGTGGGGTTTCTGGAGCTGAATGTCAAAAAGATCTCTACTACAAAACAGTTTTTTAATCCTACCTTTTCTGTAAAATGAAGTTCCTTCTTTCAAAGAAGGTTTTATATAATCGTCTTTTACTTCATCATTGGCTTTTTTTAGTTTATTAAAGGAACAGGCATCTACTATAGCTTCACATAATTCATCAGAGATATCAGTTTCTAGAAAATTAGCCAAACCTTTTACATGATGTACAGGATTCTAGAGAAAATCAAAATATAATTGTTTTCAGTTAGTTCTGTGGCAGTTACTGATATTTGATATTATTAAATAGTCACTGGTGATATTATCTAACAATCGTTGGTGATATTATCTAAGAGTCACTAAGGATAAAATATATAACAGATATCGGTGATATGATCTAACAAATACTGGTGATATTATCTAACAGATAAGAGATATTATCTAATCTCTGGTATTATCTGATAGGTATAGGTGATATTATTTGGAGGATATTGATATATATAACTGATAACAGTATCAAGCCGATTATATGATAAATTAATGACGTCAGATGTCTACCCTGACTGATGCTATTATCTAATTCTAATAAGATAACAAAATCCGTGACAAATGAAACATTTTAAATATATATTTTAATACAATCAGCATACCTGCTGCATGTCCTCATAAGATAACTGATAAAATGGATTTTCAGTTGTTTTAAAGAACTTTTCCCATTCAAGAACATACTCATACCACAGACCATATGGTACTGAAACAGTTTGTATATAGAAAATGAACAACAGTTACAGCCAAGATGGTAAAATGCATTATAGCCTTTTTAAAAATCGTTAAAAAATCAAAAAGGATCACGTCTTATTCATTCGAACTTAGAACTTTTGCTACTAGAGTATTTACAATTTGATTATTGGCAACAACTATGAATGCAATTATCAAAATTATTAAGTAGATCGAATAATAACATTTACTGCTAAATATGATTATGAGTAATAACTACGGAACTTACAGATATGGCTCAAATTCAAAGGATTCTAAATTGTAGTAATTCAAATAATATAGAAAATGTTCCGTCAACTTTATGATTTATTTTATATGCATTTATTAATACTTTGTGTCGTTTTTATTATTAAAAGGACCATGTATTCGGCGTAGTGATGGGGTTTGCCGTTCATATAGGATCGAAATCACACCATTGGTTGACAATGTTTAACAGGTCTGTGTTAAAGAAAATATATTTCTATTATTCTGTTGAAACGGCGGGTCACCTGACGTGTACACCTCTGTCCTGAAATCAGTACATTATGTAATGAACTAGCTAGACTGAGGATTAAGTTAAATTTAGTATTTCTAGTAGTATTATTATAGACTGTGGGTTATTTTAAGCTAAGTTTAGTACTTCTAGTAAAATTAATCCTTCAAATACTTACATCCTTTATTGACGTAAAGATCTATAAAATCATTTAAATTGCCATGGTAACCAAATGTCTTTTCTCCTGCATTATACTGAAAGAACATGGAAACTACCGTGTCTTTGGGATTACGAATGAGGTAAATTATTTTCGTTTTCTTTTCAAACATTTGTTTAGGTAAATGTCGTGGCCATAAATGTGAATTAAGAACACGTGGTGAGGGTTCAGTGTCAAAACTATCAATATTCGTAGATTCGAACATGTGCTGCTCTTTAATATGTTTATGATATTCTGTTGTTTGGCCTTTCAACATCTGACTCACTTCCCAGATCCAATGAGTTCCTGAAATAAATAATAACAATAATAATGTGTATACATAGTATACACATTTATTTTTAAAATGACTGGGTTCTGTAATAATATTGCTAGAATTTTTGCTCTTGAAATTAATGATGGCAGTATATTTCATTAATTAATATCTTTGGCAAGTTGGTAAATTCCCACATATGTGGAACTGTACTAAATCAACTTAGTCTGTAATTGACATATTGTTACATAAAAAGAGCTATTTAACCAAAACAGGTGTCAATAGTTTACCACCAGAATTACACGTGAGTGGAATTATTCTAATTGCATCATTTGACTTAAAGTAACCAATCATATCGTTAATTGCACAGGTTCAGGGCCATGAACAGGCTTTCTGTGCATGATATACTGAGTGCTATATAAGATATCTATAGTAAACTTTTAAGTTAGACTTCCATTAGATTCCAGAGAGGCTCCACCTGAGTTCCTAGACAGCCGCGAGGCTGGCTGGGGTAGAGGAATGGTTTTAGCTAGTATTGTAATTTGTGCTATGCTTGTATCCCTGTATTCAGCTATATATATATATATATAAAATGTAGAAGCAAACTGTTGCATTGTTATTCCTGGTAAGACAAACGTCTTAAGAAACTGTAAGAAGTAAATACACAACGGGAAGCAGAAGTAAAGACAGCTAGAGACAAATTTTAGACGATCACAAGGCTACAGAAATATGTAGTAAGAAAAGATGCATGGGTCCTACGTAGGATGTGGCGACCGGTTTTCCGACATATACGCCCGCTCTCCACGTCAGACAAAGGACCTATGGTGCTACAGTTCTTATTCATCATAAGATCATAAATACCATGACAGGCACGAGTAACTCACAATCTAGCCAAGGTACCTTCCTGTTTTAAACACTGCATAACACTCCAAAACGCCAGGATTATTACTACTTAAAGTGATAGTTTCAGATATTACAGCAATGTTTAGTTTATGCAATCTGGATAATGGCTGAACAATATCAATGTCCCAATTATATAAGAGAGCGGAACACAATATTTCGCATCTTTACTTCATAATATATTTCAGTTGTAAGTGATTTGTAGCCTCTATGTATAGAAAATCGGTACCGAAATAAGCCAACCGGAGTGGAATCTTTTTATTGCTGCCCGTATTACTGTGGTTATTATCACAGTAGGACACAGTTTTCAGGTTCACAACGGTTGTTGTCACGCTGTGGCCACCGGTGGGATACTGTTTTTTTTCTTACAGTGGATTAGTTTGCCATGTAGTCATATATTGTCGTCGCCCCTGTCCGTCCGTCCGTCCGTCCACAATTGTTTGTGAACACTCTACATGTCACAATTTTTATCCGATTTCAATGAAACTTGAAATATAGGTTTATCATCATAAGATCTCGGTTCTTTTAGATATTGGCATGTATTGGACTGTTACTTCAAGGATGATGGCTCCTGGTTGTACGAAAAATCTTGTTTTAAGCCTGTGAACACTGTAGAGGTCGCAATTTTTATCCGATTTCTTTTAAACTTGAAATATGTGTTTATAACCCACAGATCTCGTGCATATCGGGCCGTAACTTCCTGAATTATGGCCCCTGATTGTACGAAAAATCGCGTTTTTAGCTTGTGGACCCTATAGAGGTCACAATTTTTATCCGAATTAAAAAAAACGTTTGAATATATCCCCGTTACACCCTAAGGATGGTTAAGTTCGAATTTCGTAAAAATCGGACCGAAACTGACGGACAAAATGGCCGCCCCTCTTTCGCAAATAGTGTCAAAATATTGTGTATCAGGATTATGGGCCTTTGGTAGGTCACAATTTTCATCTGATTTTGATGAAACTTGAAATGCATGTATATAACCCAAATATCTTGGTTCCTTTTCATTTTCGTACATATCGAATCGTAACTTCCTGGATTATGGCCCCTGATTGTTCGAAAAATCGCATTTTTAGCCACTAGAGATCACAATTTGTTTCTGATTTTAAAAACCGTCTAAATACATCATCATTCCACCATAATGAATGGCCGCTCTTTGTATGCAAATTGTGTAGAAGTGTGTAATACGAAGGTTGTGGACCCTCTAGAGGTCACAATTTTTATCCGATTTGATGAAACTTAAAACATATCTTTATATCCCAAAGATCTCTGTCTCTGGAGGTCACAATTGTTATACGATTTGATAAAACTTAAAACATATCTTTATATCCCAAAGATCTCTGTCCCTTTTGATATTTGCACATTTCAGGCCATAGCTTTCTGCATTATTGCTCCTGATTGTACAAAAAAATCACGCTTGGTTTTAGCTTGTTCTCTATCCATCTCTTGGAAACTGGTGACGTATCCTGCCTGGCAGTCGCTGGTCAACAACTAGACTGTGCAGCTTCAACAACACAACTAGCAGCATGCTTCCAAAGAAGACTGTAGCTTTTGGGAAAACCGGTCCCAAGAAGGTACAGGACCAAGCAGGCTCTCCTCCTACAAATGAAGAGTATGCTTGGTCCTGATCGGCTTTATCTCTTCCCACTACTCTACCATCTGAGGATCTGTCCACTAAGTTAGCAGACTTAGCCAAGAAGAAGAGTTGACAAACCAACATGCAGATCTGTCCAAGAATTTAGCAAACCTAGCCAAGAAGAAAGTTGACAAACCAACTGGCACTTAAAGTAGATTTTTGATTTTTTTTTGTCATTGTGTTGGGAGGCATGGACGATGGAAATCGGATATCAGTAAGGACGGATATGTACTAGACAGCAAAGAAAGTAGATTATTGGTATCCCAGAGTTTCGGGCTCTAGATTTTTAAGGCTTTAATTATTGCTATCATTATTTCTATTATCATATGTTTTAGTTATGATCATTAGAAGGTAGGTATTCCGGGAGCATCAGTGATCTTGTGTTGAGATTATAAAGTCTCTTTATAACATTTATTGCTGAAATCGTGAAAACTGAATTTGGTTTGTTTGCTTACTTGTGCTTGGCATCGATCTTTATTTGAACTTACCTGCTTTGGGATAAGCACATATAATAACATCATCGTCTCGTATGTTCATTTCCTTAAGCTTCCTGAAATGTTCACTATGTGACTTTCCTAACCTCTCTTCTGGAAATGCCGGGATCGGCACCCCGTCTAGTTCTATTGTTTTAAATTCATTTCCTGATTTATCTGTGAATATGATTGGTTTTACATGATTTTGGTTTTCCATTTTAATTTAGCGTGTTATCTAGGTGTGGTCGATCTTGGCCTAAAAGTATCAATACATCATGTACATAACAAGCTAATCTTTATTAAGTAACTAGTCTACAGTGGGGTGAGGCAAATGGAATTAAACAATATATGGGTGATGAAAAGATTGAACTTACCTTCTAATTGAAGTGAATTGGCTTTATTTGGAACCTTTGGCTATTTTAAATACCTCTAACTGTATAGTGTCCCACACAGCTAGAAATGGGCTCTGATACAAGTTGAACTTCCTTTCACCTCAAATGACAATTTCTAAGAAGATGCAGCGCATGCTTTATCAGTAAAATCTAGCATAAATAGTCATTGTTCGTGACATTATCATGCATCTACCAAATAAAAAAGCCTTAAATATCCAGTCCCGTCCATCAGTCGGATATGGCCGTGCATATGAATATGTCGGCATACTAATCGATATGATTAGAGACACTTTTTAATGTTGGGCATCCTACCAAAGGGAAATATGAATAGCGTGACCTAGATTATAAAGTGCCACGTTAAATAATAATAGCGCGATATAATGTCGACCATTTCTTTTAAAAAAAGAAAATGGCACATACATTTAAAAATTATAGGCTTTCGTTATCACCCATTCTTCGTTTTCAACAAAAAAAGCTGGAAAAAATATTATTATATATACTCTTCAAAAAAAGTAGGGGATATTCAGAAAGGATACAAAACTGCGGAAATGCACTTCTGTTTTTATTAGAGATAACCAGTGCATGTTAAATAACAGGCGATTGCCTACACATGAACATAAACAGTTCATATGGGCGGCTTATCTGACGGTCCCATTTCACTCGCAAAGAGATACACCGTCAATAGTGAAAATGGACGTTTTTGATTTTTGTATGCTCCTAATGAACCGTCCAATCATGATTTGGGGCAATCTGACCCACTCCTCTTTCAATGCCACGGCCAATTCTTGCAGTGTTGTCGTGGTGCTGCGTTTTTCATTTAAGCCTATTACGACGATGTTATAATCTCGAGGGCGAAAAGTCGAGGGGCGGGGGAGCGAGTGTGTGAGAAATCGAATAAACAGGGCGAAAATCTCGCTCCCTCGTCCCTAGCGTAAGCCTGCTTCACACATAACCATAATGAAGACCTTGCTACGCGCTTACTACGCAAAAGATATGCTATATAGCGTGGTGAGGTTGCGGTGAAATGCGGACAAAATCCTCAAGTGTGAAGTCAACTACACTGTAACAAAAATTTCCGTGAAAAAACGTAAAAAATTCCGGAAACAAAAATTACCAGGAAAATTTTATCCGTATTTGTTTTTCCTGTAATTTACAGAAATTCCTTCAATTAACATAAATTCCATTTTCAAATTCAGAAAAAAAAATCCTGGTAAATTTTCTTTCCTGAGCATGAAGATGATAAAAATTTCATTGAATTAACCATTGACTTTATACCCGTGCGTCAAATAGCTTTATCTAACGTCCGCTTCCACCGAAGTGATATCGCAGATAATCTTTAAACATAACCTCTTTTCGCTAATGTATGAATCGAGAGCAAGGTATCACAACACGCCACTCGTCAGTGGTTGGAGGCTTTCAGTGGTAGACTATACTATAGAGACAACCTGACTTACACTGGCCAACGGGTTGTACTATCTGGATTTAAGCCTGCTTGATTACCAGATATTACAACCTTACCACACGAGGCATTAAAACATATTTTTACATATTTATGAAAATACTTACAATCTGATTTCCGTATGATGAATAACAATACAATTTATAGATCTTATAAATAATGGAAATTAGATATACATTTCAATTAATATACCAAACGTTACAAAATATGATTCTTCATATTATGGTTAATCCATTGAAATGAATACTATAACATGATCATTATTATAAATGATTATATATGTATACGATTACTTATCGTTGTACCGCTTATCCCATAAAATAACAGAATTAAGTCCATTACAGAACGGAATAAAACATTTTATCCCTAAATTTCACGGAACCGTTTATTCCGTAAAATAACAGGATTAAGTCCATTATAGAAGGGAATAAAACATTTTATCCCGAAATTTCACGGAAAGTTCCTGTTAAATACTGAATATTCCACAGAAATATATAAAACACGTAATTTGAAGAAATAATTCATGCTTTTAACACAATTTTACCAAAAAATCCTTCGATTAACAGAAAAAAGGTGTTAAACTACGGAATTCGGCCACATCAAAAATGGATATTTTTTACAGTGTACGCTCTCAGTACGCGCAAAGTCGCAGAAATTTTCACTTTTCCACGTTCTCACCACGCTCCGTACGTCCTCGCAGCGTTCTTACCACGCTTCCTCCACACCCCACGATGCTCAACCACGTACCCGCGGCGCTAAATCACGTTGTTGACACGATGCTCCTTCCACATGAATGCTACGCTGTTACAGCGACCTCACCTCGATCTGCGATTTTTGGTATACAGGTGAGGTATTGAGCCTCATCCACCGAGAGATCTAAAACAAAACCTTCACACATAGACCACGACTTCCCTACGACCTATAAAAATCCATCAGATCGTGTCTCAGAGCGACATCGGCGTTGCGAGATCTTTTCCACCTTTTTACGTGGGTATGGTGCATGTTCCAAACCCGCGTAGTTCTCCACGTTCTTACCATGATCCTACCACGATCTTACTAACTACGCTCACAAAGTCATTGCCACGATCGGGCTGATTTTTTTTAAATCGTATGTGTGAAGGGGGTATTAGCCAGCCAACCTCTTTTTCACTGATCCACCGTGGCTTCCGCGTGTGCAAATCTAGGAGACTAATAACAATATAGATGCTAGATAATAAAACTGTATAGCCACAACTTTGATTGTTAACACCTTCTTTATCTTTGAATTCTACAAATATCTCGTCTATTATCAATCATTGTATAATGTAGATTTATCATCCTATGTTTTGGGTTTGTGTTTTAAATTGTATATTTAAATTTAATTTGACTGTGTTTCATTCTCTCAGCTGTCATTCGATCAATATTTTCACTTTCAGCTACAGTTAACCAATTCTTCCAATCACCAACTTTACCTGAAAATAGTTACCGTGAAATTATTAATCATTGGGCGTCAGTAGACATAGATATACCTGATATCATTTCATCCTCGGTATCCACTTAGTGGAGTAGAACGGAAGGATACCACTGCGGATACCATGGATGATATCACTTGTGACTGGGTTCATCTGTTACACACAGATCCTGTAACAGGTTTCAGCAGCCAACAGTTTTATATTTATCTTTACTTGCGGGTTCAAATTTGGCTATGTGTGAACTATTCCAGTAGACTGGATTATAATCGCCTGAATTGATAAATGATTATACTGAAAATCTGCCATTTCCAAAGATTCCAAAGAGTGGAGATTTATTTATCGACCATATCGGCAACCGATCCCTATTTATATGCGTGGTCCAAGGGGTGACTTATGGAGCTAATCGTTTTGAGTGACAGCTGACATCACGTGTGCAGACTCGATAGTTGTTCGTTGATCATAGCAAACCAGAAACGAAATATATTAACAACCAGCTATGTAACCAGAAGTTGAACGGGTAGAGTTATTTTAAAAAGTATAAATCCGAGCGTTTAGCCTGTGAGTATGGTAAACTCGGGTGAGGTGGTGGCCCTTTTAGTCTTGAGTATACATCATTTTTGACAAATTGGTCAGCTTGCACACAATATAAAGGGGGAAATCTGATGCCTAATTGAAAATTATTGCTTGGTACTCATGATATACTACATTTACGATCAATTTGTTAAATTCCCAGAGAATGGATACACGGGGCTCCTAAAAGTGCCTAGTTGGCCTGAGCCTTATCCGGCCCCTCGCCCCCGCCCCCCCCCCCCACACCCCTCACCCCAACCAAACTTTCAATCCCCAAGAGTGGGGTCACTAAATATACCAGACTGTGCCGCCACGTTGAACTACTTTCAAGTACATTCTCTAGAGGATAATATTCATTAAGATTTAAATTTCTTTTTCTGGAGCTGAATGTTAAAAAGATCTCTACTACAAAACAGTTTTTTTAATCCTACCTTTTCTGTAAAATGAAGTTCCTTCTTTGAAATAAGGTTTTATAAAATCTTCTTTTACTTCATCATTGGCGTTTTTTAGTTTATTAAAGGAGCAGGCATCTACTATCTCTTCACATAATTCACCAGAGACATCAGTTTCTAGAAATTTAGCCAAACCTTTTACATGATGTAGAGGATTCTGAGAAAAATCAAAATATTATTTTCGTTTAGTTCTGTGGCAGTTACTGATATTTGATATTATCAAATAGTCACTGGTGATATTATCTAACAGTCGTTGGTGATAATATCTAAGAGTCACTGAGGATAAAATATATAACAGATATCGGTGATATGATCTAACAAATACTGGTGATATTATCTAACAGATAAGTGAAAATATCTAACAGCTAAGTGATAATATCTAATCTCTGGTATTATCTGATAGGTATAGGTGATACCATTTGGAGGATATTGATATATAACAGTGACAGGCGATATTTTTGTTACTGATAACAGTATCAAGTCGATTATATGATAAACTAATGATGTAAGATGTCTTCCCTTACTGATGCTATTATCTATTAAGATAACAAAATTCGTGACAACTGACACATTTTAAATATATATTTTAATACAGTCAGCATACCTGCTGCATGTCCTCATAAGATAACTGATAAAATGGATTTTCAGTTGTTTTAAGGAACTTTTCCCATTCTAGAACATACTCATACCACAGACCATAATGGACTGAAATAGTTTGCATATAGAAAATAAACAACAGTTACAACCAAGATGGTAAAATGTATTATAGCCCTGGGGGTAATTATTATAAATCGTTAAAAATCAAAAAGAATCACGCCTCATTCATGCGAACTTCGAATTTTTGCTACTAGAGTATTTACAAGTCGATTATTTGCAAACAACTATGAATGCAATTATCAAAAGTATTAAGAAGATCGAGTAATAACCATACCAGTAATTCAAATAATATAGAACTTGAAAATGCCCCGTCGACATTATGATTTATTTTCTATGCATTTATTAATACTTTGTGTTGTTTTTATTATTAAAAGGACCATGTTTTCGGCGTAGTGGTGGAGTTTGCCGTTCATATTGGATCGAAATCACACCATTGGTTGACAATGTTTAACAGGTCTGTGTTAAAGAAAATAATATTTCTATTATTCTATTGAAACGGCGGGTCACCACTGTCCTGAAATCGGTACATTATGTAATGAACTAGCTAGACTGAGGATTAAGCTAATTTTACTATTTCTAGTAGTATTATTATAGACTGTGGATTATTTTAAGCTAAGTTTAGTACTTCTAGTAAAATTAATCCTTCAAATACTTACATCCTTTATTGACGTTAAGATCTATAAAATCACTTAAATTGCCATGGTAACCAAATGATTTTTCTAGTGCATTATACTGAAAGAACAAGGAAACTACCGTGTCTTTGGGATTACGAATGAGGTAAATTATTTTCGTTTTCTTTTCAAACATTTGTTTAGGTAAATGTCGTGGCCATAAATGTGAATTAAGAACACGCGGTGAGGGTTCTGCGTCAAAACTATCAATATTCGTAGATTCGAACATGTGCTGCTCTTTAATATGTTTATGATATTCTGTTGTTTGGCCTTTCAACATCTGACTCACTTCCCAGATCCAATGAGTTCCTAAAATAAATAATAACAATAATAATGTGTATACACATTTTTTTTTTAGATTTACATGGTTTTTATTCATCACAAGATCATAAATATCATGACTGGCACGAATAATCTAGAAAGGGTACCTTCCTGTTTTAAGCACTGCCATAACACTCCAAAACGCCAGGATTGTTACTACTTAAAGTGATAGTTTCAGATATTACAGCAATGTTTAGTCTAAGCAATATGAACAGAGCGGAACACAATATTTCGCATCTTTACTTCATAATATATTTCAGTTGTGTGTGATTTGTAGCGTCTATGTACAGATAATCGGTACCGAAATAAGCCAACCGGACTGGAATCTTTTTATTGCTGCCCGTACTATTGCTGTGGTTATTATCACAGTAGGACACGGTTTTCAGGTTCACAACGGTTGTTGTCACGATGTGACCACCGGTGGGATACATAAGGGCAGATTTTTTTTTTACTGTGGATCAATTTGCCAGTCATCGAGCAGCGTTACACATTTTCAACAACTAGACTGTGCAGTTTCAACAACACAACTAGCAGTGTGCTTCCAAAGAAGACCACAGCCTTTGGGGAAACTGGTCCCAAGAAGAAGCAGGACCAAGCAAGCTCTCCTACAGATGAAGAGGGTGCATGGTCCCGATCGGCTTTATCTCGTCCCACTACTCCACCATATGAGGATCTGTCCAAGAAGTTAGCAGACTTAGCCAAGAAGAAGAGTTGACAAACCAACACGCAGATCTGTTTAAGAAGTTAGCAAACCTAGCCAAGAAGAAAAGTTGACAAACCAGCTGGCACTTAAAGTAGATTTTTGATTTTGCTTTGTCATTTGTAAGGATGATACTAAAATGGTATTTTTGTTCAAATCAGTAAACTTTAAAATTAAGCTGCTCATTTGCGTGTAAACGAAAGGTGTGTTAGGAGGCATGGACGATGGAAATCGGGCTATCATTATTTCTATTATCATATGTTTTAGTTATGATCATTAGAAGGTAGGTATTCCGGGAGTATCAGTGATCTTGTGTTGAGATTATAAAGTCTTTTTATAACATTTATTGCTGAACTCGTGAAAACTAAATTTGGTTTGTTTGCTTACTTGTGCTTGGCATCGATCTTTTTTCGAACTTACCTGCTTTGGGATAAGCACATATAATAACATCATCGTCTCTTATGGTCATTTCCTTAAGCTTCCTGAAATGTTCACCATGTGACTTTCCTAACCCCTCTTCTGGAAATGCCGGTATCGGTACCCCATCTAGATCTATCGTTTTTAATTCATTCCCTGATTTATCTGTGAATATGATTTGTTTTACTTTTTGGTTTTCCATTTTAAATTAGTGTGTTATCTAGTTGTGGTCGATTTTGACCTAAAAGTATCAATACATCATGTACATAACAAGCTAATCTTTTTTAAGTAAACAGTCTACAGTGGGATGAGGCAACTGGAATTAAACAATTATATATGGATGATGAAAAGATTGAACTTTACATCTATTTGACGTGAATTGGCTTTATTTGAAACCTTTGGCTATTTTAAATACCTCTTATAATTCACTAACTGTAGGGTGTCCACACAGCTAGAAATGTGCTCTGATTAGGAGATAAACACTTCCTGTTACGTATTTAGAGTGGGTTTATTCTCCATTTAACCATGCTTGAATCATTAGAACACGAGACGCGATAATTCAAACATGGTTAAATGGACAATACACACCCGATAACTACGTAACAGGAACGTGTTTATCGATATTGTAGCACAAATATTTGGAGGTTTTCTTTGGAACTTTTTAGGAAACATTTTTACACCCATTTTAAAAAGTCGTTATTTGGTCACGCGCTTGCGTTCATTTTTCAAAATATTTTCAATAGATTATAGACGGTCTCTTGCTTACTTGCAAATTTAAAATGTTTGAGTTTCGAGTTGCTGGTAAATGAATTATGAAAGAAAATGTTATTCGGATATCGACAACAAAAAATATTTTTAACGTTTGAAGATTTTTAAAAGAACAAGGAATTAGTGTTATTGCGTGATTGAAATAATTCCGCCCTGCTATCCGAGACTTAAAGAGGGGTAACTCTTGGCAACAAAAATGACTTCGCTTCGGAAGTTTTATGTAAGTTTCCAGCCTTTATTATATTTATTTTGCAGACTGTTGTCACAATGTTGTAGCTAGTTCTTTTTTACACAATTGCAGTTCATACTTACAGCCTCTTATATACGCCGAGATCAAGTCAGCCGTCACTTTCTCATCCTTCACTAAGAATACTCACCCGTCACTAACTGCGAATCAAGCTGGCCGTCACTTACAAATTCGCTGGATGGCCATGACTTCAGCCAAATCACGTGCTCAGTATGGGCTAATCCGAGCCTTCGATAAATAAAAGGAATTGAAAGTAGTCTATTTTTAGTAACCCATTTCTTTGCTCGAAATAAAAATGCTTTTATCTCTTCTAAAGTATGTAATCATGAATGTGCCAGAAAATAACAAATAGTTTTAAAGAGACATAGAAACCAACTTTCCGGTGATATATGACACAATAACTGGAATTTTGTATTAAGACACGTATTTTGACATTAAACACTCGCCCCACCCCCACCACTATCTTTAATACAGCCAGTGAAGGCTACCAAACTTGTATTAATTTTAATTTAAAAAGTATATATGCATTCCGCCGTAAATATAATATATACATTTCAAGAGAGGATTAACTTTACTTTTCAGTATAGATCTACGGAATTTTGGATTAAGCCTCGCATTTTTATTTCAAATACACCCCCCCCCCCCTTTCACGGCAAGTAAATATAAATGTGCCAGAAAATTATTTATATATTTGAAAAGAGAAATGAATGGGCTTTTCAGTGATATGTAACATGATATCAGGAATTTCGTATTAAGACCCGTATTTTTTATTTTAAATACCCCCCCCCCCCACATCATTTAATAGATTTTTGAACCGTTCGTTTTGATCACCTCTCAAGGTAAGTAAATATAAATGTGCCAAAAAATTATTTATATATTTGAAAAGAGAAATGAATGTGCTTTTCAGTGATATGTAACATGACATCTGGACTTAAATTTAAATAATGATGGGTGGGGGGTATTTATAGTAAAAATACGGGTCTTAATACGAAATTCTAGATATCATGCTAGATATCAGTAGAAAGCACGGTCACGACTTTTTTCAAATATATAAATAATTTTCTGGCACATTCATATTTACTTGCCTTGAGAGGAGATCAAAGATGAACGGTACAAAATTCTATTAAATGATGGGGGGGGGGCTGTATTTAATGTCAAAATACGTGTCTTAATACGAAATTCCAGTTATTGTGTCATACATTACAGGAAAGTAGGTTTCTATGGCTCTTTGAATCTACTTGATTTTTTCTGGCACATTCATCATTATATACTATTCAAAAAAAGTAGGGGATATTTGATTTTGGGGGCATAATACTAAAATATGCAAATGACTACGAAAAAAGTCACTATAGAACCTAACAGAAGAAACATTTCCAGTTACATGTGACGCCCAAACGCACCAATAGCTACCGCATGGAATGCAGGTGATGCTTGGGATCATCATGGGGGTCCAACCCAAGATTTGCACGACTCTGACTTTGAATGTTACAGTCATTGTGGCATTGAATTCCAGGGTGGAAACATCAGTTTAATTGTTTTAGTGACCAGAAAACAAATTTTGATATGCGTCGGTTTACCCAAAATGAAAGGTTACGTGCCCTTGGCATGCTACAGATCGGCACAACACAGGCGGTTGTGGCGCGGACGATGAATGTTTCTCAGTCTGTCATAAGCAGGCTATGGTCCAGATACCGTGATACACAATCTGTACAGGACAGACCACGCTCAGGTCGACCAAGGGCGACAACTCAAGCCCAGGATCGATTTATCCGTACCTTGGCCTTGAGAAATCGTGTCATCACAGCAAATCAGATCAGCGCTCGTCTTCAAACAGACACTGGTGTGAGAGTGAGTGGCCAGACGATTCGGAATCGGACTGCATAGGGGTCACCTTCGCGCCCGACGTCCTCGCGTGATCCCTTGTTTGAGAGATCATCACATTCAGGCAAGACGTCGTTGGTGTAGGGATCGTCAACACTGGGATAATCGACGCTGGAGCAATGTGATGTTTTCAGATGAGTCAAGGTTCACTGTTGATTTTTTGGACAGACGTAGGAGGGTGTGGCGTCGTCGAAACGAGCGCTTCCAAGACGTTAACGTCATCAGACATGATCGATTTGGGGGTGGTTCTGTTATGGTGTGGGGAGGCATCACTGTTGCTGGAAGAACGGCTTTACATGTTGTTGCAGGGCGTGTTACAGGCCAATACTACCGGGACAACATCTTGGCAGTCCATGTTGTGCCGTTCGCACGACGTCATGGCCGCCGTTTCATCTTCCAGGATGACAACGCAAGATGTCACAGGGCCAGGATCGTTACAGGTTACCTCCAACAACAGAACATCACCACATTACCTTGGCCAGCACTGAGTCTCGACCTCTCCCCCATCGAGCATGTCTGGGACATGCTTGGACAGAGGTTACGTCAACGTCAACAACGTCCTGCCAATGTCCAAGAACTTGCTGCTGCGTTGCAACAGGAATGGGACAATCTGGACCAAAATGACCTTAGACGTCTCATTAGGAGTATGCCACGTCGGATCAATGCTTGTTTGGCAAACAGGGGAGGATTTACCCGTTACTGACTTGGTTGTGATGCTGTGGTAACTTTGCTGTTTGACCCCGGGTATCATTTTACCCTTATAATGGTCAGTCTGTGCCTTACTAAGTCTAACGATCATTTGGAATAAATCGATGAATGTGAACTTCATTTCATTTTGTCATTTGTTTCTTCGTCAGTTTCATTAGGTGACTTTAATAACACTTAAAAATCAAATATCCCCTACTTTTTTTGAATAGTATATATACTGAGCGCCATTGAAAACGCATCACTTAGTTTGTCGTATAACAAAATGATCCTGTAAACATATCTTATTTATTTTGCTTCTTATTGTGAACAATATTCAAATGGGAACACATCAATAACAACGCATTTGTACACTTATGGATGTTTAATCTGTAATCAAGGGTACAAAGTCAGAGGGGTCAAAACCAAAAGTAAGACACAGATGTCAGTAGGGCGTGTGTCCTCCACGGGCCATCACCACGGTAGGCTACAGCATTAACGCGACCCCTGCAAATGTGTAGGGCGGTCCGGTGATGAAATGTGAAGCCTCCCCACACCATTACACTTCCCCCACCCCATCGATCCGTTTCGAAGACGCAGCAGTCTGCAAGACGTTCCCCAAGACGTCTCCACACACGTTGACGGCCATCAGCGTGATAAAGATGAAAGCGACTCTCATCACTGAAGAGCACACTTTGCCAGTCTACTCTTCTCCATGTCTGGTGTCCTTGAGCCCATATCAAACGCCGCTGACGGTGATGATCCCTGAGGATAGCTCCAACATAAGGTCGTCGTGCATTGAGTCCTACTTCTCTTAGACGACGTCTTACGGTGTTGGCACTTTACTGGTCCTTGTCTTCCGACGACTGCTGCAATTGTTCGAGTCGCTGGGCGGAATCTGTCACGCAGATGAGTGACCCGGATGTAGCGGTCTTGAGCCTGGGTTGTAACGCGTTGTGGACCACCAACCTTACAATAGTGGACTGATGACAATTGAAGTGTCTGGCAATATCACGTGTAGACATGCCAGCCCTGGACATTCCCATGGCTTCATTCCGTCGATTTTCAGTAAGTCTCGGCATCTCTAGCTCGATTCCTTCACACGTCCAACAACAAATTACGACAGATGGACGTTTCACAGTTGATGTACTGCACATTAAGTTCAAAACATGCTTTTAAAGGGCTCACACACAATGCTGCACGTGAATATTGGGTTTTTCATGTGCATCTCGTGCAATTTTTTTTTGCACACGGGCCGATATTTTTTGTGTTTGGGAGCATTGTGTGAAACAATAGTTCATAGTATTGCATAATATTATACATACAAAACCACCTAGTAATAAAATATTTGGGAAAAAAAGTGATGCGTTTTCTATGGCGCTCAGTATTTTTATTTTGAGCAAAGAAATGGGTTTCTAAAAATAGACTACTTTCAATTCCTTTTATTTATCTAAGGCTCGGATTAGCCCATACCGAGCACGTGATTTCAATGAAGTCATGGTCATCCAGAGAACTTGTAAGTGACGGCCAGCTTGATTCGCATCTAGTGAAGGGTGAGTATTCTTAGTGAAGGATGAGAAAGTGACGGCTGAGTTGATCTCGGCCCAAAATACCATATAAACCATGACAATGACGTCTAGTCTAAGATGCCAGTGGTTGCTATGTAGCTGTTCTGACGTGTTGTCAACAAATGACAATTTTGGCATAAATGATAATAATAATAATAATATCTTTATTTCGAAAGGGTGAACAATCTAGGTCCGATATGTATGGACCTTTCTGACACGTTGTGCCCTTTATAACAAAAACAAGCCAACAGTGAGGCTGATGTCCCCCGCCGAAATTGCAAAATAAATAGATGACACATATTAATTAATCGCACATTTATTTTTTTCACTAAGTTTCATCACTCTCTATCAGATAGAATCAAGATTATCTTGTCCCAAACCATCGACAAATGAAATCGATTAGCTCTGCTTAGGTTCAGATCGAAATGTTAATTATTGAACTCAGTCAAGACATTCACCTAATGAACATCTACATGTACATCAAGTTTAAACATTCACCTAATAGACACCTATGCCAAGTTTGAACATTCTACCTCAATTAGAAGGAGAGTTATTGTGTTCCAAAGTCTCGACCAATCAAATTGCTTATCACTCTGCTCAACCTAAGCAGGAAATGCTCATTGTCGAACTTAGTCAAGGTATTGACCTAATAAACACCTACACCAAGTTTGAACATTCTAGCTCAATTATAAAGAGAGTTATTGTGTTCCAAAGTCTCGGCCAATCAAATTTCTTATCGCTCTGCTTACCCTAAGCAGAAAATGCTCATTGTCGAACTTAGTCAAGGTATTGATGTAATAAAACTATACACCAAGTTTCATCACTCTCACTTAAATAGAACTAAGTTATCGTGTCCCAAAGCATCAAC